TGGTTGCCTTGAACTTCTTAATGTAAGAACAGCCTAACCGAACATTTTCGAACATAGTAACGTCGATATTTTTACAAATATCTGTAATTATTTCTCGTATATCCAATATTGAAGCAGGTTTAGTTTCGTACACATTTTGCTTCAAATAGCCCCATAAAAAAAAGTCTAAAGGTGTCAAATCTGACGAGCATCAGGCTTGCCATTCCGTAGGACCTCGACGACCAATCCAACGACGAGGGAAAATAGCATCCAAATAGTTCATTACTTGTCTGGAGTAATGGAGTGGTGCTCCATCTTCCAATGGACGAGAATTAGCCATTTTAGAGTTAGTTCACGTGCTACCTAACTGCAATGAGAACTAAACAACCGAAAACTAAATGAAAATACTTTGAACACTAGGAAAATCGAAAACTAAAGAGAATATTTTAAACACTAGGAAAGCCAAAAACTAAATGAGCATATTTTGACTAAACAATTAATGTTCGTTGTCGTACTTACATTTTTTGGAATTTTTTTAACCAAAAATAACCTGTCAAACCTTATCGGTTTGCTGGGATTGCTGTTTGCCATAGAAAAACAAATATTTCTAGAAAAATTGATATTATTTTGTTTGTATTCAGGTAATTATTAAATGTTCCGCCATTTTGTAGCAGGTGCAGATATGGACTTTATATTCCAGGGTTGTAGAGTATTTGTCAGGAGCTTCAAAATGATGTATCACAAGACCCCCCTTTCCATTTAAATTTATTTCCCAAGATGGCGCCCAGTCGCCATCTTGAAATTTTCATCTGTCAATTTTACTCCAAAATATAGTAATCATGCATTAGTTTCATTATCCCAAATTTCAATTTTCTAAGTTGATCCGTTCAAAAAATAAAAGGGGGGGGGGACATTAAAGAAATGCACTGTAGATTAAACATATAAATAAGATACATCAAATCAAGCAGTTTAAGGATTTGATTTGAAATGGAAATTGATAGGTTGTTGGGATATTTGTATACAGGGAATCGACCGAGGCAATGTAAGTTTTAACAGAGACAGAAAAGAAGAGAACAGCATCCTCGGAGGAACGGCTCACCAGGCATTACGCTAGATAGGGAGGATATAAAATATGGCGTCCTTTCATGAATCTTATTAAGATATCCGTAACACCGACGATAGCAAGTTATGCGGCCGAGAGAAGGAGAAAGAGCGAAGCGAACTTATGAAGAAAGGAGTAGGTGTGTATAATCCTTATAGCTACACCGCTATATATCATCGCTAAGTCCTGTAAGGAAAACAGGATAGATATTTATAAGTTACGAGCCTCTTTGCGCGAACTGTTTATTTAACTCAATAATCGTTTATCACTGAGATCAGCATTTTCTCTGGTCTCTATAATTCGGGCATTTTCATTTGCACGTTTGAATTATAACCAGCGCAATTTAATTTTAATGGAAAAATCACGCATAACAGTACAACGCGGATAGTACAATAAAGAGATTGCGACGTTTGCGTGATGCATATAAAACGGGAGCGTCTGCATTCATTCGATTCAAAATCAGCACATACATTGAGAATATGTCGGCATCGAAGCTTAGTAGGTACAATGCGCGGAGCGGTCTTCATTCACAATGTTCAGATCTCCGTGAACACCTTGGAGGTACAAATTAATCCCGAGCGTGGAACAAAAATATCCCTGTTTCGGTTCAAACTCCACTGATTTTATGTAAATGACGAGATTGGATCACGACGAATCAGCGAAAGCTTACGTACGTGCATATTTTACTTTCTCATGAGTTACTTCGAGTGTATTTCGCGGATTAAGCGACCCCTCTCATTAGAATTGCTTCGGCGTTAAGTCGTTCCTTTAAAAATTCACTAAGAATTTACTTGCGAATTTCATGAAAAGGTTTCAATTTCTGGTATACTGGGTGTCCAGTGACTTCATTGCTGTAGCTTAGGATTGTATTCATTGGTCAGGTTTAAGTCGAAACCGTCTTATACACTTTTATCCAAAAGTCTATACTTAAGAAATTTTGAGTAATATTAAAATTCATAAGAGGGTGTTGAGTAATTAAATCTAATGTTTGTAGCTCTATGAAGAGTATTAGGGTAGTTGCGTATAGATATATCTAGAGATGCGTCTATTGTCTAGAGATGTTAAATATGGCTATCTCAGAGGCTAGAATTTTACCTCATTTTCAACAAAAAAGTGTAGCAAATTATCGATTTAAAATTGACCAATGAATACGACAATTTCGTTTAAAAATAGCCTAGTGACCCATTAAATCGAAATCAAACATTGTTCCTGCCTGCTTATTCCTGCTCTTCAACAATTCAATTCTCGAGAATATTTTAATGATAAAAAAAACGTTTTGACAAGGATTAAAAACGCTATTAGCCCCGAGTTCAAAGACGATTGTGCCCATAAAAGATTTGAAAAGCCGGCGGCAGGCGGTAAATATTTAGTAAGCTACGTTCCGTTTTCTCGGCTCGGCACATAGGCAACACAGATAACGTCCTGCGGTGTATAAACCTCGTATAGCAAATGAAATATGCTTGTCTTTTGCGCCGTTTGTAGCGCGAGATGAATTATGTACCGCCTTTCCGTATTATTTTCTCCCCAGAGTTAGCGTTAGCTTCTCCTTCGGTATCTCCTAACTTTTTTAATGGCTGTTATCGAATTTAGCAGGAAAACCAAGGCAGATTTTTTTCACTAATGTTGGGTGGATTTTAAACTATTCTAGTTGGTTCGTTTTTGCAAGGTCCTTACTCTGCTACGAGTATAATAATCGTTAGTATCAATATCGTCGTCCAGATGCTTTTCTTGTATTTTCTCTCTAGTTTATTAAAATCTTAAATAGTATATTTTCTGTGAATAATACTGCTATATATTACTTTTGAAATCAATTTTCCAGTCTTGTCTTTTAAGTGCTATTATCAAGTCTGGGCAAGACTGAGATAATACAATTAATGCTGAAGTATTTTCTCTCTAGTTATAATCCCAAGCATCTTATATTTTGTTAAATTAAATATTAAACCAAGTTTTTCAACGAAGAATACAACTGTTGTATATTACTTTCGAAATCAATTCCAATTTTTTTCAATTTTCTCTCTCCTGTCATCAGCACCACTTGGCAATAGCACTAATGCTAAAGTATTTTCTCTCTAGTTTAAAATCCCAAGTATCTTACGTATTGTTAATTAAATATTAATTAAACAAAGTTTTTGTGCGAAGAATACTCCTGTTGTATATTACTTTGTAAGTCGATTCTCCAGTCTTGTCTGTCGCCTCAGTCTCAGCTGTTCGAACGGAGAAGCAAACTATAAGCCGGGCTTAATACTTACGGTCCCGGCTTCACACTTGATCATATTTATGCGATGGACGGATTATCGGTAGCTGACTGCCTCTTACACTTCGAAGACGCCTTATATCGATTTATGGGACATCTACTACTTATACTGTTACGGTAAATCCTCGTTAGACGGCCGAAATGATACCATTACGTCGCGAAACTTCCAGCGACTCCTTTTTCTTTTCCTAATTTATAAATTGCCTTCCGTTCCTGTTCGTCTTTAATTGCCGTAATTTCACCTTATTTTTTTTACCTAATTAATCGCAAAATTGCATTGCGAATCAATCGAATGCGATGAACTTTCACTGGTGAAAACACCATCGTATTCGGGGCGAAAAAATCTAATCTAGATTTATTTTATAATATCTGAATAATAGCGGTTTAAATGATAAATCGTAAACGGTTTTCCGGGCACCGACTGAGACTTTAAAATGGTTTTAAAATTCCACTCCTCATTTCACTTAAGCCGCAAACGGGAGAGAACTGAAATCGTGCAGGTTGGTTTTAAATTCGGATGAGCTAAGCAACAGGTTAGCTGTGAAAGGAGTTGAAACGGAATAGCCAATAACCGAAAGATTCCTTTCTTGATTATAATGTGCTCCGTTTTATTTGTTGTTTGTAATTTGGAAGTAAATTGGTCCTTATCCCTTTTTATTATGGGATTATTTGTGTAGCGTAGGTTTTTTGGGATGTTCGATTTTATGCTATTTGCAATACAGCGGTATCAGCAAATTTAAATTCCTCAAATCCCATATGGACCGGACGGGCTTATTTCTTTAAGACAAATATTCGGTCAACCACATAATAAAATTCGGTCAAGCGAATCTTATTTTTGAATTCAGCAAGTTTTTTTCCATTTACAATTCGATACTTGTTAACAAGGATTTCCCGATACGTAGGTAGTAAAATAACGTGATTCCACTACCGATTACGGTTAATTAACAAGTTGACTAAATAGCGGTCATTTCGGGAAGTTGACTAAGACGGCATTACCGCTACTGTTCAATAGATCTTCTAAGGTCCAAAGTGAAAAGCGAATTCTACTTGCTTGGCTAATTATAAGCGCCGAAGTATTAAAGACCGTCTACTTTGGAAGTTAAGGCAAAGGAGTTGAGCGAGTGCCTATCTGACCGCATACACGCCACTCCAGAGGACGCGCGGTCTATAAAACGTCCCTTTAATGGCCAATTATGTGTATTTAATCGGTGAAGGGTAATTGCACTCGGCGCGGAATAATTGGAAAATTTGTAGGCACCTAATAGGATGCGAATGCGAAAAATTGCGTGCAAAAACTGATAATAATTTTCTCCTCGCTTTAATCGAATTTGCGGGTTTTCAAACGGGAATTCAACAATTTTTAAGAGCGCTAGCCCAACTTTCTATATTGCTTTAGCGGCAAATAAGGTGATCATTATTTCATTATGTACCCAAGTAAGTATAAAGTAGGCACTTTGATTCAATTTGTTTAACGAATGAAAGCGTTAATTAAAATTTTTTGACATCCACTAATTTGTAATTTTCTTCAAGAAACTAAAAATTATGGAATTATTTTTTTTATATTAAACTAGCGCCATCGTTTATTAACATCGACAACCCGTCATAACGCAGCCTAGTTAGATTTGAGATAACATTATTACATTCTGTTATCAGTGTACCTGTTATCTTAATTTCATCTTGTTGACTCATTGTGAGTTCTAAACTACATCGCGATTATATCGAGTCAAAAATTCACTAAATACATTCAATTTGAATTACTAAACGATGTTCTCAAATTCTGTGTAATTTTATTGAAAAATGAAGGGTTGGTGGTGCATTTTCGGTGTTATTCCGGTACTGGAAGCGATAACCCTTCAGATTAATGAGTGTCCCAATGAATGTTTTTGCGATGAACATATCGCAGACTGTCATGATAGAAATTTGGATAAATTTCCAGACGGAATAGGTGATGCAGATGTAAGTAATATTACGAGGTACTTTTATATATTTTTATGATGGATTTATAGAAATGTTTGTATTATATAAGTGTATGAAATGAAATATTTGATAATTTTGCACACCACTGGTTTTTTCGCCTACCTGCCTCACCGGGAGGGTTTGAAACCACTCCTATTAGACCTAAATTAAAAAATTCCAATACATTTGAATCAATGACTAGGTACTACAAATACAGTTGCTATTAAACTCTTACATTATCTAAAATATAAGTGTCTTGTTTACTAGATTTGTTATTTTTATTTACGTTAAAAATATAAGTAAATCTGTCTTGTTTAATTCCAGAATATTTTTATATTATAATATTTCAGTAAAACAGGATAGGTGTTGTTAATAAGTAATAAAGCAAACATTACATTATTTAATATAACATCTAATATAAAACGATAATCTAAAAGTGCCAATGTTTCGCATAAATTTGCAGGGTTTATTGATCAATATAATACGACTAAAAATGGAAAGTGGTCCAGTGAAAACCAGAATTAATCCCGGCCTATCCAAATTTTATTGTTTTAAAATTATTTTTCTCTAAACTAAACTATTGTTCAATTAATTCAAATTATATACATGTGCACTTGATAAATAGACCTACATAAATGCAAATTGTCGTTTCCACGTAGAATTTTGTGTATTTAATTTTTTTTTTTAATTTTAGATTGTCAATTTAGATGTTTCTGTCAATAGGATAACGAAAATACCGGATGGTTTGAGCAAATTTGCGAGCTTGAAATACCTCAACGTATCTAACAATAGGATAGCAGCTTTAGGTCACATGGACTTAACCAATTTAACTAATTTACAAGGGGTGGATTTTACGTATAACTCTTTCCACGATTGGAAGGATATCCATTCGCAAGTGTTTACGTATTTACCGAATTTAACGTACCTGAATTTTTCCAGCAATCCAATTAGTAATGTCCCTCCTCGTTCGACGCATTTTAAAATAAAATCCCTAGAAATTTTGAAATTGAACAATTGCTCCATGACTACGATTCCGAACGGGTTTTTGAGCGGTATGACGAGCATCAAAGAATTGCATTTCAGTTTGAATCCTATACAAAAATTAAACACGATTTTCTATTCGAAATCGCTCAAATTAATGGACATCAGTCGAACGTTTCTGACACAAACATCGCCAAATGCATTCGTAGGCTTAAGGAAACTGGAAACTCTGCTACTTAACAGAAACAGATACCTCAGAAACGTAACTATAAATTCAGAAACTTTACTCTACTTGGATATTTCGGATAGTTTTCTAGAAACACCTCCATACGGAGCAATGAAATCGCTAGTGCAATTAAATCTATATGGAAATATTATTAGGATATTAACAAACAATATTTTTGCTAATATGTCTAATCTACGGGCGCTCAATCTGTCCCTAAATGCCATCACTTCGATCGAAGCAAACGCATTCAGAGCACTAGATGAATTAAAAATTTTGGATTTGTCCTACAACAAAATCAGCGTTATTGAAGAAAGCACGTTTTTATCCACAAAATCGTTGCTTACGCTGGACATATCACATAACTATTTAACATCAATAGACAGTATTACCAGTATGTCTTTGAACGTACTGAACGTAGGCTACTGTGAAATAAAAACCATAGGAAAATTCGCTTTGTCAACTTTGCCGAAGCTCACTAAGCTCTCGTTGCAAAGGAACTTCATTTCGTACATTCCCGACGAATTGGTGGGAGGCAAACTAAGAAATTTGGATCTCAGCGATTGTAGAATAAAACTAATCAACAACATGACCTTTAAGAACATGTGTTATTTGCAAATTTTAGATTTGTCGAGCAATCGCCTGACCTCCATACAATCGAGCAACTTCCCTCCCAGCTTAGCAATACTCAAATTAAAAGACAACCAATGGAGATGCGACTGTTCCGCGATAAAAGACACATTCGAGTGGTTACAAAACCACGAATCAGACGCTGAGGATTTATTATGCGATTCTCCAGAAAACTTCGACGGCGAGACCTGGCAAGTAGCTTGCCAGGACTACTGGTACCCCACACCAGGAAAGAAAGACCACGTATGGTGGTACTCCGTAGCTCTAATCATCTCCATGATTTTCCTCCTCTGCACGGTGATAGCCCTAAGGAAAATCAACGAAATCCGAGAAAAACGAATCAGGGAACTCGAAGAGACCAGGCGGCAAAACGAGAGGGATGCCAGAGAAACGTTGCAAAGAATGCGACAGATGCACCGCGATTACAGGGAAGAGACCAGCAGGAATGCACCGGATCCCAGGGATAGCCAAGGCCCGCCATCCTATAACGATGCTCTGCTGCTGCCGCGTCTCGACTCCTCGCATCCCAGCCTGGCAGGAAGCCTGCATAGCATAGTAAGCAGCGTCCACGGCAGCAATCCTGATGTGACCAAGAAACCGAAAGTGAGGCGGAAACGGCGGAGGAGGCGATCAGATTCCGCCGAAAGATTACCCAGGCGATCGATTGTGGAAGATTCGAATGATTCAGAGCCGGATCGATCGCAAAGGCCTTTAGAAAGCGATTTCTGAGCGCGCCCAAAGACTGTTTTGCTCTTTCGAAAAGTTGCACATTGTTTAGATTAACATTAATGAAGTGAATTGGTAAATTTCTAATAGTAAATAATGTCCCTACATGTTATTTTTGTATCAAGGCGATCCAATTAATGCTGTTAACTGGGCTTTGTATTAGGGGACATAGCTATATTTATCCTTGTAGTTTGACTAGTCAACATGATGGTTCACTTCTAAAAATTAAACAAAAAAGTCTACTAGTAATAACTTATTTATGTTAGAATAATCCTTTGCTATTTGTAAAATTTCTTGTGCTATGTTCAATTTAACTTGTGTATTTAATGTAACTAAATATAACGATTGTTAAAATTCAAATTAAAATTGCCACATCCTGTATGAGTAAATTCAGATTTTGTTATAACAAATTTAATTTATATCAGAGTATAAAAATGCTATTAAATTAGTTTGTATTAATTTCCTTTCGAGCTTTATTTGTTTATTAATACTCTGAAACGACTAGGAATTTCTAATTCGTAGTAGTTATGATAGCTTTAGGCTAAATTTATCATATCTTTTTAGCTGATCTGATATGTTGCATATAAAATTACAGCGTTTTTAAATGAAATACATGTACTTAGATTCTAATTAGATGTAAAAGTTGACGAATGTATTTTGTTATCGAAAATGACATATTTATAATTTTACTGGTTGTTGATGTATAGATTAACAATATAATACAGTCCATAATTGTCAACTGTTTAAATTTTACTGAATATATAATGATTTTTTTAGAAAAATAAATATTTATTTATTGTATTTAGTTAAAAAAAACAAAAATAATGATGGGGGAAGTACCCATACCCAATACCTTAAATGCAATATGCACATAATAAATCCGAATAAGACAAACAAATGCATTAGGTTTGAATCTATCACACTTTCTACGAATTTCTAAAGAGGAATGTTCAAGTTTATCGATTCTTCAGTAGACATAAATCATTTGCGTCGATGCGTGTATTTCGTTAAAACAATTGTGATTTTACTTCAGGAATTCAAACGTATGCATTTACAATCAATCGCATTTTCTATTCGAGTTGTTCGCCTCCTTTTCTTTGCGCACCGTCGTCCCGATAAGGATTCAAAACGTCTCTGAAGATAGTCAAACATCACCGTGTTAAATGGTAACTGCCACAAAGGCTTCAAACGGCTCCGCGAAAAGTGTAAAATAAATTCTGAATTTCATTTTTAACGCGACTGAATATCCTCGCATTCCTTACAAGGATCTCCTAAGGTGAGGCGCGTAATGCAAGTAAGAAGTTCCTGAATGCTGTGATCAATATTAATAAAAAAATTTTAATAGAATTGTCTTGGTTATTCATCTTCAGAACCTCGTTTTTCTTATTGATGAACCCGCAGAAATATGAACCTATACAACGTACAAGTTCAACATATTCCTAACTGGTTCTATTTTTTGTTCGAGATCCATATCGGTAATATCCTTTACTGTACTATTTAAGTTGGGAGAATTTTAACTTGCATTGCTTTACGATTAAGATCACGCGATCCGTTTGCGAATGTAATCTTGTTAATTGAAATTGGATATCCAACGTTTATAACTAAAGTGACGTCAAACCGTATGACAGGTATTTGTTACTAATTACACATTAATTACCGGTAGTCGATTAAAAAACGTCATTTCACAAGGAATTCCAGTAGATCGAGTAAGAAAAAAATGCGAAATTTCAACTCATTGATTCGTGTAAAAAAAATTAATGTTTATCCGAATAACACGTACGTACAAATGGTCCAGAGTTCAGAGGTTAATTATTTACACCGCAATAATTAATAATTCGTACAACGTTTTCCAATATAATTATTTAACGCTATTTCGGATACGCCTACGTTGTTAAATTAAGCTATTAGCATTTTTTTAGATCCATTAACAGATTTACGTTTTTGTTTAATAAAATCATTCGTTGATCTGCAATATTTATTATAGAACTACATATTTCACATTGTTACCAACGGAGCGCGAAGCGCATTTTATATTTAAAATAATTTTACGCCCGTGCGAATGCGTAATAAATTGGTATTTTAAATAATTGGTAATAATTTCACACGAGAGTTTTTTTTCTTATAGATCTTTTGAAGTGATTTCTTACTTTTAGGGTTTGTTATTGTTTTTAAATGTGCCTAATTTGTTAAATATAATATAATGGTAGGGAAGTTCATAACTGATCGAAATCAGTCCATATTATTACGAGTAATTAGCTTTTGCTTCATAAAATATAGGTTTCGAAATTGAATTTTGTGAAAGTTTTAGCGGACGTGCATATGTACTTATATCAATTACAGTAAATTGTAGATAAAAAAACTCATTTTTAGTTATTACTATGCAATTCTAAAACTTATCTGGAACTCTAAAAAAATTGCATCATTTTTGTTCATGTAATTAGGCACAAATTGTAACCTTTAGCAAATGAGAATCATTGGTGTCTTTTTACAAGTGCCGCAATTTCGCTAATATGCAAAAAACTCTATTCAAAATGGTCTAGTCAGTCTATCTTTTAGTAATATTAGCCATAGACAATGTGGTCGATGACCTGTTACTGAATATCCGTTAATTTCATCTCTTTCAGAACATGTTGTTGGCCGACTATTCAATAATTGACCGTATTTTTAGTATCTCAATTTAATTTCGCAATGAAAAATTATATTGGCTTGTCTGACGGTGCAAAACCTATCAAAAAAAGTCTCGAAAATCACGAGGAACATGTCTGGTGTAAAAAATAAACGTTTTAAAATCGATAATCAAAATGTTTTTATATTGATACAGGCATTAAATAAATTGATAATCCAATAAATGCGCAAAGTGTTAATACTTTTTTAATAGTATAATTGATATTTTTATTTTTTGAATTTCAAGGTTCTTTGGCAAAGTTTCTAACAATGTCCAGGCATGTTTTTTCGTAAATTTACTTATAAGTAATTAATTACTATAATTAGCATTGATAGTTAAATTTTTGAGGTATATTAATGAGAATTAAAACCGGTATATGTATTCGTAGATGGTTTGAGTAAAGATTGAGATACAAATTTCGGGAATTATGTAACAGATAGCAGTAAAAAAGTGTTATTTACATACCTACCATAAATATATTAATGCTAATTAGATAATTCAGCCCTGACTGTGATTTTTCTTCAGGGCTAATGCGACAACCAAATGGTAATAAAAATATAGTAATTAATTAAAAACACTATAAATATTCTGTACCTTCAATTAAGTCTATGTATATTATTAAATTTGAAATTGTGTTCGATATTTACAATTTTTTATTTCCATCATGTTGTATAATCGTTTAAAAAAATGTTTCACTGAAAGTATTACATGCAAGTAAAATATTCATTCTGACCTTAACCCAGTCGTGTGTGTACATATAAAACAAACAAAAAATCTTCCTCTCGTTTTTTTGTGCAATACTTTAAGCAATTATTCAAATTCTCTCATAATTTAGAGTTTTGTTCGAGTTTAACATCATCACAACTGGTGGTCACGTCGATGAATAAAAATATTTTACTATCAGTTCATCGTATCATCGGATGATAAATTAAAGAAAGTCCGTATAATTAAACAATACCAATAAAGCGCCAATTCATTAATAACCACGTCTCATAATTCACGTATTAATGTTATTGTGAGCGACAGCAATACAAAGGATTAGTCTTTGGGATATCCGGCAGAGTCCTCAACAAATTTACATTTATGCATAAGAAGCGTTGCATACTGCATACAAAATTACAAAACTACTCCGACGAAATGAACACAATATACAATAGGAATATGAATTGTTTGTAGTTATTTCCACGATTATGAGTGTTGTACAGTGGCTTTACATTATGTTTGTGTTATTAAAGCGTAAAAATATAAAAAAATGACGAACATTAGCATTGAAGCAAACAATAACTTGCCAAATAACCTGACTGATAAATTAATACCACGGGCACTTTGACCTATCAAGCAAACTACTATAATCGTAATCATTAAATTTACGTATTGTTTGTGTAGTAAAAGAGAATTTATTACCTGTTCCATGAAGTAATCTACGTAAAACGTTTTACCACCTAGTTAACTAATAAATAAATGTTTTAAAAAGAATTTCATATCTAATGTTTCCAATACATATTATATTTTCACGGTTGAGTAATAGGTCTTATAGTTGTTAGGAAATCTAAGTACCTACCTCTTTGGTTTGATAGAAACTCGACAAATACAACTATTCCTAGAAATATGAATTGAAATATTAGATAAAAGTAATGGATATTAAAAAAATGTAAATTGTTGAAGAAATAACTTCAATTTTAGATTGGGTAAGTGCATACAGGGTGTCCCATTTTAATCTCAATAAACACAAAAGTTTATCAAATTCAATTCATTTAATCTTAATAATTTTTTTACCAATTATAATAACGATCGATTTTTGTGCTACTATCAATAATTGGTGTCAACGTTTGACATTTTAATTAACGTTATGCGGCCCGGAGCGGTTGCCTTTTATCAATACTATTGAACTTTACCGGTTTATTGGTTATATTTAATGTCGAATTGATTAGCCAGCTTGTAAGCAGATTGTGACCCTCCCTGAACCCTCACAGAAACTCTATTAATAAACCGATTAATAATCAGATGGACGATTTTTATTGAAACCTATATAAGTTATAGACTGAGGATGAACTTTTTTTTGGATTCGTGTAGCAACAATTTTATCTTTAATGTCGTTAAGGTCGTTTCGAATAATTTTTATTGCGGTAACAATCAATTTTCGCATAAAGATACGAATTGAATGTGTGAAACGTTACACTTGACATGATTCCAATCGGATTCGATTTATTTATCGAAATCATTTAATAGTCTCAAGGCTGCAATTAGTTGCATAATTAAACGCTGATAAATAAGAAAATATATTTTAATGCTCTTCCAGAAAAATTGCCTTTGACCTCTTGATTGAGTTGTTGTGGCAAATCTCGATTTTTTGCGCATAATTGTCGGATCGATGGAAATGAATTTAATAAGAAAATAAAAAAATTCGGTTAAAATAAACGAAGAATTCAATGACTGCGCCGATTTCCCAATAAAAACAACTTTATATTTTTATTCAATAAACAGCTGATTAAATGCTAATTATAAAACTGTCTACTATTTTGGATAAATAAATTAGTGTTTTTTGAAACAAACAATTTTTGGTTAACAAACGAAATAAATATACATATATGTTGAAAATTACTATTTTTGTTGGCGCCATCATCGTTAAATCAATTATTTTGAAGAATCCGACAAGACAACATGTTTTTGCATTATTCACGGTCAACATATAGGTAAGTAGGTACACATGTTGCGTACTTTAAGCACTGTAATTTTCAAAATTATATGTATTTGACTTAATACTACGCATGAGACGTCATTGATATCTAATTTAAATATTTATACGAATTTTGTTACATCGTATTCCGATTTGTTTGTACTTATCACAAATAACTGCATTTTCAAGCCAATAATATCGAGTTTTGTGCGATTTGAACTATCTCAGTTCTTAAAGACCCTTTTTTGTATTGCGTAGATAGAGACTAAATCGCCCATAACCGTAAGCGCAAATAATAATCAAACGCAATTGATTCCATTAATTACCGTTATTACGCTCAAGTACATTATTTTGATAATTGCTTAATGATTAATAATTTGATGAAAAACTTATTAAAATGCAATAAGACATTAAATTACTTTTAGGATGTCATTCAGCCACATGTCAAGAACTCCATCAGCGTAACCGTTAAATTAAAATTGCGATTAAGTAATTAGAAAATTCGAATTTATTAGATTTCTAATAAGACATTCGTTAAAATACTGTACCCGATGTACAATATTAGTAATAGTTACAATTAATTATTGCCTTATTACAATTTAAAAATATCGTAGTTTACGGATTATCAGACGCATCTTAATAGGAGAGAACAGGTTTAAAAATAGTGAAACACTTATTCAAATCTGAAAATATTAATAATTGACAAACTTTGAATCACAATTAGGTGTGAAGTATTTATTTATTGAGTACATAAGATACGTTTATTTTCCTGAAATGACATCATATTATGGAGACAAAGTTCTAAAAGTATTTTTTTGTAATTAAATTATTATTTGAGGTACGGAACGTGTAAGTGTGCACAATTAATCTTCGATTGAGTGCAAGTTTCAGAACTTGCGTAAAATATTCAGAATAAATTTTTGTGATCAGATGTAATGATGTTGAAAATATTATACAATGCATTCATACAAATCGACTCGACTTAGAAATTCTTACGAGCTTTAAAAATTTAATCTACGTACTAGTTTCGATTACCTACCATAAAAAAATCGAAAAGCCCCGTCCGTTTTTTTTATCATAGATCCCAACTTTTAGTGGCCATTCGGCCATTATTCATTTGGTTTAAACTGAAGGAAAGAATTTTCGGTCGGTATTATTCAAAAGAATGGCCCGTCCATCTTTTTAAGCGCTTTACATGTCTGACAGAAATTCCAGACGTATTTAAGAACTGGGGTGGTTAAAATATGACCATTGTTTGGGTCACTTCGGTAAAGAATCTATAAAACGGAATACAGCATAAGAAACAATTAGTCAATAAAAAAGAAGATAATTAAGAAAAAATATAGCACAATTTTGTTGCAAAAAAAGAATTTGTTTTTAGATATTTCTTTAGTTTAATTTTAAAATATAAAAATGTTGTGAATATATTATTGGTAAATTACTTGTTTATTAAACATTTGCATAATTTCCCATGCCCGCACCACGAGATATGTCCGAGGCATTATCAATATTTTTTATCAGCATGCATAGCCATTGAACCTTAAACAAATATTACGACAGCAATGTTATCCACGGTGGTCTCGTACAGCATAAATTAGTTTTTATTAAGACTATCAAATGCCACTCTTCTCTTTTGCAGTGCAGATTACAATCAGGTTTGACTAGGTCGGACGTAAGGATTGGTACGGATGGATAAATAACCGCGCGATTTTGTTCAAAGACTTTTAATTTTCTCTAAAAACGTATACAATGAAAACAAAACGGATTACATGGTTCTTAAATCATCATTAAATCATAGAAACTTGCTTTTACCTTATTTTTCAACTTTGAGGAACATCAAAATCTTAATATATGAAGGGAAATTGGCAAGCAGTTCCATTTTTATATATTAAGATTGGATACCGATTCGAGTTATTACTGCATTAATATACTTTTTTCCAATAATCCGGTACCTAAATACAGCATAATTAATTAATTTGCAACTTGTAAATTGTGTGATTTATTAATGGACAAATAACGTTCCCAACTCAATTTATCTATAACGGCGTTATTTGGAAAAAAATACGAACAGTAAAAAACGGAGTATCTCTAAAATGGCTAGCGATAAGAACATAATGTAAAAAGTACATTACAACAAAACACAATTAAAATGGAAACCAGTCCTTCTTTAGTGTTGTCCACATCGGCAAAGTATTTTCTGTACTTTTTCCAGTTCAACGACTATGAACAACTATGAATCAGTCAACTTATAGCAGAAAACAACGATTGATTAAAAAACCAACCAAGGCCGCCAGATAATTTTAATGAACAAATTTTTACGATCTTACTACTTGCAATATTGGAATATCGTATTGCCCTGAGTTTACCTAATTTCTTTAATTAAATCGCTCAAACATTCGATATTAGTCAATGGAAACATAAAAATAGGCTATATTACTGACAATCGGATCTTCAGAAGACATTGAACCTGTAACACTTCTATCGGATAGAATAAATTTAGTTGCTAATAATACTGTACAAATTACACCTGGTATATTCTAGGTATAACGAAAATGTTTTATTATACTAAATTATACACTGCGTAACTTTTTTAGCGTTGGTTTAATATCATTTTTAACATAGGTAGTAGTTATATCTTATGAACATTTAACTACCAATTAGATCATATATGCAAAAAAAAAACTTTTCTTAATTTGTACCATTTTGGTTATAATAATCAACATAATATTATACAATATAAAATATTTAAGCAAGTTCTATGATTCTTCTATCAGTCACACATAATATTCCACGAAATAAATCAACATGTTATAAACATTTATATCATCCTCCAACAATTTTCGTTACATGTTTCCATTAAGACAAACGCCATGCTTACAATTAGAAGAAGATATAAAACATATTTCACCACAATCCATTATTAAAAGTGTCCTCTAGCCCTTTACGCAAAAAGTCTTGTAACAAATAACCGTCGTACACTGTGCACTACTAAGTATTGATGAAGTTACTTTGGCAACGAATATAAATATATAAAGTCAATAACAGTCGAAAAAAATATCAGGAAATTTTCGAAAAACAGCGTCAATATCCGCGTTGTAGGAATAAGTTAATTTTTATCACAAATGTATTTACTAGGTAATAAATACTGAGGTATAACATCACTAGTCCTCTCAGGGTACCAACGTAGTAACAATTTCACCCTCGCTATTTTTCTGGCGGTGAATCAACAGCGGCGTTCTCGGAATGGAATCCGGAATTTCTCCTTCTTTTATCGTAACCCTTTCCCTCTGGGGCGTGAGCAATTCCGGTTGCAATTTAGGGCGCATTTCCACATCCTCAGTGGGTGAACCGTTCTGAAGCGGCGCCTCGTCTTCCACTCTATCCGGTACCTCAGGATGAGCTAATGGCATAAATGAAGTTAACTTGGGCGCATCGTCTTTCGATTTACCATTCTGGCCGTTAATAAGAGGCGTTTGCTCCGGCAGATGGGTCGCATAAGAATTCGTAAGGGGCTTATCGTTCGCCGCTTTTATAGCGGGTTTGCTCAGCGGCTTCATTTCTTCGCCGGGACCGGAGTTTTCCCGTCGATTATTCGGAGCGCGTTTGCTCCTCTTTTTGAAATAGGCTATCATGAATAGCACAGCTATGAAGATGCCCACGCCGATTACGGCGTACACGGCGGATTGGTTGCTGTTTTTGATGCTCGCTTTTTCAAGTTCTCCGATTTTCGCCGAGGTGTTTTCCGAGTTGGTTTCTATCAGTTCAGCATCGGAATGCGTGGTCGAAGACGAGCTGGGAATCGCGGCGGATGTCGATGTCGTACTTGCTTCAGTGGGGGGTTCTTTTTCTTTAAAAATGTTCAAGTCGTTCCACAGTATGTTGACTTGTTCTTTGAGGGATGGTAATGGCGAAGCGGCTGGATCCACTACTAGAGGTGAAGGAGTGCTGCAGTTTACCATGCAGCCTAAAACACCGGATTCGGGCATTGGGATTTCAAAACCACTGCCTTCATCTCCACTGCCTTCTTCTTCTGCCATTCCATCGTCAATAATTGTATTTTTATCCATAAATATATCTTCATCTTCGTCGTTTAGGATTGATAATTTAGCACTGGGTTCATTTGATGAAGTCTCTTCAAAAATGTCTACATCTCCGGATCCTTCTTTGACCTCATCGTACAACATGATATCGTCCGTGGAACAGTTAACAGCAGATATTTCTTTTCCAGCGTATTTTAAGGGAGAAGAGCACGTTAGTGGTTTTGGTACTGTTATTTCGCTCTTTATAAATTGATCGTAGGTCAGTACGTTATTGCAATCACAGTGAATAGGATTTTTATATAAATCTATCGTTTTTAAATTCTTCAACAGTCTCCATTCTCTAGGAATTTGGCTTAATAAATTATCAGATAGATCCAAATGTTCGATGTTCTGCGGTAACAGCGATATATTTATGTTTTTTAAATTATTGGCTTTCAGTATTAACGTTCTTAAACTATGCAGTGGAGGAATGGATGAGATTTGAACGTTATTGTAAGATAAATCTAAGTAAACTAGATTTCTCAAATACTTCAACTTAGGATCGATTTTGTCTATTGAAGCATTCGTTATTATCAAGCTGCCGATTGACCTGTAGTACTTCTCGGTGTTTTTGTTCAAAAATTCGAAGGACGTCGTCTCCAATCTTTCGCTAGCTGCATGACAAGAGGATCCTTCAGGACACAAATCTAAACTGGCACCGAAGCACACAGCAGCTACACCTGCTAGTAGGAATACTTCTTTCAACATGTTGTCGGTCCTGAAACAAAAAAATACCGAATTGAATGTCTAAAAATGATTAATTTATCTACATATTTAGTACAAAGGTCGCGAATCTAACGAGACTGATAACAAACATTTGTTTAGAAGACGTGCTGTTAAAGGTGACCCAGAAAGCATTTCACCTTTAGATAACAGTGTTAACAACTAGGTTACTTTAAGACCATACATTTTAAATAATTTTGCATATATTGTATTTCGTGTGGGTTCCGATAAAAGGAAGCCAATAAAACACGATTTATTATAAGTCGAAGTAAATTAAAAAACCCAACTATCCTTGAAATGTTAAAACATATTTTAGCGGGAAAAACTGGTTAGCACGTGAAGCTATAACAATAAAATTGTGGACAAACATACACATACAGGAAGTAATAATTAGGCGAAAAAAATTAAGGACTTTTTGAGAAATACTGAAAATTTTAAATAATCTAATTCGATTGTTCAAGACTGTATGTCCATGACCCGCAATGAATCAATCGTGTGAACTGAACGTTACGTAATGCCTTTCGATACATCATGCAAATAGGAAATGAGAAATCCTTCCTTTTGTCCGTATTGTCGACAAAAGTATGTTTAAAAAAGCGAATGTATACCAGAAGACAATACAATTATGCGATTTAATCTACTTAAATTAAATCGCAAACATTAGTTGCGACATGAAACTGATCTAACATTGAAATTACGTTATTTGTACATTTAAATTTTTGTTAACATCAAGATTCAAATTTATTCGCGCTTATGACTGGGCCAAAATAGTGCTAAAAAATCCTTAAAAAAACTCCTATTTTCTAATTTCAAACTTTCATAAAACATGTTTTTTTAAAAAAATAGAATTATTGAGCTACTAATAATCTCACTATAGTTGTAAAATGTATCATAAACACATAAATTTTACCTTTCTAATTCTTTCTCCAAACGTAAATCAACGAGAATTTATTCAAATATTAATAAAAGCGACACGTTTATGCTTTTCAATTATCCGAGTATCTCTTCGGCAGGTTCCTTATAAGGGTGCAACGGAACTCAACTTCGTTGACTTTCATTTTATTTATATTACCACTTTTAACGGAAAATCGATTGGCAATTAGAAACGGTAATGCAATATTAACATTATGGACTAAACTAAGCACTTATCTGCGATTGAATTAAGGGAAAACCCACACCAAAAATTGCTCTGCATTTATTTATAACTCCTTCAATTGAACATCACTATCAATCTTAATATTTCCTTCACAGACAAATAGGTGCTTGCAAAATGCATTTCAAATTATTTCTTTCGAATGAAGCGCAGTATTTTCGAGCTCGTTTATTTCAAGAGCACCATTATCGCCTGTTCCTGTAAAGTTAACAGTTAGATTGTTTGTCATTTTCTTAAGAAATTAGGAAGTTCAAACAACTTTCTTCGCAAGCAGTTTCGTGCAAATGGAGTATTAATTGTAATCACTGCAAACCGATTGAATTACTGAGCAAATTATATTGTAATGTATTGCCTCGAATTTCGACTTTCACCCTAAATCCCATTAGAATAATTCGCAACGGAAGTAAATAGAGATATTTATCGCACCACAAGTATTTCAGAAAATAACTTTAAGTGCCCGGTCTAGTCGCTACAGCGAATTTCTATTAGGGTATTTGTATTCACAGGTACAAATGTCGCCAAGCTAATTGTAAAACTTTTAAAGATAAAAGATAATCATTGCAATAAAAGATTAATCTACCGGTTGCGTCAGAACACGCATTAGTGTCAACAGAACTTTATGCAATAAAAAAATTGTTTTTTGCGAAACAACGTTGCATTTCATTCTGCTCATGAACGTGTGCGAGATGTGAACAAGGTAAAATCTATATTAGGAAAGAAATTTCGGCTGAAACTGGAAATTATTACGAAATGTGGGTATAAAACTGTTTTTAACGAGTAAACATTGTTGTCTATATTCTTATCGCATTTTTGACAAACCGTAAAAACAGACAAGCTCAATGCTTTTAATTATTTCCAGTAAAATTAATTTTAGCGCACTTTAATTACAATTTTCTATCAAAACAGAAACTGCGAGAGTTAATAATAGCCCGGAATATCTTCTTTTTATTTTTGTGCTTATACACCACATCTGTTATGAGCTCTATTTTCCATACACAGATACCTAATAATAACTAATTCGGATCCAAAATCAATTTTTTAAATAGCAACTTTGCACTAATGGAGTTTTTTTCTAATTTTAGTATATTCTAATGAAACACAAATTTAAGAATAGAACTCAAAAAACAATCACGCAGTTTCAATAAGTGATTTTTTTTTTAAATATTGAACAACATTTTTTGGTTCACAAGTACCTCCGATGATAATTAACTCGATCGAAACGTATGATAATAATAAATTGCAACTTTTCGGAAACGCGGTTTGAAAGAGTACCGTTATAATTACATCAAATTGCCTACTTATTGTTCGATTTCGAGAGTGATTCATACGTACAAGACCAGACTGTAGGTAGAAAGCAAGATTGCAACGGTTTAGTAACACTGAATTTCAATAAAACAACTCGCAGGGCAGGCCCAAGGACTTTCTTTTCCATTTTCTATCTCTCGGCCGCGCAAAACGAGGCATTCGTTAATTAATTCGACGCTCACCTTACAGAAAATTTGTTAATGTCTTTTTAACTCCGAAACCATCGACTGTGTAATCTGTTTTTAATTAATAGGAATTTTGTTAATGAAGTCACCAATAAAATTCTCACACACAAATAGGTTTTTAATTAATAAAGTTTTTTATAAGGAAGGGATTGTGCGCCACTGAAAAACTGAAAACACAATCGTTTGTTGAAGGGCCAAATCCTAAACCCTCAAAATCAACTTGATGCCTCACGACAAGCACTAAGGTAGTAGTAGAAATAGCATCGAAGTTAATAACTGAAATAAATGTACAGAGTGGCGCTAAGATGATTTCTAATTCGAAAATACTCGAGTGGTTCCAGCAAAGATTATCCTACGGGAAGAATAAAATATTTCAATATTGGTATAAAAATTCGCATTAGTTGGAAGTAGTTGTGTTCAATAAAGATGTATTTATTTTAAAATTTTTGAAAATTCCGGTAGAGACACCCGGTAGGATGGACGAATGAAAGTGAGAACGGACAAGCTGTGCCGACGTGCTCAGTTAAAATTGTCTACAATTTCGAGTTAGAATGCGGCTTATGTTATTATTAAAGCGATTGATTCCTAACCTTAACCAATAATTTCTTATTGTAACATCGAGACGCGATAGGAATTGAAAAATTTCGTTCCATTAACAAAAGAATATACTGGAACAAAAAATCGAAAATACAAATAGAATCGCGTAAAAATGTTTGCGGTAGAGCATTGTAATAGTACATCCGGTTTTTTAAGAATTTGCATTCCTATTTCCATTGCAAATAAAGGGCATTAAACTAACAATAAAATTAGCAGCTAAGATTTAAAAGCTATTACGAAATTTTTTACTTATTCAAAATCGAAGACCAATACAATAGAGTAATCGATTTCGCAAGTATCCAAAAGTGGCAGATAATTAACAATACGTGTAATAAACAGGGAATAAATAATCAGAATTAGTGTTTAAAAGATCCTACGTGAAATAAAATTGGTGCCATAGCAAAACAAATAACTAATATCTACTACATATGAGCAGATAAGATAACACCGACAAATATCGGTTTCAAAATTTCATTTAGGTACACAAGAAGATCGCTCGCGAATTTTAAATATTGATAACTTATCAACGGATTATTGAATTTACATATAATAGAAAAATCTAAGAATTGAAAATGACGTAATTTTCGACAAAAAATTCAAAGGACAACGTCCAAAATATGATAAGAGAGATAACAGAATTTTTCCCCACTAAAATTAAACAATTACCCCAAACTTTCATTCACGAATTTCCCAATAAATTCATCACTCACCGATTGTTTTATTTTCTTTCGAAAAAACCAAAATTACGCACAGAATTTGTAACTCCTCACAGATCTATCGAGTTCGAACGATCGACGAATCGACTTTCTGTCATGAATTTGCACTTCACCCCCGTACGCGCGTACTCCTCACGCAAACGAGCATTTCTTCAATTCTGCAACCGGCGCTGGTCAGAAAGCGGATTTAAGTGGCATTGCCGATGATACCGATTCCGAAATGCGACTTAACTCGTGCGCGCGCGTTTTCGACGCTCGGACGTGCACGAAGTCGAGAGATAAGCGCTGAATATGAGCCCGAGTACAGCAAAAGGGGGACCGTGCGTTACGCAATGGAATATATCGAACGATTTTTTCGGAGGTGGGGCACTTATTGTTGAGGTAGTCTTCGGCATTAAGGGGTATCTAGCACCAGATACCTGATGGGCTGGAAAATTGGAAATATTAATATAAAAAATGCGCCTGATTATGGGATACTTTTTGTTGATAAATAATATCGGTGCCGGTCTAATTGCGGTCTACCGCCCCAACTCTGGTCTAATATGCGGTCTACCTGAGTAACGTATTCGTACTAGGTGGTCTAGCATACTTATAAAATAGTATAATATAAGTAGTATAAATGGTTTTATTGTATTTATTAGAGTTTTTTTTATTGTAATTTCATGGAATCGAATTAAATTAAATACTCGGTACTAACGCAAATTACCCCACCTTACCCCAATTTTTATCAGAATAATTTATTAATTTACAAGATTTAATAAGCCTCCCTTAAAGGCTACTGGCCAAATCATCATGTACCTAATCTTCAGTGTAGAATTTATTTGCAAAATTTGCCAAATACATTTTTTTAAATATCTGTAAGATTACTGTGTAGAAATTAAATGCCCTTGGGCAGACCGCACGCGCCAGGTAGACCGCGTATTAGAGGGTAGGGGGCACCTTAATATCTTTTGAATTTTGGTTTATTTTTTTATTGGCAAATAATATAATTAGAACGAAAATAAAGCTCAATAAGATATGGTATTTAAAGTGATAAATAACCAATAATTATACTTTCAGAAGAGAAAAAAATTGATGTTGCAAATTTCTATTCCCTCTCTATACCTTCATAATTATAGCCGTAATTAGATATGTATTTTGAACTAAGCAAATGAACTCTACTAAATTTTTCGTTATTGTTTTTAGTATAGTTTAATTAGAAAACCGTGTAGATGCAATAATCACTGTAGTTATTATTTATTAAGCATATATTAGTTAGACTTTAAACCTCTGATAGGCTCATTTATTACTTTTAAAAAATAATTATTTCTATATTCATTGCAGTAAAATTTATAAATATCACTTTAATAACTGGTTGTAATTATCTGTTAGAAATACACAATAAGGCGTTTAAGCACTTCCTTACTTTGAAATTTCATAAAACGAAATCGTAAACAACATTAAAGCAATTATCAGTCAATTACAATGAGTGCAATTCCCTTTCATAGTAAAAAATAATTTTTAAATTATCGTGCAGTAGTTCAACGGAATTTTAGTAGGTAGGTACTCACCCAAATTTGGAAATTTTGCAAATGTGTAAAGGGTCTTTTGGGTACTCGCCTGTAGTTCATTCACAGTAATAAATCATTTAATCTTCAAAAATTGACCCAACTCATGGACGTGCCCTGAGAGGATTCGAAGTCTACCTAGGTTTAAGTAAGCACAATATTTTCCTTAGTTCTCCATACTAATCGACTATTGTCATTATCATTTGGCTCGTTAATTATAAGTACATTCCCACGCTCAAGAATATTTATACTTTGTCTCTTGGTACAAAACCCATTATCTAATTGAGGTTACAAATAAAAAATTAGAACCTACTGATAGATATATCATGCGGTAAAAATACATTTTTATCTCTATGACTGATTTTAGGAATGGTGAACTTTGGAATTCGATCTAGTTGATTAGCATTGTCTTCTTGCTTCCTATCTTATGTGAATAATTATTAACATCAAATATATATTTATTATTTTCGATTAATAGTTATTAAATGTTAGTTTGCAATCTTCTTCCAAATAAAAATAATTTTTATTCCAAAAAATGAAACTCGAATCGAAAATCTCGATAAAATTTTTTGATTTTTTAAAATTTAATCTGATCATCCTGAGTTAAAATTTGATTGCAAATCGTTGTTCCAAAATCCAAATTTCATTTACCAAATAAATTATTTAACTTTCCTACAAGCAGGCAACCCCTATTACAAGTAAACGAATATTGGTTGCATATATTTCAATGGGCATTCCTTTGAAAGGGGTATTATTTACTGCTAAATATAAATAATTAAGATTATTAATTAATATACTTAAAGGTAATTATAGTTTATTGCATTTATTAAATAAAATACAAGCTTTATGACTATAATTTGATATTTATACACATATACATATATAATATAAAAAATATTTCTTATTCTAATTTATATTGTAATAATAAATAGATTTTTAAGTTTTTTTACAATTTTAGATGATTTTTCTAGAGTCTTCTAAATTATTTGAAAATTCTTTCATTTCAAGACCTCATTCGTTTGTGAATTTTTAACTATTTTTGCTGGTTTAAGAAGTTTTAAGGAAATTTAATATTAATAAATTTTCAAACAATTGAGGAGTTTTTCCAAGTTCAATATTTCAGAAATTTTATTATTTACTCCCAAAATTGAAAAAAAATTTAGGTACTATTTAAATTTCAACAACCACTTAAAACAGTCCCTGAAAAACTAACAAAAATCTTTAAAAAATTCAATATCAATTAGAAAAAAATTTACAAGACCCTATTAAAATCTAAAAAAAGCCTGGAATACGAAATAAGGGGGCCAAATGAATTAAATAAAATTTTAAAATTATGGCATTATTTCACCTAATTTCCAATTTGATCTGGATGAAATACAAAATAGGCACAACTGGAATATCCTTCGAGAAATAACTCGAAAGACTGCAGGATTTTTAACAACACTCGCCCCCTAATAGTTTCTCTTACAAAACTAATAAAAAAAACTCAATACATGATAATGGGACAGCCGGCCTTGTTGTGTTCCAGCACCTCGAGCTTCAGCAGTCCCACGGTCTCCTTCAACTGGTTAACGATCGAACCCAAATCCGAATTCTCGCTCTTCAACTGCTTCACCTTCTCCTCCAGCTTCGATATCCTCTCGAGCTTCCTCGACCGGCACTTGGAGGCCGCCAGCCGGTTCCTCTGGCGCTTCCGCTCCAGCTTCATCCGCTCCTGGTACTCCATGTCGACGGGCGACATGGGCGGCGAGTGCGGCACCATCTGCGGCTCCTCCTTCACGTGCGGCATGTACGAATCGTTGTAGACGGTGCTCGAGTTGCTGTCGGAGCCCTGCTGCGAGACGCTGTTGTGCAGGTGGCTCAGGGCCTCCACGAAGCCCCCGGCGAATTTCTCCTGCTCGGCGGTGACGGTCTTGGGGAACAGCAGGGAAGGCGTGGGGGTGTTGGCCATGCCGTTGGCCAGTATCATGCTCTCCAGCTCCGGGGTGTCCACTTTGAGCATGTTGAGGTCGGGGGAGGAGAGCAGGCCGGAGTTGTTCGGTTTCTTCTGGTTCAGGTCCAACGTTAGGTTCTTCTTCATGTTCCTGAAGGAGGATTGTTGGTCGTGGCTCATGGTTGTTAGTTGTTTTTGAACAGTTCCCAGCCCAACCAGCTCCACAAGGTGAAGAACAAATACGCAGGTAATACGACGAGACTCAGTAGGAAAATGTAAGTGGAATCATCCAAGTCCATGCAATCGAGTAACTGCTAGTGTAATCCTGCAAAAACAGTTTTCGTTATTTGAAATAATTAAGGCCTAGAAAATCCAGCTAATATGACTAACGTGTACTTTAGGAAATAAATATTTACAAATACTATATGTTTTCTATGCTAGCAAGTAAAACACAAACAAAAGTAATGCTTGTACAGAACCTGCGGATGACTTCCTAACTCTACTAATATTTAACAGAATCTCTCAGGTTTGTGTTTAAACTGAAGACAATAAAATGTTCTATAAAAGACTTGTTTTGAATTACTCATTATTATCAAAACAGGCAAATATAATTTACTTGTAGCATGTTCGGGTGATTGTTTTGAACTCGTAACTTCCCTAAATAGCATCAAAATTTCATAACTCTTGTTGTTAATCGAAGATCTGACTGCACTCTCTCGAAGGATATAAACCTAAAAATAAATCGGATAAATATCTTACCTTTTATTTGATATTTTGATGTTTTCTTGATTCTTCTGCTAAACGGTGGTAGAACTTTTGGAACTCTGTTTTATATTATTATTATTTATATTATTATACCAGTATATTGTTAAATTGAAGTTCTTTGTGTTTAAATTAGAAAGCGAATCTCGAATTTGATATAAAGAGGAAAACAGGATGACATCATTGATGTGATGAATGACGAATCCACTGATCCACTCATACGCAATATAATGATGACAAGTGACAAGAAAAACCTTGAGCCAAAAACGATCCGGACGGCTCTAAAATTTATTTTTTTTTCATTTTAATTTGAAATTTTTACGAGTGTAAATATCATACAAATAAAATCATGTATTTTTGATAATTATTATTATTATTTTTGGTTAAATCATTAAATATGTCAATGTCACAAGTGTGACATATGTCAATAAAGCGAAATGTTTTTTTATGTGGTCAGACTTAGCAATTTAGCGATTTAATTAAACAATTTATTGCTTTAGAAACTAATAAAAGCTTCCCGTCGTAGTTTTTTTTATTTAATTATTCGAACTTAAATTAAAATATGTTGTGGCCAATTACTCACAAATAGTAGACGAATATTTGAACCAATAGGAACTCCGCTAGTTTGGCTAGACAAGTGACAAGTGAAGCAAAATTGAAGGAAAGGAATAAAGACGCCATATTTGTGAAAATAGTGGGTTTATCAGGGAGTTTATTTAATTAATATAATAACTATACTAATTCATAATTCCATAAACACAGCAACGAAACTAGTAAGGATTATCGAAACAGTTAACACTTACAACCGGTCGATCATTCGCACTCAAAATGATCATTTTCCAACGCACTTAACCAAAAAAAAACAAATATTAATTAAAAACAATCACTTTTAATAAGAACAGTTTTATGAGTACTTTAATTAGTACGTCTTTGTGAATGGGTTCCGCAATATAATGCATTCGATAACCTAACGCATGAAGTGGGTCCAAAAATCAAACATGCAAAGGTTTTTATTGTAAATTAAAAATTAGTTTAATTAGCATTAGCATGGCTAGCTCGTTCGATCACGAGGACAAAGATTGGTAAGATTCGAGAAATTTCTCAACAAACGCATCTCCCTATAACCCGTCGATTTTCAGCTGGTATTTCGGGGCCATTGGCAGGCACGAAGCCACGAATTTGCTCATGGAAGAGAAAGAAGGCGGCGTATTCCTAGTTAGAGACAGCGCGTCATCCGTAGGGGACTACGTTCTGTGCGTAAAGTGAGTAACCAACGATCCAGCCGATGCCGATTCAATTTACCGTGTAATAATTTTCAGGGAAGACAGCAAGGTTAGTCATTATATAATAAACAAGACGCAGCTGCAGGATCAGCCGCGCTACAAAATCGGGGATAATTTCTTTAAGAATATACCAGAGTTGCTGTCGTTTTATAAGGTTCATTACTTGGATACCACTCCGCTTATTAGGCCTGCCACTAAGAAAGTCGAAAAAGTTATAGCTAAATACGACTTCGACAGTCAGGTGAGCCTCTATTTCGAACCAGCACATTCACTAATCTATGTATCTACCAGATCTTTTTGAATTATTTATTTTTTTCTTCAGGAAAAAGATGATCTTTGCTTCAAAAAGGGGGATATTTTAACTATATTATTTAAGGACGAGGAACAATGGTGGACTGCTAGGGATAAAAACGGTAGAACTGGTTCGATTCCGGTTCCATATGTTCAGAGAGTAAGTTCGCATTCTTATCAAATAATTGTAATTGTTAATAACCGCTCGAATCTAATATATTGTAAATATTTACGAGGATGTTATCATATGTTGAGATTTATTTTTAGCGAGTACACTTATTTACAGCTCAATATACATGAAAGTTCCTGGCGAAACTCGCGTGATTGATTTATTTACTTTTTACAGATAGAAGAAACTCAATTTCCTAATGAAATTCCTAGGACAGGTTCCGGCGGTCCGGTTAGTAATGCTTCCTTGCAAGCTGAAGCAGCAAAAAGGAATCAAATGCAGGTTCGTAAAACTTTCTAGAATCTTTAAAATAAGTTGAAAATGCCTCAACAGAAGTCCTTATCAAAAACTTTATCATAGCAAGGACGCATCGTTGAAATAAACGTTAATGAGATTATCTTTATATATTTTGCGTTTTAGCGAAAATTGCCGGCGAAAGCTCGCGTTAAACAAGTGCGAATACCAAATGCTTATGATGATACCGCATTGAAGCTGGAAATAGGCGATATCATAACGGTAACGAAGACCAACATAAACGGGCAATGGGAGGGAGAACTGAACGGAAAAACTGGATATTTCCCATTCACGCATGTGGAATTCCTGGATGAAGAGAACGAAAGTTAGTCATGTTTGTAATTTTTTTCAATGTTTCGCGATTTGTATAGAGCTCGAATTTTGTTTTGTATATTTATTGATTTTTTATCTCAATCGGCACTAACATTAACCAACCCCTACATATTATACATTGTATTCTATCGATTTTATTTATGATCAATTACACACTTGAGCTGTTATCGTTGATTTGTATTTTTTATTAATTACATATCAGTATTTTTGTCCTCTCATTTTATTGTAGATCAAGCGATTCGGCTTTTTCGCCAGTAAAAAAATTTTATCATTCAAACAGCGTCTTATTTAAAATTAACTACAAGAAGTCTGACTGACTACTCTCGAATAAACAAAAATATAGTCAATAATGTATACAATTTTATCGATAAAAAAACGGAGTTGTATAAAAATTCAAAAGAATATAAATTCAAAAATATAAAAAATATTAAATCGTAAAAGTACAAGCCTATTCTAATTTGTGGACGGACTTAAAAATTAGCACAAAATTCTAATTAAGGCCACAACAATTCGATATTCGGAGATTGCATTTTTTTGATCACTTTGAACTGAGAGTAAACTACCAGCCAGCAATACGCCTGAAAAAAAGCAAATATTAACATATACACAAAAAAAATCACCAACATAAATCATTGCTATAAAAATGTACATCAATTAAATAAGTATAATAGATATTACTTAATAGTTATCTGTGCATTGGTAAATCAAATTAAATTAGAATTTTTGCTATGAAATACTTACGTTATATACCATCCAACCCCATATTACAAGTGAATACAATACTGTCTCGAGCTGCAAAAATAAACGTATTAAAAATTAATGAAAATGACAAATTTGTAGAACACCAAAAAGGGACATTCCTTGTTTGTGAAAATTCCATTTCAACAACAGAGTTGCAAAGTCTAGTTAAATTTCTTAGATTTTAAAGGTTTCAGTCCTATACGATTAGTTTTAAACGAATTTCGAAACCAAATTATAAAATGAACGATCCATAAAAAGGGCAATTTAAGGTGTCACTTACGTAAATATAGTAGCCCCCTATAAGCCACAAGCCGAAGACGAGCTGAAAAAGCACGGCAGTACCGAACAAAGTCATCCAGGGTATCATGAATCCTCTAATCATTGTTCGAATGCCGTAGACGAGCGACACGCTGGAGGCGATGAGTAACACAAAGTACAAAATAAGCAAGGCCCCTATAACCTGCATAGCTACAAACAAAACGAGACAACGAATAACTAAGGCTTGAAGTGGGTGTGATACTTACATAGTCGAACATCAGCTTCGAATAAGGGATTGTACAATTGTGTCGAGTCTCCTCCAGCCATATCGAAGCAAATGAATGTGATCAGAACTATACTCATAGCGCCCGTGTAATATGCAATTGCATTGCAACCGGACCTTAGGTTGTCAGTCCAAATGCATGGGGACCAACAAGATGTTAACACCATGTTTTATTCGCTTAGTTTACCTAAAATTTATTATTTTCTATTACCTATAGGTAATTTCAGCGTAAAAGTCGCACGTTAATCTAATAAAGGCACACCCACTTAGAATTTAGAGCATTCGGTTAACTTTGGTAATTGAAATTATGAATAATTGTTGTCAACACAACAAAAGACAACACCCACCTAACCTCATTTGTCAATGTCAAACTTCGTTTTTTTGAACTATTTTGTCTCTTACTGTTTAGAACTTCATCCACGTGGAAGATTTTTAAATATAGGCAACAATTTTTACACTTGTTGATATATTTAACACGAACAGCAACTAACATTTTTTTTAAATTTCAAGTTGTAAAAAATTACTTTGAGGATTCTATTGTTATTTTTCTATCCTGTAAAGAAAATATTGCAACATTTTTAATAATATTTTATTGTGCAAAAAATATGACAATTTTCAATATTTTTCAAATCAGTTTTGTATAAAAAATCTACAACTAAATATCAACCATTTCCAGTTTTATGGCGAAAAAATAGTTGCCTAAATCACTATATGTAAACTTGAAAAACGAAAATTAACCAAATTAGTTGGTAGTGTTGAGAATAAAGCAAAAAAAATTAGACAATATAAATACAATATACAGGGGTGTTTCCAAAAGCCGTTTGTATTTTTCTACATTTTTTTATCCACGCAAAATTATAGTCGGAATGTAACAGGTTTCATTAAGGTGGATTCCTGAATAATAATAAACGTACAAAATATATAAATATTATTAAATAATATAGTTAAGAAAAAAAAAAGAGTACATAATGGACCTTTGGAGACACTCTATATATACATACACATACAACTTTCAGCTGCTTGATACAGATCTCGTTAACTTTTATTTGTACAAAAAATATAATTAATTTTAGCCGATAACTAGCAACGCAGTTATAATGTTAAATGTTTGTTAATTATAAATATATTAAAATATATTACCTAACCAACAACAGTGCAAAGCAATATTCCTGCAATTTTGCAAATACATACATATAAAAAAAAGTAGAGTGCTTACAAAATATCCCTTTATATTTCACACGCACGGAAAGAAGCCATTATCCATTAAATGTCGAAATAGTCCCAGAAATAATAAGAACGTTCAGCTGCAAAATGAGAGATTCTTCTTAAACACAACAAGCAATAAATTGCCCAAAATTAACACGATAATATTAGCACCGCCTGTTTCATTCTCCACTCGCAATTTACGACAATTATTAAATACATTCAAACGAACCATTGCGACACTGAGACACAGTAATTACACTTAAATTCATTTAAGCATCAGGTCAGTTTTTGTACTCGTTCTACTCTCATTGGCTTGTTGAAATGAGCTGAGCCAAGCAAGCGCAATCGTTTGGAAAACAGTCAGAAACGGGTGCAGAAACGAACCTTATTACAACCGATTGCAGCGCCTTTTGCCTATAAACGAATTTTGTTTCACGAGAAAAACTAGAGAGCGAGTATCTACGATTAGATGTACATCACATGTACTGTAAAAGTAGCTACAGTTTTTGTGCAATAATAACGCTTTTATTGTCAATGGATTTGATATTGTCCTCATTTCTGATGTTTTACAAAAACTGGCATTTTGACGACGTCAAAATTATTTGTAAAATATTACGTCAGTGTCGCAAACGGATAGAATTTGTCTTAAATCAAATAACCAGCGTTATCGGGTTGTAATTTAATTGACTGTTTCTTCCATTAACGCTGAGTGAAAAACAAAAAAAGTGGCCATTACGGACATCATTTGAAAATAAGACAAATCTTTACTGCATTCAGAAAAATTTACAATCAAATCAATAGATTCTATTGATTTACAATGTAAATTTTGGCCGCAAAAGCCGTAAATTTTCAGCAAAATAGTCAGAATTACTACATTATTATCTAGAAATACATTCAATCATACAGACATACATACTTATGTATAGGTACGTACAGGATCATCATAAAGTCCAATCAGACCTTTGTCAATTGAAAATAAAAAATCGGAGTATCATTATGATCTTTTAGACTTTATCGGTGTCTAAAACAAACGTCTGATCGGTCGGATAACAACAGAAAAACCCTGTTAAATACACAGCATACGATAATATATCAGAAAATAGAACACAATTGTATTTCAAGTCTAGGAAGCAGAAGCTTTGCACTTCCAGCGAACGATTTTCGGAAGATTCGAATAGTACTTTGCGATATATTATCCTGCATCAAACAAATAACTTTACTTCTTCTCGACGAAGAAAGTCATCAAATGTAATATTAAAGAGTCACTACTTACTAATAGAATTAGAATTTTATAACGAAAACAAGTTGGGCTATTGTATGTAGACTTTTCATCGCGCTAATCCGCACTTGAACCAAAAATTATTCAGAGTTTAACACTTTTAAATCCAACTTCGAATAATATCCGATTCCATGATATCATAAACCTAAATATTACGATGTTTCTAAGTAAATCACATTCACATTTGATGATTATATGATTAAGTAATCGTGACATCATTGCCAGATTAACGCGAATGTAATATAAGAACCATTTTTTATGTGTATTACCCTGCTAACGTACTGCTAACGAAAAAAAAATAAAGCCCGGTAATTATGCGCACCTGTGTGATGCTTAAGTTCCAGTTCAAAAAACAACTACTCAATGAATAAAATTTAGAAAATAGTCAACTCTTAACTAAATTCCGTAAAATAAGGCAGTGTCGGGAAAATATAAAAAGGACAGTATTAATACAATTAAGCTACCACTAGATAAATTGTGGCACTCACAGGAAGGAACAGGAGAATTACCGATGTTTCAATTATCCTGCTGCCGTCCATATGTCTAATAATAATTTAAATTATAGTACTCAAAAGACCGGAAATGATTCAGAGCTCATATCTTAATGTTAATAAACTCTACATTATTTCTGGTTCGAGTATCTACACTCCTGTTCGAAATTAGAGCACCAAAAATAATGATAATAATAAAGTAGCGCTTTAATTTTGAACAGGAGTTTAAATATACAGAATACACCGTTTCCTTGATCGAAATTAATTATATAAAAATAAAAAAATATACATATTTAGTCTTATCAAATGAGAATTGAATAACGAAAGCAGGTACAGTAAAATCCAATTAATCATAAGTCGGAGAATACTTTTTGGTCAATAGAGTTGTTAAATAATGAGCAATTAATTCCGCTTACGTGGATTTTACTGTCAATTAGAAACCATTGGAATATCCTGTATAAACGCTACAAACGATTTTCAACGAAATAATTCCCTAACACTACTACATTATACACATATCGGTTATTTTGATTATGACAGTAATTAGAGCTTATTGATATGGACGAAATCAATATAAAAAAACCGTGGCGTTTGTTCGCGACAAAAGAACACATTTCTAATGGCATTTAACTCGGTAGATTGAATTTTACAATAGATTCGAGAGAGTTTGTTTTCAAAGGAGTTGCAACACATAAAAGCTAATTCACATTCACGATTCACCTAAACGTAAGTGCCCATTGGGTTATTGTTCGATCCCTGCGCGGCCGAAGCCATACCTAGTTGCTTCATATTGCTGGGCACGTACTGTCCTATGAACGATCCATCCTCGGTAAATCGACCTAAAGGAGACAAACGCCGGACATTAGAACACTTTTTTTAATCAACGACCTGGGTTATTAGTGATAAAAACAATGAATTAGTTCTGCCAATGCGCTGTGGTAAAAGTGTTGTTAGTAGAAAACCGCTGTTAGTATTCATTTGAAAACCTTACGTATTAAACGAGCGTTGCGAATCCCTGCGATGTCGTTTCACCTTGGCCCCTCTTTCGGCCGTATTGTCCGATAAACGAACCGTCCTCGTTCATACCCTCTATGGAGTGATAAAAATAAAAACAAAATCAACAAAAACAAAAAATATGCAAAAAAAAATTAAACGCATGCTCATATTACAATAAAATAACTAAACAAGATTCCAAAAACGTAACCCTCGAATTCTGTTATTTTTAATAAAAAATTAAGTCTCTTACCTGTGTCACCATCGCCGTATTCCGCCATTGAATCTGTATCGCTCTCAGGTCCTTGTTTGTGATCGCTGCTCATGGAAGCACGGCCGTGCGATTTATTGTCCAATCTATACAAAATATAATACATCAAATCATTAGTATCAAAAGGGTAAAAGACTACTTACGGTTGCGAATATTCGTGGAAACCTCCTTCGTCGGGATAATCGTGCCTGCCGTTGGCCTGCTCCCTTTCGTGCACCGCGTACTTCCCGCCGCGGTTCCTCTTCACGATGCAAACGATAATCAACACCAGCAGCAAGAAAGCTATGGCGAGCATCATGCCGATGAACCAGCCGGCCGTGGCGACGTTCTCCTTCGCCTTGATGATGGGCCCCTCGATGTCGTAGGTGTTCACCTCCTGCACGTCGCTGTCGGTGTAGAATTGCGAGCTGGGCCCGTCGACGGACGTCACCATGAATTCGTACGTCGTGGAATCCTCCAAGCCGGACACGACGATCCAATCTTCGTTCTTCTCGTGGCGCGAGTGCTCCCAGCTCGATTCGCCCTGCTTGCGGTACTTGACGAAGAAGTGCGTGCCGCCGCGACCGTCCTCGGCCGGCAGCCAGTGGACTCTGATGGAGCTGGGCGGGCCCGGTTTGACGATGTACCATTCGAACGTCGGTTTCGATGGCTTGTGGTTGCCCTGTTGGCGCGTCGTTCGTTCGATGAAGTACCGCTTCGATTCGCCCGCTTTCGTTGTGGCCGCTATGTAGATGCGGTACTTGGTGCCGGGGGCGAGGCCGCCGAGCTTGGCGCGCTTCAAGTTGGGATCGGTGATCTGGGGCTTGCGGGGATTCGGCTCGTCGACCTTCATGAAGGGATCGACTTTGGACCAGTAGATGTTGTAGCCGGTGAGTATGCCGTTCGGTTTGTCCGGTTTCTCCCATTTCAGCATGAAGCCCGTGGAGCCGAGCGGGTAGGCTTCCAGGTCCTGCATTTCGCCCGGCTTGCCTTCGGGCGTGTCGAACTTGAGCGTCAGGCTCGGCGGGCCGTTGTATTTCTCGTTGAACACGTACACTTGCGCGTAATTTTGCGTGTAAGGGTCGAAATTCGATACCAGCGCTTTGGAGTTGCCGCCTTGCACTTGGATCTCTTTGGCGATCAGAGACGTTTCGCTCCACGTTTTGATCTTGTAGCCTTTGAAGTGGCCCCTGACGGATTCGATGGGTACCGGGTCCCAACTCAACAACGCTATCGTCGGCCCTTGGATGGCTAACAACGTGAAATTAGTGGGAGCTTTCTCTGGTTCGCTCTCGCCCGAATAGCCGATCACTTCTTGCGGCGCCACGTTCGCGTTACCTATTTCATTAGCCGCCATTACGACGATTTTGTACTCCTTGTAGGAGGGCTGATTGGGCACCACGTATCTGTCCTGTTTGTAATCGTAAATGTCTTTGTATTCGTAATCTATGCCGTCGATTGCTCGTTTCCATCCGATGCGATATTTGAAGCCGGGTCCGCCGTGCTCGATTTGGGGCATAGGCGTCCAGGATATCACTAAATTATCGGGTCGGTCTCCTTCGCCTTTCACGTTTTCGGGATTTTTGTGCGGTACCTATAACAAACATTCATTAATTCAACATTTGTTTTCATCTTTTCACACAGATACGCTTTATAAATAACATTAGATCGATTAATAAGCAATTAACATTCACCTCTGGTTCCGTAGAACAAACTTCCGAATGCGAAGAAGGCTTCGATTGTCCAATTTTATTAACAGCAATAACTCTAAACGTATAATTGGCCCAAGGCTTCAAAGGGACGTTGTAAGTACTGTCAGCCGACGGTACGTTTCGGAAATCCTTCCATTCCTCCGGTATAAAACTAGTGTTATACTGAATGATGAAATAATTAATGGTCGCTCTGTTGTCTCCGGTGGCCTTCCACTCGATCGTGGCGTCTTTCGTGTTGCATTTCATGCTCAGTATGACCGGCGGATTCGGGATGTCCTGCACGGTGAGCTGCGCTTTCGCGGAGGCCTCGTCCAATTCGGTGCGGGCCAAGCACGTGTACAATCCCGTGTCCAATTCGTGAGTCTTCGTAATGGTCAACGAGTAATCGGAGGATTTGACGAAACGCGGTTCGCTTTCGAAGTCGATGGGCTGGTCGCCTTTCAACCATATTATCTCGAGGTGCAGCGATTCGTCGGCCACTGCGTTACATCTAAACGTCGCCGGCGTCCTGGCTTCTACTTCGTAGTCTTCGGGACCGTCCGTGATGTAAGTATGAGCTGCGAAGATGCAAGCGGTTAGTGAAACAGTATGTGTACAAGTAACCCGTTAAATAATTACATTTTATGTCCAAGACCGCGCTGGCGTTGGTTTTTCCCAATTTATTTTCGGCGTAGCACGTGTAATTGCCTTTGTCGTTGAATTGTACGCCCGCTATGACCAAATCGCCGTTGCGTTGGACGTCGTATTTTCCTCCGGTGAGTTCCCTGCCGTTTTGGATCCATTTCACGTTCGGTTTCGGAGCCCCGAGAACTCTGCACGTCAAAGTGACGTTCTGATTGTCCACAGCTTGCGTGTCTCTTGGCGCCTCGGTAATTTCGGGCGGCAAAGCTAAACATCAACGATTTAATTAAGACTATAAAAGTACAATTTAACGGATTTCTCTCACCTAAAACGTTGACGTATACGTCTTTGTACACGTAACCTAAACTGTTGGTCGCGTTACAACCGTAATTTCCGGTATCGTTCTTCGTCAAACCTCTGATGGTGATTTTGTTGGTGTCCACGCTTCTCCTGGGATTGTAAGGAGCTTGTTCGATAGGTTTCCCGTTGTGTATCCATTTAATTTGCGGCTCCGGCATACCTCCGGCCGAGCATCGGAACTCGATGGTCTCGTCTTCGGCCGCGTTGACCCTTTGAGGCTCCTCAATGAAATAAGGAACGGCTGAAACACACCCGAATCTCGTTTAGTACAAAAAAAATGCGAAAAAAAGTTGAGAATCCCCGGTATACACCCCGGCTTCGATTTCCCCCGAATGAATTTTATAGAAAAAGAAAGCGCATACCGAACACTTTGAGGTTGATGGAATACGATTTGGCCGCGCCGACTCCGTTGCTGACGTCGCACGTGTAACTGCCCTCGTCGTCGAAATCGATAACTTTGATAATCAGGGATTTCCCGTAATTCCCTGTCGTTATTCGGTCCGATGTTTGTACCAATTGACCGCCCTTCTTCCACACGGTCTGAGGCAAAGGACTATAAAAAAAAACCCAAAATATAAAAATATCCCTTACCACAAGCAATTTACTTAGTTAATAATAAACGATTAAGAAAAAAATAAATAGAACTTACGTGCCACCGAATATGCAGAAGAGCTCGGCCCTTTTACCCCTGTAAGCGACCTCGTTCTTCCTGGTGACGTACTGCAACACCGGTTCGTGCTTGTTCTGCAGAGCGGACACTCCGGAGGACAGCACATGCAGCAACACGATATTACCGTACTTGTATTCGAACTTCGTGGGCGACGTCGCGGCGCACGCGTACTTGAAATTGTTGACGGTGTCCTCTTGGGTCAGGTAGGCGAACCAGAGGTTGCCCTCCGGGTCGAGCGTCATCCTGGAGCTGTTGATGGTCTTGAACGCCCCGTTGCTGTACAGGTAGATCCAGTGCACGATCGGCTTCGGCCAACCGTCGGGCGGCTGGCACGTGAGCTTGAAGGGCTCGCCCTCGTTACCGGTCAACGTCAACGGCTGCGTGGTCTTGAAGGAGTTGAGCTCGGCCTTGCGCATGAACACGGAGTTCGAGGTGGCTATGCCGTACTGGTTCTCGGCGAAGCATTGGTACTGGCCCAGGTCGACGTCGGACGGCTTGGTGATGGAGAGGGTGCCCCGGCCCGTTTGCTGGGATATCCTGTCGTCGTAGGTCTGCCAGGTGAAGGGCTTGCCGTTTTTGATCCAGTAGTATCTGGAAGTGGAAATGCGCGTTAGAGAACGGCGGGATTCGCGAAGGGATCGGTTTTACTTAGGGGCCGGTTCTCCTATGGCTTCGCATTCGATGTAGAATGGTTTGTCATTTTCGCCGTTCGATTCGACTTGGAAAAGTACTTCGTCTGTGGGCGGTTGTTTGACGATATACGGAGGTGATGGTACTGAAAAACGATGATTTTTAGTCGTAATTTGGGATTTTTGGGATGGATTTTTACCTTCTCTCGCTTGTGACCGACAAAACAGTGCCAGCAATAAAAAACATAAAATACAGTCTAAGCTATATTTCATTTTTATTTGGTTTAATTATCTGGAAAAAATATTTAAAATTAATTAACAAATTGGTCAATAACTGGAAAATGAAATAAAAAATAATAAAGCACCAGTTGCAATGATTTTATTGCAATTTGCAATTTTTTATATCGTACTATCAATAGCCAGAAATATATTTAAAAAAAGTTTTACAAGTACAATATCTTTCTATTAAAAAAAATACAAAAACGATTAGTGAAAAGTACCTTTTGTGAGATTTTATTTGATTGGCATTTTCTATTTCACTAACAATACAATATGAAAAAAAAAATATAAAACAAAAGAAAGTATTGTATCGTTTAAGAATTATGTGAAATATCAAATTTTTTCACAAACACTAAAAAAATTCGGTAACATAATTCATCAGAAAATAAATGGAAGTCTTATAATCGCATAACTCTCCGATATGTTTCTAGATATGTGAAGTATTCAGTAAAATTAAAATAACGTGCAAATGTCGTTTAATCACCTTTTAAAGTTTAGATTGTTGCAAAGGTAACGAATTGTGTTAATTGATGAATAAATTACCGATTTATTTTGTATCTATTATAAATGATTCACATCAGTTAATGAGACAACTTAAGGATAGAAACGACTAATAATTTTGATAGTAATTTGTAATACTTCAAGTAGGGTGTTGACCAATACACAGAGGAAGGATGTACAAACATAGACGGTTGAATAATAGTCGCAAGATAACCAAAATAAATATGACTTCATTAATTTGTCTTAATATACATACATTATGCATGAACCTTATGAGCAATGAAATTATTTGTTAAAACAGCTAAATATTAAATTTCACGCCAATTTTTTGCTAAATTATATATAAATAACACGTTTTTAGGTCAAGAAGGTATTTATAAAGATTAATACCGCAATGATATACACTGACCAGTTCAATTAAGCAGTGTACTTGTTTATGAATCATTTTATCAAAACTTTCTATTTTTATATCAAATCTACCGAATAAATGCTAGCTATTGTTAAATTTTTATAAAACAAACAATATTTATTTTAAACAAGCATTTAAAAAGACATTTTAGAAAAAGAACTGTAAAAAATAAACATTTAAAATTGGACCAAACGAAATGAATGTACTGTTTAGGTGTCAACACATCAATAAAAATTAGCGTAGCGACTACGTTTTATTATCCCTAAACAAAATGATAAGATAACAAAGATAAAAACTTCATTATCTACAATAAATTAAGTACTTACCAAAATATATAATATGCAATAGTTTTCATAACGATTATTCACAAAATCGAAGCACAATGATAGGTGCGGTCGTCTCCCTCAGATCTCGGATCGGTCTGTCATCTGTCACTTATCTGTCGCTAACACGAAACAACAGCACAAGAGAAACGGCATAGCATAACCAAGGTTGGCATATGTGAAGGATAGCTAGTTTTGAAACTCAATTACGTCATCTGGTTTACTGTTTGGTTTTTTTTGCATACGTATGAAATTAAAGATTACGTTCCCTTTTCTGATTGGTCGAAATCACCTCATATATTTTTTATTAATTAGTTGGTTATTATGGAGAAATGTGACATTCGACAGTGACAGATGTTCGGTGCGTCATCGGTTACTGGTTTCTTGATCTTGTTTTGTGTAAATAAATGCGATACTTTTGATGATTTCGTAGAAAATGTAATTGTTATTGCTTTCCGAAATGTATTTTTTATTTTTACTTGTTAGTTCACTAAGTTTTATTTCCTGTACCAACAATGACATTCCTTCATTGCCGTATTGTCCCGAGACTGAACTTGGGTAAGTGAGGTTAGGGTACATGTAAAATTATTTGTTTTGATGTTTTTATCTTTCAGTTTGTTGATAATTAGTACATTAGACGGGAAAATATCGGTTTTGAATTCGAGTGGTTTGCTAGTTTGGAACTTGGATACTGGTCCTGGGCCCCTTCTTGTATCCAGCATACACAATTTAGAAGTAAGCGCCTTTTTGGCATGTTGTAACTTGTTTCGACATGTCGTCATATTAAAAACGTAAACGAACGTCACATTTAGAAACACTAAAACATCATTAGAAACACAAAACAAATTACCCATTTTGTTGATCATTAGTAATAATCTATATTTTAAGCTCACGAATAGTGGAGAATGGATAAGAATCATACCTTCGTTGACTGGAACCCTGTACAAATTCGACGGCAAAACTGTCGATCCAATACCAATAACTACAGAAGAATTGCTAAAGTCCTCTTTTCGCTACTCTGATGATTTGGTTATAGCAGGTAAACTGGTCAAATTTCATCTCATTTGGGTGACCACGAAAATGTCTTTATATTGTTTTATTTTCAACAGGTGGTATAGAAGTGAGGACTTACGGAGTGGCTTTTAAAACCGGCCAATTCAAATACGAATGCAACTCTTCCAGATGCTCCAACACCGATGGAAATGAAGGCGATGATGTTCTTGTGATAGAAAGGAGCATGCACACCATTAGAGCAGTCGAACCGAGAACCGGTAACGAAAGGTACTCATTAACATCACAAGTATTCCTTCGATGTATCATTATACAATTCTATTTAAGATGGAACTTCAGCGTGGGTCTCCACAACGTGAAACTATCGAAAATAAGTTGCATCAACACGAATTCCCAATTGTTCGATTGGAACGTATCCGCAATATTGCCGGAAGGTATATTGAAGGCCTCCGTTATCCACAAAAACGTCGAGACGTCGTGGACCTACAGGTTCGATTCGCCGATCGTTCGAATATGGAGATGGTCCGGGAAAAATCTAAGCGAAATCGATTTGTTCGCTACGCGCAATGTTCCTCAAGTCGTTACCACGGGAAATTCATTTTCCCTCTATTTAGGATTACATAAGAAGCAGGTAAGCGACATTCTTTAAGCCTTAGTAATTTTACTATTTTTAAATATCGTGTTGCTTAATTTTATGTTATCTATTCCGTTTTAATCTTTACATTATTTAAAAAAATGTTGAACTAATAGTAGTTCTAATTCTAATTTAGCTAAAGCTCTTATTGAATACTCGAGAACTGTGATTGAGTAAGTACTGGCCTAACGGAATAATTTATTTAAATTTATTTAATTTGTAGTTGTACATTCATGAGTCGTCATTTATGCAACACGCTGTGAGGAGAAAGAGTTCGACGGATTTGGCTGTTAGCGAAAGCACGAAGATTGCTAAGATACCGTGGAAACCGATAGCCGCTTCGACGGAGGGCAACAAAGCGGATTCCACGGCATTGTCAGTTCTAAACGTTCCCGATATCGAAGATTTAGAGCAGGGATTTTACCTTTACTCGGAGGTGGAAGTGAAAGAGAAACCTAATCAACTGTGCGACGGTAACGATAGCTTTTTGGACGAGAACGCCTTGCCCCCGGCCAAAACCACTAAAACGGAATCTCTGTACTACCTGGTGGTTCCTTGGTACTGGAAGGAATTGCTCTTGATGGTGATAACCCTTTTCATAGGTTATTTCCTATTTAGAGTGAGGCATAGCAAATTCAAAGAGGTCATAATAATCGAGAAGCCGGTCGCTCATCCCGTCACTACGGAACGCAGAATATCCGAAAGGGACAGCGAAGTGTTCACGTCGCGATACATCAATGACTTCGAGACGCTACAGTGCTTGGGAAAAGGAGGATTCGGCGTGGTTTTCGAAGTCAAGCAAAAAATTGATGAGTGTTCGTACGCTATCAAGCGAATTACGTTGCCCAACGAGTAAGTTTGATCTCGGGAATTCGTTCCTGCGGGTTCTATAATCTAATTTGTTTCAGAGAAAAAGATAAAGATCGAGTAATGCGGGAGGTTAAGGCGCTCGCGAAGCTCGAACATCAAAACATCGTGAGGTATTTTAATTCCTGGGTGGAAAACCCACCTCCCGGGTGGCAACAAGAGCACGATTTGAAGTGGTTGGGGTAAGTCGTTTCTTAATTTTACATCAATACTTAGTAAGAATGGTTGGTTATTGTAGAAAGTTTAGTTACGAAGAGACCTACACTGCTACAGCTACAGCTACAGAATCGAAAGGAAGGAGAGGCAAATCGATATCGATAAGCATAGAAGAAATAGGACTGAGGAATTACGATTCAGAATTGCCGGGATTGCCGAGCAACGTGAACGAGCCGGACGATGATGACGACGATTCGTTCATCGTGTTCGAAGATAATTCGAAATCGGCAATGAATTGTACTAATTCGAACGAGGATCTGTCCGTGCAACAGAGTACAATGAATTCCGAATCGAAGGAAACTTCCTACGCCGAGCATTTGCGGAAGAAGATCGATTGGAAACGTCCCGACAGGAAGCACCATTCCTGGGATATTTCTCAGAATAATTTAATCACATTAGATAATCCGGAGCCGCCAGTATTTCTGTACATTCAGATGCAGTTGTGTCAGAAGGAGAGCCTCAAAGAGTGGCTGTCGTCGCATCCTCAAAGGGATTACAATTTCATCAAAGATATTTTCTATCAAATACTAGAAGCAGTGGAGTACGTTCATTTGAGAGGTCTTATTCACAGGGATTTGAAGGTAGTTTTAATTCGAAATAGTCAAAGAATGTTTATATGCGTGTATTTTATTGTTTTAGCCAAGTAATATATTTTTTTCGCTAGAAGGCCAAGTAAAAGTTGGAGATTTTGGTTTAGTCAAAGACATGGAAGATGCCTTCGACTTGGAACTGATTAAAAAGGGCTCGTCTCCTTCTTATAGGGGACATACCATAGAAGTAGGCAAGTCGATTTGATCAATTAATTATTTCTCAACATAATCAGTTTTTCTAATTTGTTTTTAGGTACGCAATTGTATATGAGCCCTGAGCAATTTTACAGTCGCATTTATGACTATAAAGTCGATATTTACTCGTTGGGTCTCATATTTTTCGAATTGCTGGTGCCGTTTCAAACGGAAATGGAAAGGATTAAAATGTTGAGCGATGTCAAGAAAAATATTTACCCGCAAGGATTCATTGAAAAATTTCCAGACGAGGTAAAAATAAATAAACATCGAATGATAAATATTTGTTGATAATACGTTTTAAAATATTTTTAGTACGAGATATTACAAAACATGCTGTGCAAAGATCCCAATAAAAGACTTACGACTATTGGAATAAAAGCCAGGCCCCCATTTAACAGAGAAGATTCTGGGTATTCTGAAGATTGCCATTACAGATTATTAAATTTTCATAAGAATTAATTTCCATAAATATTGTATTTTTTGTAAGACTTGGTTTCTTTTTATATTATAAGTACCTGTGATATATTAGTTTTTTTGTTTTTTCTTTTTATATAAGTTTCATTTCATAGATAGCTTTGCAGTTTCATAATAATTGAATTGTACCTTAATTTTTTAGTAATATAAGATGTTAATGGATAATGAACACTTTAGTACGATTTTAATTACGTTTATTTTACAAACATGTAACACCTTGTGCCTATAAACAATAAGTCTGTTTAAGTTATAGAATTAATATAAAATATTAAACAAAATTATATTACTTCGGTTTTTAAATAGATAAATTTCAGATAGGGTAAATTTTTAGTTATAACAGAATCGTCAATTGGTAGTTTTAATAAATGCATATTTAAAATATTACAATTTATACCTAATTTAAGTATTATTGAAGACGGTTTTCTAAACCAACAATTTAGAGATTACGCAAATGAATCTTTATAAATTACAATATCTATCGCTAATACCTAAAACTATTAGGCACATAACAGTTCGTTGCATATATAGAGTTAAGAAACGTTTATTTGATTTGAGAAATAATTGTGACCTTATTTCTTTTAATAGATATTAGAACACATTTGACAAAATTCCAATTGCAATTTTTTTTAAAACATTGACTGAAGGAATTCGTTGGACAACGTACAGCCCATATTTAAAATTTAGGATTTTCAATTGTCGTTAACAATAAATTATGTTTAAAATTTATACTTTGTACAAGTTGGACCCTTTTTAATCAACAATTATAATTAAAGATTTTTTTATTCGATCATCTCAGCAATTAACAAACACCCTTTCGTATCTGAATGTCTTGTTAAGGCCACAATACAAAACGCAGTAATATAATTTTGCACGGAATTAGTATCCTATTTACTAACTAAAATAAAGTATACGGCATTAAATAGAGTTGTTAAAAAAATGAGTACAATAACTAATAATAATTGTCTAAATATAGTATAAATATACGAATATTTTACTGGTCAAACAGGTCGGGAGGATCTCGTATAAATAAGTTTTGTGAAAAAATAAATCACACCACTTACTGCTTAAATATTCGGAATCGTTCAAACATCTACTCGAAATTTTTAAATATATTTTAAACGTTTTCAACAATAAATAAATATTTTCTAATATTCAAACAGAACGGGTCGACACGGAGAAAATATTTTACCAAAAGTGAGCATCACTCAAAAAAATGCAACTCATCATTTTACATTTTTTCCACAGTAAACGTGCAGGAAAATTACCTCATTAAATTCAACCGCATTCGAATCGATAGATTTCTAGAAAACAAATTTGGCACAATACTTAATGTTCCATCAAACGCTTTAATGAAGCTTATTTCACAAACATTTTTAGAGAGGAGTACAATGTAACGCTAGAACAAATTCGTTAGAGTTCCAAATAGGAAATTAAATCCATCTACTAGTCATCCTCTCGTTGCTAAGTAAGCTCGACTAAAACGACCTGGAACAGGCAAACGATTACCTTAAACCCAGTACTGATTCTTGCGCAGCAATATGCTGCTGTTGGAGGGACAGGGCATCGGCTCCGGCACGTCCGGCGCCTCGCTCCACTCGTCCATGCCGTCATCCACGCCGTAGGGGTAGAACATGTGCGGCGATTCCAGCTCCATCCGGCCGAGCGGCGTGACCTTGCAGCGCGGCAACGTGCTCAACGACGGCGCGAACTCCGACGAGAACTCCGAGGCGAACTCCGGCGACAGATCGGCCGCGAACGCCGGCTGGAAGTCCGTCGAGAAGTCCGGGCCGAATGTCGTGAAATCGGACGTGAATTCGGTCGGGTAATCGTCGGGCAGCGAGTCCCTCAGCGACGGCGAGGACGTCATTAGTCTGTCGGGCGGACGGGGTAGAGGTATCGGCTGCACGCAGTGCTCTTCTTTGTCCATGCGGTTGTCTACGGACCGGCATTTTATCGCTACTATCACGGCTATGCCCAGGACTACTACTCCCAAAGCCATGCTCACTGTAACAATTATTTTAATGTACTCATGGCACTATAGAATATATATTAACTTACATATTAATACGTAGTCTTTGGTCAAATTGGGACTGGCCAAATACAGGCCCCCTTCGTGGCTAGCCGGATCGACGGGTCCCGGAATAGTGGAAGAAACGTCGTTGTCCGAAGCGGATTTCACGTGAATCTTCAGCTCGCCGACGGCCGGTTGTACGATATTAGCGCTGAGAACGAACGCCAATTTGTCCTGATAGCCGAGCCTCGGCGGTTCCACTTCGTTCGTCACGAAGTAAATCAGCCCGCTCTGGATGTCCTCGTGACTGAAGCCCGTCACCGGGTTGTCCAGGATGTTCCTGCGCTCGCCGGAGCTGCGTATGATCTTGCGTATTTCGCCGTACTTCGGCGCCTCGACGACGGTGTACCGGGGATTCCCGTTGGTCAGCTTGGCTAAAGGAGAGGCGTCCAGGGAGTTGAGCGTCAGGCGCGCCGATTCGCCGGGTTTCACTGTGAGATTGTGGATGTGCATGAACGGTTTCACGGTGATCGAAACCTCGACGGTCTCGCCGAAAGAATTGTTGCCTGATGGTATCTCCCCGTTTACCGAAAAACTGTCGTTGGTTACAGACAAGTCTGTTTGCAGATACATGATTTTGTTGTTTACCAAATCCCAGTACGAAAAGTAAGTCAAATTGGCCTGGTTGTCTTTGTACAATAGCCCGTGTTTAGGCGGTTTCTTTAAGGTGAATTCCACCTTGGTTTTATCAGCGTTTGTATCGATAAAAAATTGTTGTTCCGAAAGCAAAACGTCGTAGGATCCTTGAGACAGGTAAACGGGCATTCCGGCCTTCACCGTGATGTTTATCGGAACTACGATGATGTTAAATAGATTAAATTCCGGCCGGAACTTGCCGTCCCAAATCCTGAAATGGAAGGAATCCTTCGAGTTGCTTCCGTCGTGAATATAAACCAGCTTGTTGTTGTCGATGTCTGCTTGAGTGAAGGATGTCACCGAGATGTTCTCCAGCACCAATTTCCCGTGCGACGGTCCGGAGATGAGGTCGTACTTGAGCTTCGACGGGGACGTATCCGCGTCTTCGGTGGCCAAATCGTGCCTGGTTATAGTCCTGTTCTCTCCTTGTACGACAGCCAAACAGGGAGCCGGCGTTACCAGAGTAAACGGTTGATCGTTCACCGGATTAACGACAATAGGTACCGTGATGTTGCACAGCGTCACCGGCCCGGGTATCAAGTACAACGAGAAATAGACGTTGTCTCCCAGGGTGTCGGAGTGGTCGTGTTCGTAGTAAACTTGCCCGGTCTCCAGCTGGAGCTGCGTGAACGCGGACACGTTCCTGTTCTGCTGCGAGTATATAAGGCCGTGTTGGGGTTGATGGGCGGAGGCGTGAATGATGGGCGCGCGGAGGCCAGCGTGGTTTTCCAGAAACATCACCACGCCCGAAAGGTTGAGGGGAATCGCCGTCACGCCGCCTTCGTCTACGGACAGCTTCGGGATGTTCACGTAGGCGTCCAAACCTCCGGATGACACCGATATATCGATTCTGAACACCTACAACAATTATCAAAGTCAGGATGTATAAAACTAAATCGACACTTATTTTATAGGTATAATTATTCACGACATACACTTAGTACAATAAATTCTAGTACCTTTCTGAGCAGTTTGGGAGCCAAGTGCGTGGTGACGTTGAAAACGAACGAATCGTTCGCGTACAAATCAGAAAACTGATGCGTGTGCTCGTAGAACACTCTGCTGTTGTTTAAATCCTCTTGCGAAAAACATGAGACCACTTTGAAAATGCCATTGACCTCGGACTCCATCATGAGCCTCCCTAAGCTAGGCGGTTTCGCGATGTGGTACTCTATTTTCCTGTACGGGTCCGAGACGACGGTCAGCAAATGATTCGAGGTTAAATATTTCTTTTGCAGCGGAAAAATATGAAGGGGACGGTTTATTAGTTTCATTTCTACTGGCTTGGTTTTTACGTGGAATAAGTAGTCTTTCGTGGTGTGGAGCCCGTCGGTTACGTTGAATTTGAAACGGGCCGAAGTGCCATCTGGAGAAATATCCAATTAAAATAACGCTTTATTAGCAATCTTGACTCGATAACTTACTGTAATGGATAAATACTATCGATCGATTGTTGATCATCTCTTGCGTAAAATACGACAAATGAGCAGTTACGTCAGATTTGAGCGATACAGCTCCGAACCAGCAAGTTTGTACCTGGTATTTAAGAGTTTCCTTGGGCAAATCATCGTCAACGGTAGCTGAAAATCGAATTTAATAATTACAGTATAAATATTCTAATTAATATTTACCGAGCATATCGTTCGTAATAACTTCTACGCCGCCTTCCCACATGGTTAACCCCGTGTTGTTGACAACTTTGGGCTTTTGATCGTTGACTGGAAATATGATGATGTTCAGAACTACTGGCTGGCTGATTTTTTTCTGATCGGCATCTCCGGTAAGAATTAGCTGGTCGGTAGTAGTTTCCGTGCCATCGTGGAGGTACTGAACAGCGCCAGCTAGCAATTCTTTCTGCGTGAATCCCTTCGTTTTCAAGCACCTCTTGTGAAGCTGTATGCAACCGTGTTTGACGTTTTCCTTTATGGAATAAGAAGTAACTTTGGACTTGTAATAATCAGTCGATACGAAAATGTGCGAAGCGGTCAAAATGCCCACTCCGCCTTCGTTAACAATCAAATCGCTAGTTCCTAAATACAGTCTTTCTGGTATTATTTCTATATCTAACTGGAAGTTGTTCTTCCAAACTACGCCGTTGGTAACGTTAAAAACGATGCTGTCCCTGTTGCGGTTCATCGCAGATTGGATGTAGAGGATTTTATTCTCGTTCACTAAATCCTGCGAGAAACTTTCGATGTTTACGGGCTCTTCGGTCTTCACGTCCGAGAGGATCGTTATGTAACCGTACTCCGGCATTTTTACTATGTGGTAATTTATGGCAGAAGGAGGTACGTTATATTGGGTAACCTTAAAAATTATTCATTATGAAATTACAAACGACAAACATCCTGTAGAATTGAATAGATTCCACTTACCTCTAAAGTCTTTTTGGATATCAGGACACTAGTAGCTTCCTCGACGGAGAGTTTTTTCAACGTTTTAACCTCCAAAGGTTCCCAATAGTTGGAGGGCAACATCCAAACGCCGAGCTGGGCTATATTAGCGGCATCCTTGCACGTTACTTTCATGCCGATCTCGTCGGCGTTCACGCCGATGTGCTCGTTCAAATAGCTAATGTGGCCTTTGTTGATGTCGTCCTGCGTGAAATTTTTCACCGCCTGAAACGACACGATTGTAAATTGTAACACACTATGTCCTGGATAAGTGAAAATTACCTTGAGCGATTTGGACAAAACCAGCTTGCCGAAAATGGGCTTGTTGATGATCTCGTAGACGACGTCTTTATCGTGAGCGTACAGGTTGGTCGAGTACGACAGATGTTCGCTAGTTATAGTCACGATCCTTCCCTGTTCCACGATGATCTTCCTGCGCATATTGACGTGGATAAACGGCGCCGACGCCTGGACCTCGAGGACGCCGTTCACGTGGAACTGGCCGTCCGTTATCCAGAGCCTGACCTTGCCGAATTCGGCGCCCTTGTGCTTGAAAACGATCCGGTTGTGGTCCAGATCGTCCTGCGTGAACTCGGTGATCTTCGACGTGGAATTGTTCGCGTTGTAGAAGTAGCCGTTGGTGGAATCCCGGCTGGTGTAGACTATGGAGGACGGGGTGGTGTCCAAATCGGCGTCGACATACTTCAAATCCTTGCCCGTGAGCGATTTCTCGCCGCCCACGACCACGTGGAACACTTTATCCACGGTTCTAACGGGGCTGTTGTCGTTTTTCAATATGATTTCGATGGCAACTCGCCCGACGAACAGGAAATTGTCGTCTAAAGCTACGAACGTGAAAGAATCGTCCTTCGTTTCGGAGTTATCGTGGATGTAATAGATCAAATTATTTTTTATGTCGTCGGAGGTGAAGTATCTCGTGTGGTTTCTTTTGATTTCGCCGTCGGCTTTCTGTATATATCCGTGCTTGGGATCGACGGTGACGTTGTAGGATACGGATTTCAATGAGATCGATTTCGATTCGAAGGACAAACGTTGCTGGTCTATCAGTATGGACGAGCCTTCTTCGACCTGCAGGCGGTTCAAATGCACCGCGATTTTCGACGAGTCTTCTTCGGGGGGTTCGTAAATTATTGTCAAGTTCGATGTCACGTTGTTACAGCCGGGCGACAGCACGACGAACGCGAAAATGTCTTGCACGTACGAATAAGGCTTTTGATGTAATCTGTACTTAATGTTGCCGGAAATGATGTCTTCCTGCGTGAATTTATCGCACGATTTCAACTTGTATTTCGATTCGGCCGAGAACAAATAGCCGTATTGCGGCGGTTCGGCTATAACGTAATGAATGGACATTGGGGGCTTCGAAGGTTTAGTCACGAACGAAAGATCTTCAACAGATATCGTTTGTTCCCAATCTTTTAACTGCATGTGCTTGTTAACGTCCTTCTGTAATGTACATCTAGCGAATATTATTCTGAAAGTGTATATTTGAGTCTTATCCATTGTTAGAAACTGAAAATATAACATTGTTATTATACGAATAATAAAATTTGGTGTACAAACTAACTTGAAATTCATCGAAATCGGGCTTAGCGGAATAATGCCTGTATCTGACCCTGTGTTGCTTCAAATCGCTACCCGTAAACGATTCGGACCGTTCCCACGAGTTTCCCGTTTTCTCCACTTCAATGACTCCGTAAGTCGGTTCTTTGACTATAGAAAAATGCGTCGAGTAATCCGGAATAGCGACGTTGGACGTAAAACTCAGATTGTAAGGCGTAATAATCGACGAGCTTTGGTGCATAACGACTAGCCCGGTGTTCCTTTCCATTCGCCAATACTGCGGCGAAACGGCCACCCTCAGCCTGTAAACGGGGCTGGTTTCGATGCCGTCGGAGACCTGCATGCTGATGTACGACGTATTCTTATCCACCGTTTTGTCGAAGAACAATATCAAACCGCCGTTGACTTCGTCCTGGGTGAAAGTGGATATTTTCGCGCCGGGTTTGTTCGCGTTTTCGAAATACCCGCCGTCGCACTTCAGAATCGTGTAAATCAATTGACCCGGAGCATTGTCCGTGTCTACGACTTTGAATATCTCGGAAGACAAGAACTTTTTCGTTCCCTGCAAAGTACGGAACGTCACAAGATCGAACGAGAATTCGATACGTATCTAAACATTGATTAACTTACCTTTCATGTTAATATGCAATTCATGCCATAAAAAGATCTAGAACACAATCATTAACAAACTAAAAAAAATTAAAATAAAACGTATTAATCGAATCCATTAAATCGGCATCGTGGGAAATAAAAACATTTAAGCTGATTAGTTTTAAAGACTACTAAAAAAGAAATCTAATATTAATGTAGTCGAAACGATTTTAAGGGGAAACTATTCCTAATGCACACATGTAGGGGTACAACAATTAATCGTCTTTTAATGGTTTTTAGAAGCAATAGGTAGGCTAACGTTTCCTTAATTAATCTATTTTTAGATTTAGGGCATTTTAATTATAATATACAGGGTGTTGCTTAATAATCTGATATAGTAGGTGTAGAAAATACAAACACATCATTAAGGAACACCTTGCATATTTGATTAATTAAGAAAGCGTTAACACAATATATATTAATATTAGAGGCATATGTAGTTAAATAAAGCTATTATTCTTTTTTTTGTCTAAAAACGATCAGCAAAACTGGGATTTATGATAGGCGTTTTATATCAATAAAATCAACAAATTTATTTGACTTGTTTTCGTAACAAAACGCCCTCAATTTCATGCGAAAATGGGCACAAATTAGTGGAAATCGGCCGTAAAATAAAAACCATTCCAATAAAAAAGTCATGCCCACGTAAATATTAAGCAATAACAGTTACCTGGACTGTTCTCAAAACAGTTACATCAGAAATATCCAAAATCGGAGGATCGTTCGTCGGAGTGACCATTACAGTCAAACTAAATTTGAATCTACCTTGAAGGTACTCCGGCAAGGTAAAAGAATCGGCCGTTGAGAACATCACTTCCATTACGATGTGATCGTGATCTTCCTCCGAGCCGTCGTGTATGTAATGCACTTTATCCCTAGCTAGATCGTGAAAGCTGAAAGAATTTTTATCGTGAGGCCAAATGTCCAAAGTTATGCTACCGTGTTCGGGTCCTTCGATCACAGAGAACGTTATGCCGGTGTCGGAGATGCCGTATTTGTGGTAATCGAGTATCATATGCAGGTTGTTCGTTGTCAAAAGTTCGCTTTGGCCTTCCAAAACCTGCAGCGGTTCGACTGACAGCAGCTCCAAGTCGGTTGCGAGGCTGCTCTTTCTCGAAAATACCTTATACCCTTCGCTGTAGTTCAGGCTCACGCAGAATTCCTCCTTGCACTGGCAATTGAACGAATCCAAACCTTGCTGGACGCAAACCCCTTTACTGCAAGGGTCCTGCAAGCAAGGATAATGCCACAAGCACGCCGGCATTATACCATCAGTCACGTAGGCATCGGGTATGCCTTTTTTGACATCGAAAATCGACATGTATCGAATGCATCCTTTAAAACTGGCATCGCAGGAGTTGTTGCAACCCTTCTGGGACGCGCGGAACCTTTTGCTCACTTCCAGGCCTCCGATGTACGAGGTATCAGTCATTTGGAAATAGCCGGCGTGAGGGTTCTTCTCGCTGATTATTTTCTCATTGACGCTCAGCTCCATGATGGTCGGGGTCATCCTGAAAGAAATCTTGTGCCACTCTCCGTTGGCTACCTTCGAGTTTTTGCTGAACAGCTTCGTTGTCTTTTCGTTCATCTTGATCACAACGTCTATGGAATAATTGTGGAGCTCTATGAGCAAGAAGTCTTGTTTGAATTTTTGGCCGGCGTTGTAAAAGAGCAGCCCGTTTTGGTTGATTGTTCTCATTTCGAAATTGATATTCAGCTCTTTGTTGTGATTGTTTGACTTGCCCGAAATCGCCATGTAAGCGTCGTCTTCGATGAAGCTGATCGATTGATCGACAGTCGCATCGAATTCTGTCGCACAGCTCCATGTTATCCCTTCTACGCTAGACTGTGATTGTCTATGCCTTGCTTGTTCTAGTACCATAATACCGTTGTATTTAAACTGAAATAATGACGAATGAGATTGTTGTTTTAGTGAAATTGTGGTGCTTACATCTGATATACAGCCTCTAAATTTATCCATATGTCCAAAAAATATATCAGTATTATTCCTGTTTTTATTATCACCGATAAATAGACCATAGTGAATGTTAAGCTCAAAGAATTTACCTGGTAAATGTTTTCTATAAACGAATATTACATGAATTAAAATACTAAAGAAATAGAACTGATTTTGGTGTTACTTACTGTACTTTATGAGACTTATCAATGGTTAAAGTAAAATTGGCGTCTTTCCTTTCGATAGCGACTTCGTGCCATTTGAGATCATTCAATTTCGAGCCAATGGGCGAGATTACTTCGGCTTCGCCCGAACCTAAGTTAATGTTGATTTTTAGTCTGCCTTTTTCTAATTGAACGATGCAGTAGTCGGTAGTTCCGGCTACTAGAAATATTAAAGCGCTGGACAGACGGGTCTTGAACTTGAAATTTATGTCAGTCGAACTTTTCGCCTCTTTCAATGGAAGTGCAATGAAACTATTGCCGTAAAAAGATGCTACAAAACGTGAGATTCGTTAGTGTTACTCACCGATTTCCGTACAATAACAAAGTAACCTACCTTGGTCGATGCACTGACTTATTGAAAAATAAAAATAAAACAAACACAAAACCAAAGCTTTAAGCCCCATTATTTTATCAACATTATTCGGATTTTATAGCAACGATCAACTTTTCTAGGTCATCTTTGGCACAGAATGATCACCATATTACTTTGTTAGAAATTGAAATAAATTCGAACGGGAAATTATACGAGATATTTACTAAATACAAAGAAAACAGCAATAACTTCATTCATTCACTTCACTTCACAATACTCATTGACTTTGACAACTGACGTACCATATGTCAGTAGACTCACTAGCGTTCACGTGGGATTTTATTGAACTAAATTTGTTGCCAACTCATACTTTAGTTCAAAATCAAACTAATAGGTGGCAACTTGTCAATGCATGAAAAACGTTCTGTGTTCTTCACCATAGAACAAAAGACCAAAATATGTCTGAGGAATCACTGAGCCCGATTTTTCAACCAATCGCATTATTCGCCAAAGAACTCTGGCTGAGTAATGAGTAATGACTCCCATTACTCAGCTTACTCGCCGTTAAAGTGTGGAAGTTGGTCAAACAGAAACAGAATTAATCCATCAAGATTTTTATTTTTACTAAGTCTAACAAAATATCAAGAAAATTATAGAGATTTTACAAAGATAACAAAAGTGTGCCTATAAGTAGATGAGAACATTAATTTTAATTTAAAACTTACAAGAAAATATCTAAAATAAATTCAACTATCTATACTTAGGATATTTGTACTCGATGAAGTTAAAATTTGCCTTAAAAAGTACATTAGAGGAGTATTAGCATATACATAAATATAAAACACACATTTTACACTGCGAATAATGTATAAAACATTAAAGGCAGAATCACAGGAACAAATCTATCTAGGAACAAAACAAAGAATATTCCAGTAAATTGATAGATATAGATGTGCATTTTGTTGAATCACTAATAACTATTGAGATTGTCATAGAATTCTATGAAACTCCTCTAACATAAACAATATCCTTCTAATAAAAAAGGGTGAGTTATAATTATGAAGTACGCAAAAAGTGAATAAAATATTAATTACACTTAAGTTTCTCTGTTATAAGCGAATTATTTTAATAGAATATATAACACAGAACAATAATAATTTCATTGTACAGGATAACAAAGGGTTCTTGGCTCAATAAAAAATATACCTATGTAATCTTTGGTAACAATTGGACAAATGAACTAAAATAATACTGAAGCCCTTTGGGTAAAATGTTATAATTTGGCACAAATTATTTGTAATCGGCTATCAGTATCTATTAAATTACCTACTCAAACAAATTCATTCCTAATTAAATTAATTACCCTGGACAATGATAAACATGAATTATAATATATTCACATTATATAATATATATGTATATATCTATATTTAATTGAGAAAAATATATGAATATCAGATAATCTTCAACGATATAACACCAACATTTTGCAGAGCAAAATTGATATGCACCACACGATAGATATGCAGGGTATTAAAATATTTTCAGTAAAACCCCTAACACCCTGTATGCGATTTCTTCATATGCACTAAGACAAAATTTACTTTAAAAATTATATAGTTATTAATATCTGAAAATTACAATGACAATATAGTACTTATAGAGCTTTTTATATAAAATAAACCAGAATAATATTAAGCATTAAACGGGTGCTCGATATCTAAATAGATAGTATTAACGTGTAATAATTTTGAATAATGTGGATACATCTTCTACGAATATTTGAAAAAAAATGGGTTCACTCAATTGCTCTGCTAACGTAGAATTCGGCATTTTGAGCAGCGAATATAGCGAATATAGCGAATAAGTACTAATAAAAAAAATTGTGGATGCGGATTTGATATTGATATAGGTATCACAATGATTCTTTAGTCTATAAAATAAAGAATGACTCATACCGTATAAATAAATATCTGATTTTATATATGAATCATCCTGTATATTCTACAATAATCATGTAAAAATACTAACAATAGATAACATCATACATACAAGGTACCACTGACTACTTGTTCCTAATAAATGGCTTTCGGAAAGCCATTTTTTTAATGTTTATTTTAATGGACAAGCAGCCAGTTTCAGTTGGATACCTAATAGTTAAGTATTTTGTTCCTATTGTTCCTATAAGAATATTTTCGAGATGATTTATTTTTTGTTGAAATATTTTTGTATCAAGAAATGAAAATGCGTTTCATTTTCAACAAAAAATGAATTTTCCTAAAAACATTGAAATAAGCTTTGTAAAAACCATTCTTCCAGTTCTGCCATTTTTGGATATTATTACGAATCTCTTAAAGTTCTGGAAAAAATAGACATTCTATATATTTTTAACTTCAAGTTCAAGAGAAATTGGAATTACATAAGTTAGAAATTCATTAGGAAGAATGATTTTTAAAAACTCGGAATGAGAATATATTAACACTCTGATACAAGAGCGCGTGCTGTTAGGACCAAAATTCTCGTGACTGAAATTTCATGCAAGTAGACAAAGAAATTAATCACAGACAATTGACGTTAATATGTACGTACATAAGTTCATTTTATAACCGATACCTTATAATTAATCAGGGGTTAAATGCTACAATCTAATTCATACATAAATAAGCTCCCCTGCCTCCTATAAATCATAATCAATCGATAGAGTACCTAATTAAATTTGTAAAAAAATGATATTTGTTGAATTAACTTGTACCCATATATTATTGCGTATAGTAGAAGTAGATATTGCGTTGAATGTGAATACTTTTATAAGGTAAAGTGAGTTTGGGTAAAGTGTATTTCAATAAAGTGGGGTCGAATATAGTGTAAACTTTGTACAGATTTCTTAAAGATTCATAAAATACATTTTCTTTGAAATTTTTACATTGCCATAAAATAAATTGTGGTATAACTGTGAGAGTATTTCAGCGGCGTGGGCAAAGTTAATTTCTAAAATTGAGCTAAAAATTATTGATTCATAAGTATATCTTAAAAAAATAGATATGTTTCATTAGTAACAAAAATAAATATTTCATATTCACATGACTCAAATGAGGTTTTCGAAAGAAAAAAAACTTAACAACTTTCTCCTTTGCATAACGAACCGTAACAACTTTATTTAATTCCTTTCCTTATCCAATATTATAAAGGTATCACACATCTAGGTAAACCGATATATTAAGGAAATTCCTGAAATTTTCAAGCAACAAACAACAACTTCTCGGTTATTTGACAACTAACATTCAATAAAACATCGATATATCTCTATGAAAACGGGCGTAAAAGTGCCAAACAACAAGATACCTACTACTGCCAGAAAATTTACCAACCAAGTTTCTCCATCATGCACTTAAGTTTTTACCAGGCTAAGAAAGTGGCACGTTATCCTTGTTGAGCAAAAATAGCACATTTACGCTCGCTTTTCTACTTATCCAACCTCTTAGTCACAGCATTCTAATTTGCAGGTACACGTCACAAGTCACAATAGCAGGAACTCAGCAATTCGCCAATACTTTACACTTTCTTTCTCGACAACCGCAATAAACATCTACCACTCAAAACAAGTTTTCCTTATATACTAAATTAAGAAAAAAACTGTAAAGTAAATCCATTCTGCCTTTGAGCTGATCAATGGAATCGGCCGATTCTTCTGCAGAATCAATATTCCTGTTTCATACCTACTATTACAGCAGAAATAAAAACAGATTGTCGATGGTTTGTAAATTCGTATAACAGTCAATTTGTTCAAGTGTTACTTCAATTGACCTTTAATCAATGGTTATTTAAATGTGCGCAGCAATTGCTGGCTCTTATATGCGGAAATTCGCAGGAAACACCAATTGGAGCGTTAAAAGCCTTTGATATATCGAATAATTTTCTACGAGACTCCGGAATTTGACTCTTTATGAAGAGCTGTTGAAAGACTTTCATAGGATATGATTTATATTATTTTAGACGAGCTAATTTTGGCATATCAAATTAGTGTTGCATTAAAATAAACGTTATATATTTTTCTTTTTAATAGTTAGGCTTCCATAAAAACGCCGAGAAATGGGTGATAAATTACCGTTTAAAGCTGGATTTTTGGCCAATTATGATTCAAACGTTCTCTGAACAAGGGCAATTTTTATTGCTCAGTACTTCTTTTTTAAATCTATTAAGTTAAATTTTAATACTTGATCGAAATTAAGTAGAATGATTGTGAAATAGTTGGTAAATATTCGAGTGACTTAGATTGTCTTTTACATAAGAAATTGGTTTTCAATGATTTATTTAAGAGTAGTCGTAGATGATTGCGAGACCAATCTCGAAGTCCTCGGTTCCAATTCCAGGGAAGTATTGTACAGCAATTCGTCGTCCATTACAATCGAGGTGTCCAATAGATAATTGGCCACTCTCTGTATAAGCTCGATTTTGTACGGTGTTTGTTGAAAATGGCGAATTTCGCGAATCACGTGAGCGATCTCAAAAAAACATACAAAAATATTGCGGCAAATTGTAGAGGTGATAAAGAACCAATAAAAATGTATCTAAAATCCTCGACTTACCATTCTCATTTTAGCGAAATTCAGAAGACCCTCCGACGTAAAATTAGGCGTACCTTCTTCTATAAAAGACAAATCAGTTAAATAAATTCCAAGGTACGGTATACAGGGTGGATCACATCGATGCAAGGCATCTCTGAGAGACCTGAACCGTCCGTCTGACGATACAACGTTCTGCAACTTTTCGATGGTGTGCTTGGTCTGAAAAACAACCAATCAGTACATGCGAATCGGGAATCGAACAGGTGGAATTCCTGTTGCCTGATAAAATCGTGTTAGTGCTTACTGTTTTCGACACCTTCTCCCAAGTTTTTTTCAAGCGAAATATAGCCGTGTTAGTAAAAGCAGAACATATTTGCAAGACACCGTTGAAGTTATGCAGACATCTAGCAATATCCGCGACCGCAGCCCATTTTTCTATAGCAGCCACCCTTTGCGTTATCGACTTACGTCTTAATATCTCCGATGCAACCAGTCTCGAAACGTCGTTGAACCTTTTGGTCATCATTATTATGTGGGGGGCTTTCTTGTCTTTCTCCGATTTCATCCAGGCCTGCCCCAAAAATTCACTAAAATGCGCAACATTTGCAACAACTTATTTTTTTATTAAAATACCATATTACTCGCTAGAAATGCAAATGAATATTTGATGATCGATGAACGTCAATTGCTCCGCTATTTCTAAAGCGGATAGTGTCTCAATGGATTCTTTAGTCGGCACCTAGAATTAGAAAAAAATATAATATTAATCGTATTTATAATTATTTTTTTCCCAAATTCTAAAATACTTACCGCAGTCGGGGTTAGCAATCTCCTCAAATCGAGCTTGGAACCATCCGGGTCTTCCTTGGTCAGCAATCTCAACAGCTGCGCCGCGGCCTTGTGCTCGGCAGGCAGCAAGTTCGGGCTGTAAATAATGTCCTCTAAAAATTCTATTGTCATGGTCTTGAGGCGATGGTCGTTCTCGAAATCCTGCGCGTGTTTGGATATCCAATGCCTGAGCACGTTCAGCACTCTCATCGTGCAAGCCGACGATATGACCGATTCCTTGTGCCTCGCCCGCTCCGCGTTGTACTCCTCCTGGTCCTTGCCCGGGGAGATGTCCCTGGGGTTGCTCGAGCCGGAGGTGGCGATGGCGAAGGCGGCCGCAGCGCTCGAAGTGCTGCTTCTAAAAAACGATCGTCTATTGCCGCGCACTGTGTATACGAAAAAAGCTCGTTTCCATTATAATCTTAACGTTACCTTCGCTTGGATTGTCGAAAAGATGTGATGACGACGCCGGCCCGGCTGGGTCTTTGCGTGATTTCGTGCTGGAAGCTCGACCTGGCCGTGGAGGTGTCGCCGTCTTGCATCGATCTCCTCACGCCGTAGTAACTCTGAAAGAACGACTGATTTCCGCTTTAGTTAGTGGAATATGTTCGAGTTTTTGACGTAGAGGCGAGTAACCTATATTGTATCAAAAGTCATCATCAAAGTGTTACTGTATGAAGAGGTTCAATATAGGTTACTCTTCAACACACCCAGTATAAGATAGTACTTACTTGCAAGACGCCTGTGGTGGTGGAAATGCTGGCGGATCTGGATGAACTGCAAGAAGCCCTGTGGCTGTGACTGTAAGACGATACGTGCTCGTCGGATTGATCCTCGGATTCCACTGAAACACCTCTTTGCACCCCTTTGAACTTATCGTCGCTCTTCAAGGTGACGGACGGTCTTTTCTGGTGGTCGTGCCGTCCCTGGTCCTTGGTTGGAGACAGAGTTTTAATGGCCGATTTAGTCGGAGAGGGTTTTGTCGATTTGCCCGTCTGCGGCTGAGTCGCCGGTTTCGTTGGAGACATTTTAGGGGAGGATTTTTTCAGCGACGACTTGGACGTTTCTTTTTCCTTTTCAGCGGTCTCGACGATACCGTTATCAGATGGCGAGGAACCGACGAGCGTTACTGAGCTCAAATTGCTCGGCGAGCAAGGCGCACTTACGACTGTTGCGTCTGAAATAGTTGTTTATACAGGGAGTCTCACGACTCGATTGCTATAGCTTAGGATCGCATAATGCAATTTCCACAAATTGTCGAAGATATACGATTCTAAGCTAAGGCCGTAGAGCCACATAATGACTGCCCAAGAAAAAAAATACTGCTTAGTTAGCTCATAATACTTTGATATTGAACGTAAATGAGGTTTAAAGAAGAATGTAAAAATATGTTTGCAATGGAATACCTGTTAAAGTTTCACTACTACTGGATGCTGTAACTTTGGGTATTTTTAGCAATTTAATTTCTTCGGTAATTTTAGACTTGTCCACTCTTATGGATATAGTTTTGGAGCCGGGCAGGGCCAGAGTGTCGCCCATTTTCGTTGGACTCTTGACAATCCTCGGTTTCTCCGCGTCTTTTTCGGATTCCTGCGATTCCTCTTCGTCTGAAAAAGAACACCCCAGCCCAATTAGGCCTTTCGATTTCGACTGGTCGAGTACGTACATTTTTCCAAAGTCGCTTTCCAAACTTTGTAACCCTGCGAATCGTAACTGTGGGATCTGTCCCTGTCGCTCATTTCAGATCCGTATCCGGACACGGAACTAGCGCCGCTAGTTCTCCGCGGCGAGAAGCTGCTCCTTCTGCGCTCATCGAACAGATGCGTGGTACTTTCGTCCTTACTTTGGCTTTCCAGCGGCAGCGCCTCGTGCGGGTCCGCGTCGATGCTGTAGAACACCCTCTTCAAGGCCTCCAGCACCGTTATGCCGTCCGTGAAAACCCTGTAGGTCAGCAAGAAAGTGTTCAAGAAATCTATCGACAGAAACCTCAAGTCTGAAAAAGAAGGTCCGTTTTGGGAACAAAACTCCACGATTCTTCGACCGGTTTTTTTACCAGTAAGCCTTTGCAGCAGCCTTTCCGGAGTGGCGTATCTTATCTGCGGAACCTTGCAGGAGTTCAGCGTGCGGCTGAATCTGATGTCTGCTTCGTCTTTGAACAGTTTCGGATCGTTTTTTAGCGACTGAGGGAGGCTGATCGAGCTGCTGTCGTGCGTGGCCGGGCGTATCATGTCGTTGAATTGGACATTGTCCAAGCACTGGATTATGTCCGAGATCCAAGCGGCTTTTTCTTGCATCGAAGAAGCTAACAGGTGCACCGACAGCTACACGGGAAATTGTTATCAATGGTGTTAACAGTGAGATTGATATAAGGTAGAACTTACTTGAGTACAAGCTGCTTTCAACTTCAAATAATTACAGATTGTTATTAGTAAAAAATGGGGTGAGTTGATATGTATTTTTACTCACTGATGTGTGTGGTGAGCTTTTCGTTTCGATGATTATCTTGAAATCTCTGTTTTGATAGGTTGAAGTAACGGCTGAAGCTTCACTGGCTGCGGAGTGGCTGGAAACTGAAGCGAAAAAAGAAGCTTTAAAGGAGTTTATTACAGAGTATCGATGACTATGTGAAAAATTAATGAAAAAGTTCCCTGTAGGTATATTAGTGAAAATATCGTACCATCTTCGTCGAGGCTTTCAGATGGATCTTCAATCAGAAGGGAATCGGCCAAAGGGACTTTTCCAACGTCCGGAACCAAATGGAGTTTTCCGCTGGATGTTCTGCAATCGAGGAAATTATCGCATCTCCAACGTAATAATAATTTTCTGAAATTTACCTCGTAGCTATGATCAGGTGATTGGAAAACAAGAAGCATTGACGGACGACTTCCTTGTTCTCCGGCGATTTGAAAGTAAGTTTGCTTTTAATGGGTTTCGATTTATCGTTGGGCAACTGAATCAAAGAACCTTGACGGACGAAAACCTGGTTAACGTCGAGCAGTATGTCGCAGCCTTCCACGATCATTCGTTCGACTGCCAGATTTTTCCGCAAATTTTCCGTTTCAGAAACCTAGGGTTACATCAGTAAGTTATGTTTATACACAAATGTTCCGATATTACAGGATATTCGTAAGCATTTTCCCAGCGATACACCCCGTATAGTTAAGTACTTACTTCATCGTGCATTTGCCTGGAAAGATCTTCGAGCTGTTGCCTGGCGTTCTGTAAACTTTTCCTCTCAACGTGGTCGTGAGGAGTGTGCGCTAGCAGCTCGTGTAGCGTTATAATGTAACGGGGAACCTAAAAATTATATTAAAACGGGGTAACGGGGTTCCGTTAGTCCTTGAATAGCAAATTACCTGGTGCATGGGATAAGTTAGGAATGTTTCCAAAGATCTCCCGCGGCATGCCGGCTTGCTTTCCAGTCGCTTCAGCAGAGTTGAAAATGGTATTGACTGCTTGCATTCGGTCAAAACTTGCAGTGAATAGTGATGGTTTCTAACGTATTCTTGGTAAATACTTAACATTGGAAGCAGCATTGAGAATAGGTCACCTAAAAGCCCGGTTTAAACTGTCAAGTTAACTTTAGGAACTTTCTATTTAAGTTTTGTTTCAACGTTTAATTTGATAAGGGGATATTTTCAACCAACCTTATGTATCTACTATTTTTGTTTGTAATTTGCCAGAAAACGAAACGAAATTAGAAACATTTTAATAAACGAGAATGCATTAGGATGTTGAAACAGAGCATGAAACGAACAAAATCTTTTTAAAACTCAACTTTCCGTTTTAATAAAATGAGGAAAATTAAATGCTGCGCTCGACAAATAAATTACTTAGTGTTACATACCACATAATTTCCTGCAAAAGTTACCTAGTTTTACAAATTTATTATCTGTTTTAATTACTATGGAAATTGAGTAGAAACTAATGAGCCTTTCATCTACCAAAATATAGGATAATTATTAAAAAAAATCAACAGGAATTGTTGATTTTACGCTTTAATAGCAAATTATTCAAAACAAATTTTGCATCAAACGCATTAACTGAACGGTAAGTTAATAGTAGTAATTCCGCAATTTAATACAATTTTGCTTTTAATTTAACGTGCGCTACAACGTGCAAAACGATTTTGTATCATGTTTCTGCAAATTTCCATTAAAAATTACAAATAAAATTCAAAACCTCAACTAGAGCATTTTGTTTTCGTATCGCACGTTAAAATTAATTTAGTTACAGAATTACCGCTAATGCATGTCAGCCTCCGCAGTTCCGTTTTAATTTAATTAAAATTGTATCATATTTTTCTACGTAAAGCCTGAATAATACGCACAATCTCTATGTCCATTAGTCTGGTTAAGTAAAAAATTAAAAAGTAACGCAGCGAGCAGAAAGGAAAAAGAAAGAAACGCGTCGAGTAAAGAACTGTTGATATGAGCAAGTGTAGCAGTGAAAGCTTTTAGTGGAAGTTTTCGATGTAAAAAAGCAAGTTTCCGAGTTAATAATAAACGAGGAGTTTGAACTATGTGGTCGTAGTTCAGCCCAGGAGTGCCGATTTCCCCAAATGATATAAAGAAACCAATCTATAGAAATTTCTCCTTTTCATCAACACGAAAATTTATTAAAGATGTTACACGAAAATTTCGTATTACACGTAAGATACGTTTTAAAAAAAATAGTTTTGTATTTAATGAAGTATTTTTTTACAAAAGCCTTCCCTGGATTTCTGTCGATGGAAGTTTGTTAAAAGTTCTCCCGGTTTTCTGTTAAAATATTCAATTATATTAGCTCGCGAGTTTTCTTTCTTGGCGCAGCCGAGCCGCGAAAAATGTAAACAGCAAGGGGATGTGAAAAAGAATATTACTAGGAGAAAAAAAACCGCGGCCGAAAGTTGAAGGTTGGTGCCCTCTGGTTAGAATAATTATGTACGAAATGTCTATAAACTGTACTTTCGTCTCGCGTCGGGTTTTTTCTTTTATCGAGGTAATTTTATTCCGACGAATATTTACCCGGATTAAAGTTATAAGGGAATTTTAATGAAAACGTATTTATACAATGCACGCAAGGAAGTTGGAAATTGGATACTTACTTCGAAGAAATTAGCAACAGATAATAACGTTAAAGCTTCGCAAAAGCCTGTGTTTTTGCAATTACGCGCAAAGCTTACTTTCGGATGCCTCTAAATTTACCGTGCACTTAATCAGCTAATTCATTCCAAGTTCAAAAAGAACAAAATGAGAAAAAATAAATTAAAAATATGTAGTATAAATACTTACCGGATTTCAAACAGCATCGTGCATGTTCTACCACCAAAACTCATTTTTAATATACATATGCCTACTTTAAATGTGTACTAAACTTTTTAAAATAACAATTTTGAATTTTTAGTTATTTAAGTGTTTAAATCTCGAGAGAAAATCGAAATATCGCTTCAGTCAATTTAACTTATGAAATAGCTGGACTGTACATATGTAGATAACTTCGAAAAGCACTTTTATCAGTAATAAAAGTTTAAAATTGAAAAATTGGAAAATCAGGAAGTAATAATTGAACTTTTAACTAAAAATCGTAGGTATCTACTGGTTTAATTGCATTACTCAGATAAAAATAAAATACAACTATAAAGAGTAAAAAATCTAAAAAAATTTATGAAAAAATAGACTGTGATGTGCAATCAAAACGTATAAAAAAATATCGAAAAATTTTATTTGATTTTACTCACCTAAAACAAGCGTCGGCCAGCTTTCCATCCTAGCAGTGAGCCCTTTCAGGAATATCTGATGCAGGAACAGGACGGTCTCGCTGTTCAAAAATATGGAATTGACGTCCTCGTGCGTGCAAGGCGGCTTCTTCGAAGACGCCGCCATCTTGAAGGGCCTCAAGAAACAGGTGACCAGCACCTCCATTTGCTCCATGTACTCCTCCTCGTCCTCGACCATCCTGAACACCAGGCTGTTCCTCTTGCGCATGCTCTCGGCGTGCGGGCTCTTGATGTACTGCTCGACGATCTGCTTCCACCGCCTCCTGCACAGCCAGCCCCTGAAGAAGCTCTGCACCTTCTTGATCTTGCGGAGCTCGATCGAGTCCTGGTCCAGGTTGGCGAAGTGGCCGCTGACGCAGGAACTGGACGAGCCTTGCGTCGAGGACAGGCTGCCGCTGGACGTGTGGTGAGCCAGGGGCTTCCATTCCTTTTTTAAAGCAAACAACTGTAGGAAAAAATTATAGGCTAAACTGCGAGCTAGGGGATAAGTGTTGGTGGAAATTCTCGAAGGTGGTGACTAAAACGCGTGTTTTACCTCTGCTCGGAGTTTCTTGATTTCCGTCGCGAGTTCTTCGCATTGCAATGTGTATTGCCATTTCGCTGTTTTCTCGGATTCCACGATTTGGAGTAGATGCAAATGTTTCTGTTCCAGTTCCTCCTTTTGCAGCAATAATTTGTTGAAGCTGCAACATATACAGGGTGTCTCGTAAATATTGAAACAAACATCGGAAGTCGAAAGTATACTTATAATTATGATAAAACTTCTCTTAAAAATACGTGGTTTTTTAGTCATAAGTCAAATAAATGTAATTTTATAATGTTATAATAAATGTAATTTTTAAATTTTGCAGAGGCGTCGATATTTGAGGTATGTAACTTCTACTTTTTCATTATTATAAGTATACTTTCACCACCTATTTGTTGCAATATCTATAGAACACCCTGTATGTTGACTACTCAAAAATAAAATCCCTTTAACATAATTCATTTTTAATTCTAAACCATCTGCAATATTATACCAGATATCTAAATTGATCCAGTTATTTACATACAGTTTCAAATTAAATCGGCTAATCCACGTAAAAGCGTTGTTTTAGTTGATGATCCAAATTCGAATAGATTTTATTCATTTCGAATGCTATTTAAAATAACTGAATCATAAAATTATAGTTGCATTCGACGACAGCACTCGCGTTTATTGGGCTGTTTAATTAAGTAAGTGTACGAACCGATACAATAATATAATTAACGAATACAATTTATGACAAATATTTATTTACTACCTGGGTATGAGCCCATTTCATTAAGGGAAAGAGGGAAATTCGTAACAAATGTTTGAATGCGTAATGAGCTCTTTAAAAATTAATGATAGGTTTAAATAGCCACAATCAATATCATTTCCAAGGATTTTCATTGTGTCGACTTTGGATTATTAATTAATAGATAAATTAAGGGAAGCATAATTTATGTAAAATTTCGTACGGTTTAATTTACACTTACCTGGCTTCTCTAATAGCTTCTATCCAGTTTTTACAGTCCATTTCGTTTAGAGCCCTTAATTCGTATTGTCTGATATTATCTTTTCTGTAGGATATCGCAAAGCAGAACTGAAAACAGTTATAAACAATTTAAAAAATATATTTTTGTATATGAGTGCATACATGGGTGAATTTTTTCCCTTAAATTCAGTTCTAAAGCAGTTGAAATATAAAATTCTCTTTTAGAGATGCCACAAAGAATTAATCTGTGAAAAGTAAATAGATCGCAATCATTCGGCAAATAAACCAGGAGTGTACGGGCAAATATCCAGCAAACGACAAAGGGTAAATAAACTCATTTGTGATAGCTCCATTTGAAATTCACTCACACTCACCATCCCTCTTCTATATTACTTAAACATCTCGTTACGCGAGTGATCGGTATTTACATGCACAACTATATTTGGTAGTTTTGCCGTTAATTAAACCATTGCATTGCATCTGAGGTTAAAAGTTATTTCCAATCAATGATTGTAGTTAGCAAACGGCGATTTAATTAGTGAGTTATAATAGAGAAAATACCGTACAAATATATTACGGCATTTCAATTCGCAAATGCTCCCGACTGTAATCAAAAGCGAACATCGAAAATGACGTATTATTCGACAGCTAATTTACTATTATCCGACGCCTCCGCTGGAATAAAATCAGAAATTCGTCGGAGTGCGATTCAATTACGAATTAATAAATCTCGACTGGCCCGTACCGAATCGATATTTGCACGGCTTGTTGCCGACTTCTAATGGAGTTTGCAACTACATCGTATCCAAATGATTTTCATTTGGGACCTGAGGTTGCGGTTGCGGTCGAGTACGAACCGTTTATCGGCCCGGCGATCGTGCAGGATCCGTTCGATTTTCACTAAATTCGTTGCGACTTTTGATTGATGCCGTTTTCGCATAGTTAACTTCTTCAGGTATACCCAGGGTAATCTCTTTTGGAACAAATGGGATACTCCAGGATATCGAAAACAGTCCGTAAATTAAATGCTGTTTGAATTGCCAACAAACGATTACAATTCTTTAAAGAAAATGTTCTTATTTTGTTATTCTTCTATTCTTATTTGTCTAGAAGGTAAGTTACTCAAAATTAAATTTCAAGATTGTTCGGAGAAGCCCTAACATGTTCATATATGAAGCAGCATATGACCTTAATAAAAATGAAAATTAATTGAGAGAATTTATCCCACCGGCTTCATTTCTACGATAGAAAAATAAAATGATGAAAATCTGTATCAAATCCCAGTGCAGAAAATAAATATTTTGTTCATGATGTTTAAGTAAGGTTTTAAAAAAGTTCTTAAAGTTATAGCGTTACTATTTGTAATGCAAATTATATTTAAAGAATAAATGTAAATGCAGATAATGATCCTAATTTGTGTGTATTTTTTAGGTTTGGTTCAATTTATAGACCGATTAGTTCAGTTTACTAATAGCGACAATATTAAGAGATTTAAATTACCTAACTTCCTGTGTTAATGTATGGTGTTCATTATTGTGAGAGATACCTCATTAAATTCGAAAATGGGAAAGTGTACCCTACCTGCAGAAATGCATACCTCATTAAAAGGGGGCAGGATCAAATATTCCTGTATAATACCAGAGGTGAATATTGATGACATGCAATGTTTCTCTTGTTAGCCAGTCCCCAGTCTATTAATTACATCACAGTACAGCTGGGCTATCGTTAGAATAACCGAGAAAACTACTTTAATATAAAAGCTCTCGCATAGTCGAGCATCAGAGATTATTTTATTATTTGCATACTTTAAAAAGTTCGCACCAACAGATGAAATTTTATGAAAAAAAATCCTCTATTTTTATCCCGTCGCGAATTCGATTGACATTGAAATATTGTGCATTCGTAGGTGTGCAGTCTATATCGAATATTGGATTATAGTGCATCAGTAAGATATGTACGTACTTATTTTTTCGCAAAAGCGCGTTCAAGCTCCATCGAAATACGTTTTGTGAATTTAATATCTTCCGCTAAAACTCAAAGGAGATGCATATCTGTTACAATAGGCTTATGGACTTTACCTTGAACATTTTTAGATTTGCAGATCACAGGTTGCCATGATGTAAACACGAAGAAAGGAAATAATCTTACAACGCAAATAAAATCTTCTGCTTTCGCAAAACAGCTCGTTAATGCAATGAAAACAACCTAACGTATACGTACATAACATTTTCGAATATTTCAATTTAATTTACGAATAATAATAATAATATTACGGAATCGCTAACGCTAGGTTTATTGTTTCAAATTAACTACGCTCCTATAATTTTGCAGCCTCGTTAAATAGCAATTAAAAATACGCGATACCTATGCATGTTTTAAAGGAAATTAATTAGCGGGGCTCGTTTGAATTTTTATTTATTTTCGAAATTTTCCGAATATAAAGCGAAATGTAACCGAATGCCTGCTGAATTGTATTTCAAATCATGTTTGTTCGGCGTATTTATTCTACTACGTTTAGCAACGGACGTAAAGGGCTGACTGATGATGATTTTATTTACTCTTGAACGAATTCGATTGGGTTTCGATAAAAAGATGAAATTGTTTCGAATTCCTAATTCGAATGCCCCGCATCGGTTTCATTAGCTTCGCATATTTTATGTTATTAAAAAAATAATCTTCGCTTTTAATTAAATTTCGTTATCTAACAACAAATTAATTAAAATGTTTAGCCCTTATTTTTCAACGAGATACTTCAAAGAAGTTTTCCAGGAAGCTATACTGGCTGGCTCTTTCCCAGTCAATACTTTCTATCGTTCTAAACACTCCTTATAAGATCCCTTTACAATATTTTGCAGTAATTAGAGTTGTAAAAAAAGAAATAAAAAGCGATTAAAAAATAATATTTACGTTGAAATTAATTAAAAATTTTGGCATTTAAATGATGAATATTAAATAAAATTAATAGTTTGACGTGGATATACTAAATAAACCACCAATATAAAACTATAATATGGATTTTTTATGAAGCAGCGAACATAAAAATCGGTTTCGAATAACATACAAATCCGCTTCTATTTTCGTATGTTATTAATTGAATATTGATGGCAGATATAAAAATAGATTGATTATATGTATGAACGTATAAATTTCCATCGCAGGATTTCTATTTGCTTATTCAATCAAACTGTATTAACCGCTTAATTTTATAAATTATTCCGTTTTCCATTAATTTTTAAATCTGTCAACTCTAAAAAAGTAACACATTTGTAATAATCCACAAAAAATAAAATGTTTCTAATAAATGACCGGTAAAAATATGCATAAAATATTAGAGCTTGTATATTCAATTGATTTTTACCTTTTTTCAAAGTCCTCAATAGCTTAGGGGTTTAATTACGGAATGAATTAGCTGCGAAGATCATTTTCTTGTCTTAATTGCCTAAATGAGCCGAGAAACCATCGCAAAAGCAGGAAATAAATGAAGTTCCAAATAAAATTATCACATTCCTTTGTTCGGTAAATTCAACGAGGATATTTGTAATAGACACAACTGATTAAATTTCGGCAAATCCAATTAAACGTTCTTTGTAACAACGCTTCAGGTACGTCCTTCACCTAATTCCATATTTTTTTCCGGCTTTTTAAAATTCCGAGGGGCTGAAATTTTTCAAATTCCGAGCAGGGATCGTCGTAATTATCGTTTTATTTACATCGGACGGTGCTCGCTAACTCAATAAAGGCCTGCTCTTCGGCGGCGATTCGCAACAAAAACGTACGAAAAATTCCGGATTCCCTGAACTTTTTCAGTTCATTGTTACATAATTACAAACATATTGAAGGATACGCCGCGAATTTCGCGAATTGTTTTTGTTACCGTCAACGGAAATTACGCGGGATTTTTTCCAAAAGTCCGCTTCATCCGCATGTTACAAGCAAATAAAAAAGGTAACATTCAGTCTGTTCAATTTTCGTTGTTTAGGAAAAGTAATCCGGTATAAATTCTCCTTCTAAACTCTCACATGGTAAAGTTCAAAGTCATTCTTCGGCTAGTGTTCACAAAGGAAACGCAATTTTTCGGTTCTTTGTGAATGAAATCGCTTCGCTGCGATAGAGTCGAGTTCCATCAGGTGGTTTTTAAATTGCAATAAAAACGCAATAACTCGTACTGTATACAATTCATTTCCAAACGTTCTATTTATGCCTGTCCATGTGTGTGATTAAAAGTAACATTTTCAAAGGAACGTTCGATTTTAATATCGCAAAAAGAGGTTACAACTTCAAAAACCATTCGTTTGCAACTCATTCGAAACTTTCGCAAAAAAGTTACACGGCTAAAAACGCGAACCTCCCGTCGAAGTTACTTAAAAAATATTATTCTTCTCATCGATATTCGAAATAATAAAGTAAGTTTGGATGAGGGAAGATCGACGGAACGAGATATGAAATTTTAATCTACCAAGTGCCCGACCTAATTCCCGAATTTCAAAAACAAATCATCGCATTTGAATCGGCGAACCCCCGGGGGTTCGAATTTATTATGATGCGGATCGTAATGGTTCAATTAATATTCCACTTTTAGTGTACAGGATGTTACCCTTAATGGGCGACATAACTGGAGAGACGATGCTATATACATAAATCTCAAAAATGATAATAGTGCCAGGGGAACGTGCCCAATTGGGGTGCCTAAAAGTGTCCATAATTAAAGGACATTTTGGTTTTTAAATCAAATAGCTAAATTTGTTGTGAGAGGGATTTAAAAATTTTCTCTTCATATAATCATTAGAATATCTCCAAAGGCATTTTTATTAAAGGAATTAAATTTTGTAGAAAATGCTCAATTTTTGGTAATTTATAAGATGTCCTAAAAAGGGCTCATATGCTTATAGTCTTATTAATATTATAATTTGTAGGAGAATAATGAGTTTAAGATATTAAAAACATTAATAATAATAATCTCTTAATCCAGCACTTTTTATTATATCCGAAAATGCACTGTTTTCGAGATAAGAAAGGCTCAAAGTTTCGTGAATTATGGCGGTTCAGAGAGAAACATCCGCCAATTTTAAAAATCCCATACGCCGAGCTTTAAATTTTATACCGTCGATCGGAATATCCTCGTCGTTTTTTGAAATAAAACCGGCATTGACGTAAAGGGAACGTCGTTCTGATCCGATGAATCGTCCGGCAGCAATTTAGCAAACAGACTTTACCACAGTGCACTTCTTTTACGTCTCGCTTTATCGCTTTTATATCGGCCGATTCCGAAACGCCCAGCAATCCGATTAGCCGGTAAATATTGAATGAACTGCGTTCGAGGAACAAATGACGGGAACAATCCTTTCGATCGGTTTTAATAAATCGAATTAAACGGGGAAATTACCTGTCTCTCGGAGCCGTCTTTCGATTTCGATGCGCTCCCCGTCGTGATGAGTCTCTCGCAGTAGCAGCCTTCCAGCATCAGGATGCCCGATGGACGATGACAGCTCTCCGAGTCGTAGTAGAACAGCAGATTCTAAACAAACCCCCATAATTAAATTGCGTAAGTAATCAATTATATAACATAACAATAGTAAAAACCTTCTGCGAATAATTAGGTAATATCTAATCAAATTCATATTTAGATAATATTATGATCAAGTTGTGTAAAACACGTAATATTAGTATAAAAAATGCAGTTGAGATCGACCGGAATCGTGTAAGGTCCAAAATCGCCAGAGTAAATTCTATTACGAGAACTTATTTCTTTTCCTTTCTTCAACTCATGTGAACCTGTCGATTCTCTTTATCATTGCCGTTCGCCTATTTATAAGCCAATAAAAGTGAAGTGTCTACTCCAAGAAAGTTAAGAATAAGTTGCACTTAACTTTACGAACCGGAAGATATTTTATTGACTTTAAAATGAAAATTTTAAATTTGTTGTTCCTATAATAACCTAACTTCCTATAATAATCTCCTACTAGAATAATCTACCACTAAAATAAGCCTCCATTAGAGGAGAGTATTTAAAAAGTTATAAAACAGAAAGTTTCGATGTCATTTTGGATGAACGGGGACTATAAAGCATATACCGGGTGTTTCGCATAAGAACTGACATAGAATAGGGGCATGTAGGGGAAACTAAAATGTGGTGATTTAACACAAATTAACATTTATTTCCTAAAATACCGACTATTTTTAAGTCTTTAAAAAATCAGACTTTTTCTGTTGTTTCATCATCCAAAATTATTCATTGAGGATATTACAGTAATCAAGATACAAACAGTATTTAAGAAGTTTCGAGTATCGAGGAAACTAATAATTCGAAAATCGGAGCCTAAATAAACAGAGCAAACAGACGTGTAGGTATTTATTTAACGCAGCCTTAACGGAACGAAGTTACCATTTCATGTGGTAATTTTAGTGGAAACGAATGGAACTTAACTAGCTATCAGGTTCGCCGGAATGTACTTTGAGCAAACACATCCACGTTTTATACCCTGCAGGAATTATGCGATACGTCATCAGTGCGGTGTCCCGTTAAAAATTCCTTTATGTTCAACGCGTATATACGTATAATCCAAATTAATTAGTTGTCAGAGTGCGCCGGTTTTCCGGCTTCCCGCCTCGCAAACCACGTTAGAATTTCGAAATGAAATGAAATAAAACCGTCAAATATTAATGAACTGTCGCATTTTTTTTTTTTTCGAAAAACATCATTCAAAGCATGAGACTCTTATACGTTTCGTTGCGCCAATTTGAATTTTATACTGTTGTTGCGCTTTAGTGGAACATCCTCATTGAGCGGATTCAAAAGGAAAAACGGAGGCATTGTTGGGACATAATTCACCGGGATGAAGAGACCTCTTCTAAAAACTCCGAATTCCAATAGAAAACGAATTTTTAATTGTCCGCCTTTCCTTGAGCATTCGCTCTATTCCATTCCCGAAGGAAGTTTCCCCGCGATTTTCCCGAGCGCATCGTTGACGTCAAGACGGGCGAAAAAAATCAAGCCCGATGAAAAATTCAGTGTCTGATGATTTCCATCGCGCAGACATTAACGTGAATCGAATAGGAGATCCGCATGAACATTTTTCTGTTTGTGCTACCCGCGCATATTATGAGATTAGAAGGACAGTTGCTTTTTGTACGAGAATGAAAACGCAGAATTTAGCGCCGATTTGATCCGCTTAAATTTCCTTGCACATTCGGGTAAATAGATATGGGGATTCTATTGAAATTTAAACTTATCTACAGTGCGATTTACTAGAAACTTTAGTCACCGCGTATGTTGCATCGAATATTCGAATTTTGAAATGTTGTAATTCAAACGATTTAAATATTACAGAAAGCCGATAGATATCATAAATTTTAATTGGTGCCTATCTAATATGCGGTCTACATGAGTAAAAGTTTTTATATTGTTTTATTTTTATTAGAGTTTCCTAATGTAATTTCGTGGAATCGGATTAAATTATACATACTATATATCCAAATACTAACGAAAATTACACTAAATTACCCCAATTTTTATCACATTGTTAATGATTTATTAGAGTGCATTAAGATTTAATAAGCCTTTCCAGAATGTTTGGAACAGAATTTATTTGTAGTAGACAAAAATTAGAATATTTAATGCAGGTTTCTGGTGAGACACACCCTGTATAGCCGGGATCGAGTTTCCCTATTCGACGAATAACAACAAAAATGTTCGGAAACCCCGTGGACAATGTCCGTATTTTTATCAAGCGAAACGTTATTGTTGCGAATATATTCCAAATTTAAGTTTCAACATTGAATAAACAATAAAACGAGAACAATTGAACAATGAACATTTATTTTCAATTTACGATTCAATTTGTATTTACTAAAAGCGGTTTTGCTATCTAGGCGAATAGATGTAAAATGCGTAAAATTAAAATTAAAATTGTACATATTTTCGAGGTGGAAATAAGGTAGGAAGAATTGCTAAAAAAATCTCTCTATATGACTCGAGTGAGAAGTATTAATGAAGGGAAAAGTTTAATTAGGCTGGTAGATTTATCCGCGGAAAACAGAGATTCGATGTTTCCTCCGTAATTTCTTTTTATGAAAGCGAGTTTAAAAGGATGTGGAAGCGTTTAGTAATCAAGCGAGCTTATCGAGCCATTGCGGAGGATACGGGAGCATAGCGTTGCTATAGCTGCGAGCCTCCTCCGATCGCAAGAAATTTTCGGATCGGGTATACTTACTTAGCTCGAATTTTCCCAATCCAATTAATACTGATAAAAGCGAAGCGAAAAAGTCGGAAGCATTTTGTTATACGAGCATACGCCACAGTGTGTTTTCGAAGGCGTTATTTTTTGTTGCGTTCATACATTGTCATCCTTCTATTATGTCCGTTCTTTCAATATTATACATAAAAGTTGATTCAAAAAACTGAGTATATAGGTTTTACCTCCTCACAAAAGGCAGTTTCTCGATTATCGTCTCATCTTGTCTATTGCGAAGCATGCATGCAGCCATTTATTCTGTTAATTAATTTCGAATATTAGAGCAGAAGGATAATTATTTATTACCTAACGCATATGCTTTGTTATGGTTCATTGTCGAACGATCCGGACCTGATGAAGTGCATTGGAAAATCGGAATTAATTAAGGAGATATAATTAGCTTAAAGGTCAAGTTCAACAAACAACAAAGGCTTTACAAGAAGGTACACATACCATACTCGCGTTCTGAACTCTCGTTGTGTAAAACGTGTTCGATATTTTGGGAAGTGTTCTCAAAATCCTTTGAAAATCGCGTTCGCCACGGGGAAGGTTAGAAATTAACTAGCAACTATAGGTAGCTTAGGGCTGATATTAATTATTTTTCGATGCGGAACTAACACTTTAATAATGAATTTCGTTAAAAATATAAACTCGATATCGGCGACGTTTTCCTCCGGCACATTTCGGATAATATTAAATTACGGAAAGCGCGAGGGATATATTCGGGAAATGAAATTTATATATTCGCCGTGTATCGAATTTTTACACCACATTGAATCGATTTTATTTCCAATTTTGTGAATAATTCAACGCAAAACGTGCGTAAATACCTGTTACTCACACACATAACAATTTTCTTCTCCTTATAAATTTCGTCTTACTTGATTGTAACGATGCGATTTATTAATTTCAGATTCATCCGAAGCAGGAAATGAACGTTATTAGTCGATTTCCTTTGCCTTCATAACGAACCTTAACAGTAAGAAGGCGCTTCCATTATTCATTTCACGTTCGCATTAGAGATGCAGTTTATTAACGATGTTTATCTGCAAAGTTTCATTTTTTAAGCAGCTTCACGACTCTTTAATGTAGATCAATTAAGAGCTTGGATATACAAGATGTTTACACTAAAGAAAAACTCTAAAAGCTCTATAAATATAACACCAAAAATGAACAGTTTTCAAATATTTATTGTACTTTAAAAATAATCTTCCTTTCTTCCTTTCATATTCTACAAAAGTTTTCACTTCTTTTAGAACAAACAGAAATGAATTTGGAGGAGAAACAGCTAAGGTATTAATTTTCTTCGTGTAAGAAAACGTGTTGTAATATTCTATCCAATTAGTAAAACAATGTCACTTGCTTGATAATAAATAGAATCTTGATAAAGACGTAGAAATCGTCACGACAACCCAATTTAATTTCACCTTAATTAATCCGTGTCTACAAAAACATGGATTTTTTTTAATTGTCAATAAATATGGAACAAAGATGTTTACGAAAGATTTTTTGGAATACAATAATAAATATTCATAGCTTTTAAAACATACCCACGATTATTTAGGCTACAGTAACGAATTAAATAACAAAATCACAAAAAAATAATCGAATCTTTGAGCCCTCTTATCTCAGAAACTCCGTAACAAACAAACATTTTTATTAGTTTTGAAGATCAGTATCACCTTATAAATTCTCTGTATATTACGTAAAGAGATACTTTTTCACTAGGTAAAGTATTTTTAACCGGAAATATGCCTAATACCATCAATATTGGCGGCGCTATTCCATCAACATTCCCAACAATTCGCGTTAAGTTTAACGTTATTATCGATAATTCAGTTTCCTGTACGGCTGAAAATATTCCCTTTACCGTCGTAAAAACATTTAACGTAACGCTGTGCGTCGGGCGAAAACTTTCTGATAAACTCCTATTCTAGGTGTTGTAAATTAATTTATCATTCGAAGAGGCAACTCGGATAGCCGGAAGTGACTAATCTTTCGAAGTCATCCGGGCAAAACAAGCTGAAAGACGCCGGATTTGCCGTATTCGTGTTAAATTTTACATCTCGATATTATTTATTTCTCGTCTCGCGCCTTCCAACCGACTGGAGTAGGCGTAAAACTGGGTAATTTTTCACCGGAACTAGAGCAGGAGATATTCAGATTCATTTAAATTAATTATGTAATCATGCAGATTACAATGTATTAATATGAAAATAAAATTGTGAATATATTCAGGGTGATATGGATCAAGTCTATATGGAGTTATCACAAAAAACCCATGATAGACTTGTTGCCCTTTATAATCGAGTTACAGCTTTTTTTAGTAATCTACCCCTTTAAGATAAATTATGTTATATATTTATTATAAAAAATCAATTATCCAATCCCACTATATCGGATTAAACAAATGTTAAAATTAACACTATGTACCTCGATTTTTTCGTTGCAAAAATCATTTTAACAAATTGGAAAGGAGCATAAAAACTTAATCCTTTGATCTCTTTTTTATTCTCCCTAATCCCTTTTACTACTAAATTATTAACATTCAAATGTACATTACCTGTATTTTTATTGATGCTCCTACAATGTAATCCGAGGGGTTTTAATTATTTTTTTTATGAAAATCAGATTTACTCAACGTTTTTATGGAAACAACGGAAATAAACATCATTTTGAGCATTCATGTAAACCAAAAACAATACGATTACAGATCCGTACTTAGGATCACTAAAAGTATAATATATTTATGAATTATTTAATTTAGAGTAAAAGTACTGGCCTTTTCCAATATTAATATCTAAATTAATTTAATAAAATTTAGTCACAGGAGACTTTAAGAAGACTTTGAACTTTAAAAAGTTTCAGCTAGTTTTATATATTTACCTAAAAATGAATAATTTATTAAAGATCTAATTTTCTTTAGGCACGATCTTATGTAAGAAAATTTAATTTGCGTTCGAAAAATTTAATATCAGTAAATATTTATAGCGCACGTGAGCGTGTTTCCGCGTCAGAAATTCAAATTATGTACTGCCCCGATATCAAAATGAGCAATAAAATATAAAACAAATAAGCAGGTATTTAAAAGGGTCGGAATATAAGCCGAGAATTTTCCTTTTTAACTGGATTCCGCCCAAAATCCCGGATACAGTCCGTCCTCCTTCTCCATTTATATTTCACAGACGTCTTGTTCAGTTTCGCTTTCTATAATTAGACTTGGCTTCTTCCTTAAACCCATCGGGATTTACGTTCAGTTCGTTGATGTTGTCACAAAGACAAAAGCCAAGGAATTCCTAAATAAAAAAACTTTCTTTTCGATTTATTAATATCTAATATTTTTCTGCGAGGAAAATTTCCTTTCTTCTTCCGCGTTGAAAAATAGTGTACGGATGATTAAATGTTAACGCCTCTCGCACAAACAAAGCAAGCAGCAGGAAATTGAAATTTCATAAAAAAAGGCGAATTGAATGTCAAAGAGGAGAAAAAATATTACGCTTAGCTTTCAGTGAAAGTGGATTTTTTTTTCGCAAATCGCATTAAAATTCGAAAACTCCTGAAACCGAGCTAAAGCGAATTTAAAAATAAAATCCGTTCGATTTCCTTTATATAATTCAACAAGTGGAACGTTCAAGTTCAATTATACGGCACAATCGCCGAAAGTACGTTTAATAGAAACGGCGGTGCCGATATCGCATCTACTTAACACGGTTTAATTATTCAGAATTCCCGTCGAAAAGGAACGTGTTGGATTGCATTTAGCGTAGGTGTAGTTAGTTCAATGTCGAAGTTCAGCCGGCTGTTGCGGACAGATTTTCAATAAAGCTAACTTCGCCTCATTAAGGAAATCAAACGGGTTTTGTCCGTAAATCACAGAGAGGCGGCGCGGCGCGGCGTGTGTGCACTCACACATACGCGGCAGTTTCATTAGAACGGTGAATAATAGAAAATGCACGAACACCTACGCGGGTACATTTTTTAATATTATTCCGCATTGTGCGTTTCTCGTCTCAAAATCATTGCCAAGGGTTTTATTATTTTTTTATTAGTATTGTAAAGGGACAACACATGGGATGTGTATGTAGAATTTTAAATTAATGTGTCCAGTTGTTTATGAGTTTATAATAAAAAAGTAATGAAAATTGTGAATTTTCACTCTACCTTTTCCATGCGAGAAACTCTACAAACTAATGTTACTAGGAAATATGTAAATTTCCTTAGGTAATCACCGGTTTAATCAACATCAAAGCATTATAGAGAATTTATCATTTTAATATTCTAAAACGTGAATTTCAATCAGTTTAATGGAAAACTTCAAGTATCCAACAATCAATTATTGTATTTATTGTTTTATTGTTTTTTTCGAAGTCTCTGTAATTCTATACAAAATAGAAAGCAGCATTATAGCAGGATTATAGCCAATTTGTAGGTTTAATGAGACAAAAAAATGATGTTTAATATTGTACTAAAATTGCGAAGATTTTCAATTGTTAGATTTCGATGGAAATACAAACTTTGAGCATACCTGAACCTGTTTTAACCAGTTTCATTATATTTCAGTACCTACGCAAATATATCGCATGACTGGAAAACGGTTCATCATTTTACTATTTGAATTACCTACACTTGTAATAACGGCACATTCGCTTCATCATATTGATATTGAAACAAGTTGCATAAGAACAGTGCAAAGTTAATATAGCGTTATACAGAACAAAGAGTCTGATGTTGTACAAACATTAAATATTTGAAATGATTATTCTGTATTGTGCGTTACTAGAATTTACCTGACTTTTTGAGGAGTTCAATTTTCAAGGTGCAACACAGGAAGCGTATGCACAATTTTAAATTAATACGTTCAGCAGTTTTTGAGTCTATAATAAACATACATTGATCGTTTTCCCTCTCATCTTTTCCACGCGAGAAACTCCACAAACTACTACTGGGAATTTACGAAAATTATGAAAATTTCCTTAGATAGGTAATCATAGGTTTAATCAACATCAAAGCATTATAAATAAAGAATTTCATCATCTTAATATTCTAAAACGCGAATTTTAATCAGTTTAATGGAAAACTTCAAGTAGGTACCTCACGATCAATTATTTTAGGTATATAGTTTTTATAGCGACCTCGGTAATTTAATGTACCTATACAAAGAAGGAGGATATTCAACAGGATTATAACAAATTTCTCCGTTTAATAAAACGCCTAAAGAAAAAAATATAATGCAATTTTCAACACGCTACTAATTTTTATGAAAAGGCTTCAGACATTCGCGAATAAATCAAAGGGGTTGCGAAGCTCTACTATTAATAACATTCGCGCGAGCTTTTGTTATAAATTTTTAGCCGGCCGAAAATTCCCGAAAACTTTATTATTGAAGCGATAGAGGAAAGTTTCTCGCGCGGAATCCCGGATAATATTAAAAAACTTCCGGACGAATCGATTTTGTTTTGATGCTCTCCTTCCGGAATGCGCGTTCCAAATATAAATATAAATTAAAATGAATTAGGTTAATGTTATTTATGCGAACAGAAAAAGAAATGCGGGGAATTTTTCGAGGGGGCAGAAAATTCGAATTACCGCTCAAGGTGTTGTTTGACGTCGATAAACTCGATATGCTAATTAAAACTGTCGTGTAACAATACCTATAATAAGAAATCGACATCAATCAAGCCGGATCGGTTCGACAATAAAAGTCATTTTCGGATGAACCTCCCGCTTTTTTTTTGTTTCTTCATGCTCGAGCGATCGCGAAAATAAGAGGATTTTTAAATCGATAAGTTAAAGCTCACCTGATAGAGTACGAACCATCTCATCTGCCATTTGTTGCTATCCGCTGATCTTTTGTGCAGATACCCAGCTTGCGAGTGATCGTAGTGGGCCCTTTCGGAGAGCATGATAAGCTGATTCTCGTTCACCCGGATGGTTCTTTGCATCTTAGGACTCAGCATTTTGTTGGATTCATTCTAACCTGTGGGAACCAAATTGATTTTCGCAAATAAGAGACAATTAATTCATTCCCTCTCATCATTAACATTTTCATCATCATTTTTGGTGGCACATTTTTTATTGAATTGAAATTGATTCACCACACAAAAAGGGCAATAATAAATTGATCGATTCCTAGTTCGTTATTATTATTTCCATCATCATTTTTTGGAGGTCAATTTTTTGATTATATTAAAATTGATTACCCAAACATAAAGGGACAATAATAAATTGATTCACTTCCAGTCGATTCCATAACATGGTGACCTTAATGAAAAGATATAGGGGAAAGTGCTCGACTGTGGGATACTTTTTGTTTATAATTAATATATTCGGAATTTTGAATTTTGAATGAAAATATTTGTGAAAGATTATTAATTGATGTGAACAGTTTTGTTCACAAGAAGATGGAGTCTCATGATTTGGGATACTATGTCATATTAGGACGATAATAGTTCCTGACCTAGCTAGATAACAGCTCATATATGAGCCAAAAAACAGAAATATTCCATATTAAATAACCATCCCTTAATCGAGCACTTTTCGCTACTATTAGTCCTACTTTTCCTAATTTTTGTGGCAAAAAATTTCGTTGCGACTAATCAAGTAATAGAATAATCTAATTTGTAATAGTATATAAAGAGAATTGCGTGCTCGATTTATGGCTTACGTGTAACAGCAACGTAGTCTTTTGCTGTACAACACGCGATATATCTCGTCTAAATTTGGCCAAAACAACATCGTTTTTGTAGCAACAGGTAGGAAAAACTGATATTGTTACGATTGAAATCGCCCTATGCACGTGCAGATCGCACTATGCATGCAGATCATTCCAACAGCGGAGGTCGTTAATTGAATTTTCTGAAAATTCTGAAAATTCTAAAAATTCCCGCGTCGATACCACGAATAAACCGCGCGTATGCTAATAATGTGAATTGTTTGGCTTGAATTTTATCTAATGCGAATCCTTGGTGTAGCTGTAACCTCCGGCTCTCTCGATAAACGGGGCTTCTCTGCCAGGTCTATAGAATTTTGAAGGCATATAGAGATGTTGCGGCTGACATATGTAAGCTTATTGTTTCGTGCTTTATGCTAAATCAAATTATTGATATTGCCACAGGAACAACGGGCTCCAGTGATGAGGTTAGCTCAATTGAACATTTCGGACCGAATCCCTTCCATTTGTGCGGCTAATATTCCGATTAGGCTAACGTTGCGTGCGAATATTAATTATTGTTATAATTGCGATTTGTTGTTTTTTTAATGCGAATTGTGTACATCAATTTAAGCGTAAATAACGGGCCGTTTAATTAATATGCGAGTGATTAATTCGAAAATTCCTGCGAAATCATTTTTTACGCGTTTAATAAAGGCCTACCTGAAGTCATTATGTGAATCTTGTTTCATTAAATTAATCCCGAGTCAACGAAAGTTACCTCTGCCTCAGAAAACTCCGCTATAATGCCGAAATGTTTTACTTCCTGCTCTCGGCTATTATTGTTTCCTTTCGCAAAAATATCTCGGAGACTTAATGAACATTTTTCAAACAAAATAAAATTTATTATTTCAATTAATTTGTGTTCTGTAATAATTTATAAGCGAAGGAATTATTTAAAGAAAACAATTTAATATCAAATTGAGACTCTACCCCGCAAAGATCCTTGAACTATACCTAGTACGTTAGAATATTTAATTGCAGCCGTGAGAATTTATTTTGATAGAGAAAAACCATGAATATTTTACAACGAGAGCACGAAAACTTTGAATTCCATTAAAATCGAGAAGGAAAACGTTTTTTCTGCATATCATAAATTAAAGTACGTTCGAATTTTCCTCTAGTTTCGAAACGTGCGGTTCAATTCGAAATTAAACGTCTTATTTACTTAGAAAAACTTACATGTCTACCACGATGAAAACACGTCACTGTCAACTGCACGAAAACCACGTTATAGAGTGTATGGAAAACTGTCTTCGGGTTTTCCACAATACGGAGATGGGAAAACAACTTTACGTGCGCAAGCGTACTTGTTGCATGTATAAACTGACAAAAATAAGATCAATAGGACTTTGGTTTAGCTAATCAGGATAATTTCAGGAAAAAGTATTCAAAAATAATTTGGGTGTTTTATAGACGGTGGCGATATCATTTCCACGGGTAGTTAATTTGTTTAAAAAATTATCAGCTTCGCGTAAGTAGTATCGTAAAATATTCAACAGTTGGTTCACGCAACGATTTGAGAAAGTTTGAATTTAAAAGCAGCTCTGAAATATTTACCAAAACTAAATGTAGCAGAGAAAAAATAATAAATTAGTAGGAACAATTTAATTAGATGATATTTGTGTGCCCCAGGCACTTTTCTTACTGTTGTAAACGAGTTTTTAAGAAATTTCGGTTAATAGCGCTCTTTTGAATATTTGAACTAACTTTTAACAGTTTAATATCTGCACATAGAATAACATGGAAGAAAATAACCCAAATTTATACATAAATTCTCGATGAATGTTATTAACCGTAGGTAATATTGGCAACCTGCAAGATTTAACGTATATGTTACGGGTAAAGTTAGATTAACTATTAAACCTAGGATTACCCGAGTACACTGCATGTACAATGCAATAATGGTCTATCCCATTCTACTTAACCCAATTAATCCTAGGTTTGGCCTGTAATCTAACTTTACCCGTAACATATACGTCTAATCAACTAACTCAATCATAATGTAAGATATGTACTTTGAAAAGAGCGAATTATTAAATAATTATTTCCATGCGAGTGCAAATTGAGGATTCTGTTTCTTCGTTCGAAATTCAAGTGGGCAAATCCCTAAACATTTGGCATGCAATGATCAAGAAATGTAGAGAATATAGAGGATTATACAAGTTTGATTTTATTTAAGTAGATATAGAGAAAAAAGTAACTGCGTAGAAACCATTTTTTTACATAAAGAGGGAACTTAGGCAAATCTCTAGGCATTTGCCATGAAGAAATCAGGAAATATTCAAAGTAGAGAAAGGATATTAGAGAGCTTTGAATTTAATTATTTACGTAGATATAGAGCAACAAAGGTACCTGCATAGAAACCATTTTTTTAAACATATTTATTAACAAAAAGGATTATAAAATATATAAATAGAGAATTGTATTCTTTATTTCTCGTTTGAAAATTAGAGGGAACTTGGGCAAATCTCTAAGCATTTGGCTTTATGGCATTTTTGCCATAAAGAAATCAGGAATTATTCATTATAGAGAAGGTACGTAGGTATAGAGCAACAGAAACATTTTTTTTGGAAAACATATTTATTAACAAAAAGGATTATAAAATATACAAATAGAGAATTGTATTCTTTATTTCTCGTTTGAAAATTAGAGGGAACTTGGGCAAATCTCTAAGCATTTGGTTTTATGGCATTTTTGCCATAAAGAAATCATTCATTATAGAGAAAGTACGTAGGTATAGAGTAACAGAAACATTTTTTTTTGAAAACATATTTATTAACAAAAAGGATTATAAAATATATAAATAGAGAATTGTATTCTTTATTTCTCGTTTGAAAATTAGAGGGAACTTGGGCAAATCTCTAAGCATTTGGCTTTATGGCATTTTTGCCATAAAGAAATCAGGAATTATTCATTATAGAGAAGGTACGTAGGTATAGAGCAACAGAAACATTTTTTTTGGAAAACATATTTATTAACAAAAAGGATTATAAAACATACAAATAAAGAATAGTACAATTCAATCATCCTTTTCCTAAAAATCATTATAGCAGTCCACTATACGAAATATATTGACTAGATTGTCCAATTACGGAATTTCTTTAGTCGTAAAATTATTGATGAAGAATATTTGATAATCGAAACATAGGTAGACTTACCTAAATTACTACTTAAAAATTTTCTACATCAATCGAATTCACAACGTGGTCTATTTTATATTTTAAGACCCATTTAATTGTTTTAAGAAATTTGATTGGTAGAATGTCATGATCATTCTTATTCGCAATTTTTACACCCATATTTAGCCAGCCATTTAATATTATCTTTGCTATCTAGCTCTATATTATTATAAAACAATATAACAATGATAATAATAATAAAAAGTTGATTATGAGGCTTGTAAATACAAGCAATAACTTATTATTTTCGATTAGAGTAAAACGATAAAAACTGATTTTAAATTAACAAAACCTAAAAACTCTATTGAATTTTAAAAATTACAGTAAACACAAGGAGAAAGTTCATTACAGAAGATTTAACCATTTAACTAACACAATCGAGTTTTACTTAAGTTACATTTATTCTTGCCTTTGGTAATTAATTACTTAAAGCGATATTATACATTCAAATCGTCAATACACCGTTCCAAATCCGCGTCGATACTCCAATAAGATCATTACAACATTCGGCAAGATTTAATTTATTTTCATAATGGGAAAATATTTGTTCCTAGAGAAATCGAATTCGGGCGGTTTGGTACAATCCTTCCTATGGCCGCCCGCCAGCAATTTCAACACGATAAAATTCGTTTTACATATAGTCACTAAATCCGCTATCTCGGCGTCCTGCGTAAGGCCTTCGAGCAACTGCCTGGCCTGGTGGAAGTGCTTGCAGCCCGCTATGTAGAGCACGCAACTATCGACCGGCTGCTGCTGGAACCTCTCGAAGGAGGTCATCTCCCTGAATTCCGAGTAAACGACAGGCGGCGGAGTGAGGAGGTTCTGGAAGGGCGCGAAGCGATGCTCGTAACGCACCTGCTCGCTGTCGAATCTCGGATGGGGCATCATTATTTTACCTTCCAAACGGAAACCCATCAGCGCCTGAAAAAAACCAAGTACATTCGTACCGAATCGCTGGGATTTTATTGGTAACTTGCCTTGTAATAGCCTCCGGACATGTTCTGCAGCGCCTGGAAGTACGGGATGTCCCTGTTGTACGGCCTGATTTTCTTTTTTATTTTCGGCTTCTTCTTGCTGCCTTTGTTTTTGTTCTGCAGCTCGTTGAATATGTCGTTTTCTATTAGGAAACTGTCGGCTCTGGTGAGAGCGGAGATCAACCAACCGTACAAGAATTCGAACAAATACCTGCAAAACTCGAAAAGCTCAAAGAGATCTGCAAGATTCGAATATTTACCAATATATGTAATAGAATTCGTGGACACTGTACAATTCTAATTCGAACCCAGTTAAAAGGTACATTATCATGATTCTTAAAGTATGATACAGAATCCATGTTCCGAAACACGCAATATGAGGCCTCGCTAGAGGAGAATTGATGGATATATTATGCAAGTAAGCGTCTACTCTTTCCGCCTAAAAAAAAAACACAAATAATGCAAATACAACGCATTTCAATTCCTTACTTCATCCTGCAAAGCAGTAAAATCTTCTAGTAGATGAGCCAGCTTGTCTCTCTGACGAGCCCTGTTGTGTCCGCATAACTGAAGGAAGTTTATAAAAGGCTTCGAACAATGAGACAAAAACGTGTCAACGTAATGTTTCGCCTGAAACAAAAATTTGTAAAATACTTGTAAAAAAATAACGGGATAATTGTTACGCACCTGTGCATTGTTTAATAAAAATTTTGAAAGCAAAGCTGGAGGACAAATGAACGATTTTACAGCATCCCTAAGCAAATCTTTAATGTGTGCTGGAATTGTACCTAACAAATAGGATATTAATAATATATTGTAATTTCAATGGCTCTATGAGTAACATACCAGGATATAGTAGCTGTAAGGCAGACCTCGATAGAATACAAGGACTAGATTTGCTAAAATCGATGAAGAAATCCTAAAAAAACCAAAATGAAAAATAATAGCGTTTATAAAACGTTTTTTATGCATACAAGAGCTTGATGTAACGATGTGATCATTTGTATTTTACTAACAACTTTGAATCTTTCAACCATTTCGATAAAATAAGCTACAGCCTCGGACCTCGATTTAATTTTTGTGTACCTAGGAAAAGTGGGAGGCAACAGACGTTGGTTTATTGAGGGTTCGAACCCTATAATGTGTTCATTATCAGCTACAAATAAAAAAATCGATATTAAATCGAAATTAATTAGGTGTTTGGTCTTACGATCTTCGCTTTTGATTCCAACATCAACGGTCTCTTGAACTATAAACAGCATATCTAGACAACTAGTCATTAATCTATGGCTTTCTGATATAGTCGGCTGATCTTCCTTTCTGAAAGATATCAAAATTTGCAAAAATAACCTTAAAAATTTAATTCTTGCAAATAAAGCTTGTATTTCATGATCTGGTTTATTTCTAGTCTTTCTATCAAGATCCTCTTCAATTTCTCTAAGCATACCAATTAGACGTTGCTCAGATATTTCGGGATTCAAGTGATAGCCATATTGCATTGGCTGGAAGTCCTCTTCCTCATAGACCATACCACTGAAATCATCAAAAATATACAAACTAGTTTAAACACAAAGCATCAATTACTTACTTATGTACTAAGTCTTTAATTACTTCCAATACTTTATAGATGGCAATGCAAAATGCCTTCAGAATTTTATGCTCTATCATATAAGGTTTGTGAAGGTAGAGGTTAATAAAAACTGTTTGAGCCAAAGAATGCCCTTCTAGCCATGATACCAAACAAGCAAACGTACTGTCTATTATACCAATTAACTCGTTGGTATTAAAACCATCTAACTTTAAGATGTTATCCTAAAAAATAGGTATTTAAACTTTGCCAATGACAGTTTACGTGTTTTCTTACTTGTAACGCTTGATCAAATGATACAATTTTTCTAGCGCCTCTAATGCACATCATTCCTGCGTCCATTTTCGGATCCATCATTTCGATTGCAGACATTGCTTCGAACAGGCCGAATAGTTCATCGTGCAATAATTCACCTAATTTTAAATCTGCAAACGGCGAGTTAATTGAGTTGTTTAAGCGTTTTTGAGCGCACTTACCTTTAACAGCTTCCTGAAATTTTGGAGTAATGTCTTTCCAATTCCCGTACAACCTCCATGGGTGACCTGAATGTGAGCTGAAAATAAAACGAACAATAAAAGCGTAAAGTTGGGTCTGGGTTGTTACCATTCGTTCTCCATCTTCTAAAACATTAAATTTTTCTATGTTCTATTAAAAAAAATAACAAAAAAACGATGATTAAAATTTCTACATAACCCAATTTTTCACTGTCAACAACTGTCAAGTAAAGAACTAAAAAATCATGAAAGTCAGATAAAAAATATTTAGAAAAATTGACATTTACTTTCAATCGATTTCTTCTAATACACTATGCGGTCTAAGCTACTCGGGCTATTCGGACTCATAAAAAATCGTTTACGTCAAAGATGACAAAAGGCAGTATAAATTATTGACAGACATTGACATTTCAAAAAAATAGCGTTGTTTGAGTTTCTTGTAAACAAATTCTCTATTCGTTTTATTGATAAAAAATAGTAAGTAATTACTTTTCCCGTAATGTTTAAATTAGATATATTAAACAATTGCTCGTATTTTAGTAATGGGAGGTTGTAGATGTAGTTATAAAAATTGCCCGAACACTACCACAACAACAGAAAACATTCATTTCTTTCACTACCCGGTAAAGCACAAGGAACGTTGTAGAATATGGATAGAAAACGCTAATAAGCTTCACTTTTGTGATATAGAAGAAGAACAACTTAGAAATAAATCAATTTGCGAAGTTCATTTCGAAGATAAATGGTTTCTAAATTCTCAAAGGAAAAGGTTACTACAAGGTGCAATACCTACTCTCGATGGAGACTGCATTGAGGAAAAACCAACAGAATCAGATATGTTTGTTTTCAATGGATTGCAGGAGGTACAAATATTGCCTGCTAGCTCCGATGGTTCCCTTTTTATTTTAGATACCGATTCTAATAGGCCTCACAGTGTAGAGTCTTTTATTTATAAGAACGGAGTCATCGTTCCATCGGATGGTTCCGTTAAGGAGGACGTAATGAAATCAAAATTATCCAATCCACAACCTTCAACAAGCGGAATAAACATTTTCTCAGAAAACTCCTCGTTTAACGTATCGAATTCTACAAGGTTCCAAAATTCTACCAATATTCAAAAAGAACCTAAAACAATCATTAAAGCTGATTTCGACAACGGAGACACAGATGTAAAATACGAAAACGATACAGAGAACGATAATGCTCCCTCTGAAAATATTATATATGTAGAAAGCGATAATTTGAGTAAAAGAAAATCGCCTCGAATCGCAAATGCCAAGGGCGCATCACCTCCTTCGAAGGGAACAATCGATAAACCGCACTTAGGAACGAATTATCTGAAAAAAATTAAACAGCACAGCAGAGACATAGCTTGCATCAAGAAAATGCTGAGGCAGAAAGTAAGGGCGCAGAACAAACCGGACACCGACACCATACTAGCAACGTTAAAGAAAGAACTTCCAGCTACCCTTTTTTCCGTTGTCAACTTGAATTTGAACGAAAAGTACGAGCTAACTCAAGAGGACGAAGAGTTTTTTACAGACATTCACAAAACATCCCCGCAGCTTTACCAGTTGCTGGTTGATAAATATAAATGGAATTTACCTTGTATAGATACGACTGTGGAGTTAGAGGATAATTAGTACAACCATTATCTTTGATCGATTAATATCATTGTAATCTTAAAATTTGATTGTTCTTTTTTGTATTGTAATAAGAATCCTGTCTCGATATGAATTTTAAGTACTATTCAGTGTGTCTAATTAAGTTAGAGTGCCTGTCTTGGCTCAATGTGTGTATATTTGTTGAAAAGTTGATGAGTTTTTTCCAAGTGTGTATTTAAAATGTCGAGTATGAGTTTTGATTATGTAAAGTCTGAAAAGCGTTAACTGAAGTAGGCACAACTGAATGTAAGTCCAAATGTATTATTTTTAATAAATTAGTTTATACAACTTCATTATTGTTTTACATGTATCGGATGCATCTGTTAATAAAATAAGTACGGTAATTAAAGAAATATTTAATATAAAAATATGATTAAGTATATAAAACAGAGCATGTATTGTATATATTATTCTTTTTTTTGACTCCATCTTTGAACAACATGTTTCTGGTCGTTTTCCCAAAGGACTGTGCACAGTTTGCCAACAGTAGCTTCCTTAGGGTCATTCTGATACCAATCTAATAATATTTGATATATTACCTGCAAAATAACTTGTAAATACCTAAATATAAACTATATATACATATATACTTCTTTAGTTCCATAAATTTGATTATCGGCAATAAATTGAGATATCTCCCCTTCCCCAAGATTCAAAGCTCTTGCCACTCCTTTCCATTCGGTATCCATATGTGTAGCGGCAAAGTACAAGTCTTCTTTCATTAGAGGCGTTTTACTGTCCTTCAATACCTTTATAATCGATGTCTCCACAACGTCAGCTTTTTTATTCTGTTTCACTCCATTCATATTATATGTCACGTTGTCCCCGATATGTACAATTCTTGATCTCGATATGTTTATTATTGTGGCTGAAGCTTATGTCAATCTTATTAGTTAATTATTTATTAGATTATAGGACTTCAACTGGTTGTTTTATAGAAGTTATTAAGTTATTAGTATATCATATGTACGTAGAAGACCAGATGGAGTCCCAATATTGTCATGTATATTTTCCTATATTTTACATGCACCGATAGTTATTTGTAGTTTAATTTTGTACGTAAATGTAACATTATATTCTACTTAATGTATTTTGATTTTAAAACTAGTTTGTAAGAAAATTCAAAACCATTTTAATATCTATCAGAAAAACTTATTATTTCAATGTAATTAATAAAATGTATACCTACCTGATGGATGACTCAAATTGTTTGGATTGCATTTCGTCTTTGTTTTTTTACTAAATTCGTGACATTGGGGAATATTAGTATCACCTTCTTCAAAATTTTTGATCACAGTTTCACATCCTTTGTGATTTGCATTTGTATTTCTTGGATTAGGTAGGGCATCTGTTGTAATATCAGAAACATTTATTTCTGACATGCTGATACAAACAATAACTAATTATTCGACAAAGAAAATCAAAAACCTTCTAAAGAAATTCCAGCTTTCATCCTTTTTCGACAATATTTGACGTACTGACATTTCATATTTCATATCATATTGACAATTCTAGGGAAATTAAATATTTTCCCTAACTAAACGTCAAAATCTAATTCCTGTTTATATGCGTTTTACAACATAGACAAAATATACATCTTTCTTTCTCTATGTTTTACAACGAGTAAGATGAAGACAGAAAAAACATATTTTTCAAGTAACAATTAATTAGACCTTAAAAAAAGCTTTTCGAGACACAGTCATTAGTAACAAATTAAAATAATTAGTGAATTATCAATAATTTTCATTATTTATTAGTTGCGTAAATATCGCCATCTCATTCTAATTTAGGGACTTTTTTCACTTGACGCTAACTTCGGAACGCAGCGATCGATCAAGGAGCATAAACAATCCCGTAGGCGTGCTCATTTCTGTTTACCGAACGTTGCCAAGCTCGCGTGACGTCACTAACGGTATCTAAGCGGCAGCTAAGAATGCAACAAAAAGAGAAAACACGATTAACTTCATGAGTCGTGACGTCACTAAAAGTAATCGCAAGCTACCGACAAATGGCGGACTAATCAATCCTTATAGAGAATTTAGCGTCCTTGGTCGGGTGCGGCATGCGCTGCTACAAGTAATAACGCAAGTGAGCATAGTTGACGAATAGTGACAAGACAAATATAATGATGAAATGTACGTCTTAGGCCGTCAGCAATAATTTTATTTCGAATTTCTTTTTGTACATTTGTAGAGCGAAGTTTAGTATTTACGGTAAGTGAATGTATTTAGTGAGCACACGCGTCCCGGTTATGATTGAGCTTACGTCCGAGGTGCTATCAAACGAATTTTGAATGCAGTGGATTGTTAGCTGGGATGACAGTTTCAAACGAAATGCTTTTCAATCGAATTTCATGGTAAAAGTAATAATATCGCGAGGTGGAAGAAAGCGAAAATTCTTCTTGAATGTGTTTTAACCGTGTCTACGTATGTATTGAGAACTTTTGAAATTAGTCTTGTTTGTTGGAGTATTTGTGCTGTTGATCATACTGTTGATTTTTCTATAAGCATATATTTTTTTTGGTATAAATGTTTTTAGTGGGAACGAACGATTTTTTCATGTTACTCTAAAAATATACATATAAGCAAAATATATCTTAAAATATTTTCCAAATTTTCCTATTACTAATACGTTTATTAGCATGCATGTACACCAATTTCCTTTCTTTTGTGGTTAACATTAACCGCTGATAACGGCTGAAATTAACGTTTTTATGTAATATCTGTTCATTTGACTAAATAAAGAACAGTGTTTATCGACGAATTCGATTAAACTGTCGCCAATTTCCTTTTAATTACATTGAATTTTTCATTTCTATTTAGGTAATTTGAAAGATGCGTGAGTACAAGATCGTTGTACTAGGTTCTGGAGGTGTAGGTAAATCAGCTTTAACCGTACAATTCGTGCAAGGTATATTCGTAGAAAAATATGATCCAACAATAGAAGATAGTTATAGGAAACAAGTCGAAGTAGACGGACAACAATGTATGCTCGAAATATTAGATACAGCCGGAACAGTAAGTTTTTTATACAATTAGTTGGTAAACTTAAATGTTTTTTTATTTTTTATTTTTTCTAGGAGCAATTCACAGCAATGAGAGATTTGTACATGAAAAACGGCCAGGGCTTTATTTTGGTTTATTCGATAACAGCACAGTCGACTTTTAACGATCTTCAGGATTTACGAGAGCAAATACTTAGAGTGAAGGTAATTATACTTTAATTGACCGAAATTAGTAGTACAAAGCGCAAGTTGATAGCATTAAAACGCGTTTACTGTCACACTTTGAAACCCCATTTTATCTCCAACCAGTTATCTAGTTGTCATTCATTCATTTCCAAGCTTTTGGAGAGTTATCTTCATTGTTGGCATCAACAATATTCCATTTGCAACAAAAACTTTCTACTTAATTGCATGATAACGAATCCTCTAAGAAATTATTTATTTTATTATTCAGCGTTCGGTCGAAAGCGCTTTTACAAACGTGTTTAAATCACCGTTTTTATTGCTTCAAACGCATAATGTACCAGGTGTTTGATTGAGATGGGTACATGTGCATATACACTGTGTCTCAAATAAGTGTAAACAGCACAAGGAAAATTTATTTGCACCCGTTTAATGCCCTTCCAATTGCACAACTTTTTCCCCATTATAACTTGCTAGCGATTAAAAATCTTTTCTGCATTACTGGATTATTTAGTTTTGTCCATTTAATATATGGTTTTATAATTGAAATGTGTTTCATAGGATACCGACGATGTTCCAATGGTCTTAGTGGGTAACAAGTGTGATTTGGAGGATGAAAGAGTCGTGGGTAAAGAACAGGGAATCAGTCTTTCACGCCAGTTCAGCTGTGCCTTCATGGAAACCTCTGCCAAAGCAAAAATTAATGTTTATGATGTAAGTAATTTATTACACTTGAAATTTTCGTATGAATCACGATTAGAATTAGAATTTAGGTCATCGGGTAGTGTGTAAAAATTTCATATTAAATTCTATATTTGGCTGTTTAAAGCTGTAAACGAATGTGCAAATTTTTGCTTTATTTTTTTATGCAGTATAAAATACAAACTTATCTCTATTATTATTGATAAAAAAGAATAATGAAATTGATTGTAGTTTACTCGTTTTGTTTATTATCAATATTTCGTTTGACTATTCGATTTTCTGATTTCCTGTTGGTTGTTTATGTAAACTTTGTGTTTCAGATATTTTATGATCTAGTTCGACAAATCAATAAGAAATCTCCTGAGAAGAAGCAGAAGCAGAAAAAGAAATCTCTCTGTGTGCTGTTGTAAATTTAGAAGATCTCTTGGAACCAAAAAGTACATTAAAAAATTAAAAGACTATATATATTTATAAATAAATATATATGTAGAGTGTAAAGGAGGCAAGTGCGGACTAAAAGTCTCTTGCAGTGAAAGTTTTTTTAAAGTTCTGTATATCATTCTTTTAACACTAATTTAAATATTTGTAATAAATAAAGTTGTCAGTTAATTTTTCCACTGTCAAGGTTGTTATTAAATGATATAGATGCTGCAATTTTAGTGATAGAGTATTTTGAAATACTGCCAATTACGTGGTGTCAAATAGAGATAGAGATTTTGTGAATTAGTGGTATTTGCTACTTCTGATTCAAGACTATCTACAGGACAATACTTGATCAAACTGAATCCATGTGTAAATTATGGCTCACGCATTCAAGTCCCTTGATTCGATACCGCATATATCCCCCCTGTGGTGAAGGCTAAACATCAGTTAAACAAAATACAACGCCACCTCCATCACACCAACATCACTTACATTATGGGTCTTATGTATAAAATTTAAAATACATTAATGCTTCCGAATGAAAAACAATCACTTTTGGATTTTGAGAATGTCCAACGTAAAACTTCCTTAAAGTTATTAGGCATTTTGTATATAGCTTTTTTGGAAAATGTATTTCATTTGATTATTTTTAAACGTTTAAATTTATATCTTTTGTTTGTTGTATTGAAAAGTTCACTTATAGCGTTTTCTAATTTGTATAATTAGCTGAAAAAATGTAATGTATATTTTTTAATTTTCTGTATATTCATGTGATTTATTTTGAAAAATTTCAAGTAAAAATATATTCAAATACCAGTGATCTTTTCAATGTTTACTTTAGTTTAATGAAATTGATGAGAAATGTAGTTTTGTATTGATTTGGTAATAATTTTGATTATTGTTTATTTTCCTATTTTAGTCTATTTTGAATGCTGTTTTAAAGAAATTAGAAGTAATTAAAGTTTTATAAAAAGAATTACTAGAATGATAAGGTTTTTACTAAAATTATGTCAATTTGCACAATTCTGTGAAATATTAATATGAAGCAATCTTAAATTCGAAAAAAATTCTTAGATTTTTGAAAATATTGAAATTTTTTTACATTTTTAATATTAGATTCTCGCAAAATTCCTACAATTTTAGGAATATCTAGATATTAGGTCAATTGCTTTAGATCAGTAAAGGTTCCGTTTCTATTATGTAAATAAATCTTAGACTAATATAGCTATAATTATATGCATAATTCATTTGAACGAAAACGGAAAGTGAAGATAGAAAATTTGGAAAAGATAATATAGGATAGAAAATTTCAGAGCTTGTGTATATACGTTTCATCACCGTATTTAGTACATCAATTTTTAGATAATGTACATGTAGATATACCTGAAGCATTGGTTTATAGTGTATTTTTTATGCATACGACCCAGCTTTTGACGCCCATTTGCCTATTCTTTAAACATGTCATTTGAATGTAGTAATTTGTGGTGAGATGTGATAATAATCCTATGGTGCTTTTCTACTAGATAGAGATGACTTTGACGAGATCAATGTTCTATTCTCAAAGGGGTGCACCTTTTTTGAATAACAAAATTTTTTGACTAATTTCAGTCACGAAACCATCTTGAATTTGAAAAATGTCTTCTTATGACCAACCGTTTTTCCAATCTATTGTAATGTCAAATTAGCATTAAGAATATTAAACGTCTTATATAAATTAATAAATGTGCGATATGTAACTTTAAATTTTAAATATAATTGTTGCACTTTATGAATATTTCCTATATTTATCTTTTAGCAGTATTTATTTTAATAAATAGTAAAAGAATACGTCATTTAATTATTTTACCTGTTTCGATGGTGGAATATTCGAATTCCTTCATTTACTCTATCATCAATATTCGATTGTGATGTTAATTAATTAATTCTCCTTAGGTTGAATTTTCATTCTTCAAATTTTTCTCCATTTTCTATCAATTTTATATCCCATTTAGTTTTCTTCGATCATTCCAATTCCTAGAAATTTTTTGTAATAACTCTTCGTTTTAATTTTCCCAAAATTGTATATTGTTTTATCTAACTATTCAGCTAATCAATGAACTTTTTTAATATTAAAATTCACCGTCAAAAGCCAATGATTTATTATGAAATATTTCTATTAAATTTCCTACGAATTAAAATATTTTATGTATTGTATTTTCGTTGTTATTTTTAAATTGCACTAATGTGATTTTTGAAAAATATTGCAATATAGAAAACACCACAATAAAAAACATTAATAATTAAAAGTACTTTTTCCTATTTACACACTTTAGTAATGTTTGTTTATAATTAATTAGCAAAAATTAGGTGTAATATTTAATTAAATCACAATTACTTTTTGAAACACGCAAAATTAAAATTCTACTAACGTGAAGTGGTATAGTAATCAGTTTCATTTGTAATCATTTAGATTATTCCATATTTTTTAGTATTAAAATATATTCACTTCAGTACTAAACTAAAAAAAATAATTTGAAGATAAAATACATTGTAAACATATGTGTACGGAACACTTAACACGTACATTGATAAAAACGAAACGTTTAAAAGGCACCTATAAATATATGTGCGTAGGTACTCGAAGTTTTTTTTTATTTCACTGATATAAGGTTATTGTCTTAACATTAATTATGATTCACTGATTAGTCAAACTGTTTTAACCAGAATACTTGTCATTTGCATAACAACATGATTATTACTCGTTCTGTATTGAAAAGGAACAATGCACTATACACTAATATGAAACAGCCATAAGGAATACTGTATAAATTTATAAATAAAAGTATTATGGAAATTATCAGTTGTAATTCGTCCTTTTTGGGTTACATCTATTAAAATACAATGACAGAAATTTATTGACAACTGTTTTCAACCTTAAACATTAATTGTAAGTACTGAATTTGACCAATTAAGGATGTTGCTAATGAGAACAAAGTGATAATCTATGGATATTTTTATGGCAATGAATAGTAACTTATTAATTGGTTATAATCCATTATTCTAAACTTACAATATCATTAAATACGTATATATAAACAATTTTCTATATACTATTGTGCCAGTGACTGTTATAATATGTAGATACTATATAAAATTAGATCGAATGAAATCTAGAAATTCTTATAATACTTGTGTAATACCTAAAGTTTGTTTAAGTACAGATTTTTCTCAATATTATTACGATATTAGAGTTTCTAGATTTTCACCAAGATTTAATATACCTTTTTAATAGCAAAAGAATTACCGACACGTATTTTGATCTACGTGACACTACTGATTTGACTTATTTCATAAGAAACCAATAATGGACTACATGTAATATAATAATTAGGTAATTACTGCACACTAGCCTATAAACCACAAAGTAGGTATAAGTCGTTTAATTAATAATTAGCTAATTAAGCATTGTGAACTACGGGGGTAGAAGTGAACTCGTAACGGCTCAGCTTCGGCGTTTTCGGTCCAGAAAGATCCTCCGACAAAGGCCTGTAGACCGATCCGCTGTGCTTCTTTTGACCAGACACCGTGTTCCACAAAGGAATCTTCAGACGTGGAAGATTGGCTCTTTGCATTTCGAATTTGTTATTCCTCCGCAGGATGCACAACGTTATCGTTACCGCTATCGTTAACACAACCAAAGCGCTCAAGACGAATACAGATGTCACCGATAAAATGTAAGTAGCCCTGGCCAGCGTCGTATCGTCTTTAAGCAGTCTGCTGGAAGTTTCCTCTTCCGGCTCGTCGTATTCGTATTGTCTATCGTCATCGTCGTTATATTCAGAATCATCATCGTCCTCCTCATCATCGTCGTCATCGTCGATGTCGTTTTCGTCTAGAGTTTCGATTTTAGAAGGAACAGATTTGGTAGTCGGAGGAGTCGTTGTAGGGGCTTCGGTGGTGTATTCGGGGCAAGCTCCGCGATGGAAGTCCTTCCATTCGATGGTGCTGAATCCATCGATATCCTCGCCGAAGGATTTCTCGTATTCGTTGCTGATCTCTTTCGTGTACTGTATGGGAATGACGCGGTTCGTTTTCAACTGGTGTATGACTTTGCAGGTGTTCAAATTGAAGGAAATCGGATTGTGGTTCAAATCGATGGCCTCCAGCTTCGGCATTAGTTTAATATCGTCTTCGGTTAAGCCGCTCAATTGGTTACCGCTGAGGAGGATTTTGTGCAGAGACGGTACTTTTCTGTTGTAATTCGACCACAATCTTTCCAACGAAGCGTTTCTGGCGTCGATGTCTCTTAGGTCCGTGTTGTTGGCGAATACTTCCGGATTCAATGATATCAGAGGGTTGCCGGCAATGTTCAAAGACTCCAAATGGCTATTTTTAACGAAAGCCTGCGGCGCCAAGTATTCGATATCATTGTGAGAAATGTCCAAGAGTTTCAGGCTGGTAATCTTTTCGAAACTGCTATCGACATTCTTGAGTTTGTTTTGCGAAAGTTCCAAATAAATCATGCCTTCCATGTTTTCGAACACCGAACTTGACAGTGCGCTCAAATTGCAGTTTTTACAAGAGAAGGTGTTCAGTGAGAAATCTTCGTTGTTGTTCAGATAGAAATTCGGCAATCGTTGAAGATCGTTACCGTCGAGAGTGATTTTGATTAGTTTCCTATTTTCAGCGAAAACGTTATCATCCAAGTTAGTCAGTTTGTTGTAAGAAAGATCAATGACTGACAATTCACTCATGTGGCTCAGCGCCTTGGAATTGATATTCCTGATGTTGTTATGGCTGAGTACTAGATCGTTCAACGAAGTCAATTTCCGAGTAGAATCCTCGTCGAAAGTTTCCAGTTGGCAATTCTTCAATGACAAAGTTTCCAAACTGTCCGATGTGTTCAAAGCGAAACTTTTGAGAGGATTGTTATCCAAATTCAACGTTATTAGATCTCGGTTGTTGATTAGAGCTGTAGCAGGCAATCTGAATATTTCGTTGTTCGAAAGATACAGCTCTTCCAATTCGAACAGTTCAGCGAACGCTTCGACTTCGATGTTTTTCAAATAGTTATCGGTCAAATTGAGAAAAGTCAATTTCAACAGTCCGCCTAAATCGGGGATTTCCTCCAAATTGCAGCCGCCGAAATGGATTTCCTCGAGCTTCTCCGAGAACAGATCTGGACTGTCTTCGAAACCGCAATTCTGGAACCTGAGCCTCGTGACATTGTTGAAAGCCTTCGCATCAATTGATCCTATCTTGGTGTTCAATACAATAACATCGTCTAAATTATGGAAATCTTTGAAAGCATTCTCTTGGATTTGGTTTATAATTAAGTTCTCCAAACTGACCACATTTATTATGGCCTTGTTTATATACCGGAAAGTAGTGGCGTTCAACACTAAGGGCTTGTTGCATTTGACAATCTGCAGTCTGTTTGGCAATTTTCCAAATTTACACGCGCAATTATCGATGCAATATTTCGAATTCCTCGGTAGCAACGGTAATGAACATACCGCCGCCTGGGCGGCTAGCAGAACAAGAAGAATATATTTCATGTAGGTATCTGAAAAGCAAAGAAAATATATCGGTCAGTAACAAATAATTAGTACCTGTCGATATCTGTTAAGCAGATGTTTGCTATACTTTTACACCTGTCCATGTTATTTATATCTCAGGTGCATTTTAATATCTACACCAGTTTCAGTAACTTGCAAAATAAATTTTATACCAATCTTCGGCTTATGAAACATAATTGTTACATTTAATCAACAATATTCTACTAAACATTTTAGGTATGTGTTAAGAGAATGTTGACTATTTCAGATGTTCCTATGTGTGTTAAGCGACATAAACAGAATTGTCGACTCTATTATTGCATTTGTATGTTCATGATAACCGAATATAAAAATGAATAAACAATGTGATAAGATTTACAAAACAATGGAATAAGTGTCTTAAAACGGCAAATTTCCACATCATTAGGTGCAAAATGTCGAGCTGTTTTTATCGCTCAAAAATTACTCATTAAAATCAGTTTTGGCAAGGAAATTGTTAGCTTTGATTATTAATATCATTATTGTCATTTTCATTAAAATATGTTTACTAGTTCTTTTTTTGGATTTTTCTCGAAAATACCTTTAACAGTCTATATTAATACCTCCTATTACACTAAAAATGTTTATTGTAAATACGCAGTAGTATTTATATGAATAAATAAGCAATATTTATTAATATCGGAGTATAAATGAAGTAAATACATTTTAAACAAACATTAGCAGAAACCGTGTTATTTATAGCAAACTACTATACACATAAATAAAACCAGTCAAGCTATAATTAAAATATCGGAAACATAGACATTTTTGCATAATATATGGGACTGTCAATAAATGAATTGAATGCGATAAAAATTATTGCACCAACGATGATTTCCTTTAGAAAGAATTCTTATTATCTTCCTTAATTTGTTTAATGGTTTATCAATTTGTTTATCCGATTCCTCTATAGTTTTCAATAGAAATGAATGCTTTAAATGAAAATATCCGGAGTCCGAATGCTACACGAGCATTCTGCTTAATGTTTAATTTGTTAATTTTTTATAGCTGAGTGTTTTTGTTTGTAAGTACTTGCTACATACTATTGAATAAGCATGTCAGTGTTTTTAAATTTCTAAATCGGAGACACTACAAGCAAAACAAACAGTACATACCTGCAAGCGAGCTATTTTATTTTAATTTCGAGCAAGCAAATGTTTCAAGTAAATAAATTGAGTAAACTATTAGGTATAAAAAAATTAACGAGGCCCTTGATGAGCGTTTTAAATTTTAGAAAGCGTGCGTTTTTTGGCTAAACTTTTAAAATGTCGAAAATTCTGGATAACAAATTAACATTTTTCCAACAAACAGTTATGACTAAAGGCCAATTAAAAATATGTTTTGAAATTATCGTTATTGCAGTCATGCTTTTTAGAAAAAATTCCACGATATGATAAGAGACTGCGTGTAGGTTTATTGAAAGCATTTAGAAAAATATACAACATAAAATTTAGCAAAGTACAAAGTCATGGATTTATAAAACAATCACGAGTCCAAACGAACATCACTTGTAATCAATCAACACTTTTTTAATATTTGACATAAAGTATGTATCAGTCATCTAAGGCTTTCAAAGTTTTAAATACCAGAACAAACAGAAGAATAAAGTGATAAAACAAAGTAGAAAATGGCATCATCATTGTATATTATTGAAAAAGTGTATGAAAATTTTGCTAGTGACGATAATCCTGAAAAAAATAAATTGATATACAACTAGTTAATAGAACACCCAGAGGAAGTCAAAGTATCAGGAAAAAAGATTTGTTACCATCAAATCAATCTAAAGATCCACCATGCAAATTGACTAGATTCATAAGGATACACTTTAAAAGAAAACAAATACAAATAATTAACGAACTTTCAATGCCGGCCATCAAATTACCATAACAAGAATCCAACATTTACGAAGTTGTTAATACAACTTAATCAATATTTGTATCACCGTTTATCAACTCCCAATTATGAAATTTATTAATATAAAAATTTGCCTATTTAAAAATTTCATTTACTCACCTAGCTGTATATTTCACCTTTAAACAATCTCGCGTAATACTGATTTTATAATTCAAACAAACTCTGTTATAACCACTTGTATTACAGATAACATGTTAATAACATTCCAGGTTTTTCTATGTTTGGCGGAGTCTAAGTTTGAACTTTAGTAAGCGATTGATTAACAGTGTAATTTAAATCAAATAACGAGATGTGTAAAAAAATGAATTATTTCATTGATTTAATTTAAGAAGGTAAAGCCTGGTATCTGTCTATAATGTTCAAGGCCTTTATAATAAATTTGTTATTAATAGATGCCACTTTACACGACCTTTAAGAACTCCATTCTGGCTATGGCATAATGATGGCGGTAACAATAACTTAAGTATATAATTGTGTTCGGTTCATTTTTGATTCTTGTATTTATTTGAATTAGTAGGTAAAACACTGAAGGGTGATCAGCCAGACATAAACCACACGTGTTTGTCTACATGAATAGATAAGAATTCGTTTTTGATCCTGAATATCATTATATGTTAGTTAATTGAATTTTTTGTTAGTTAATGTATTAAATATTAATTGTAGAGAATAGAATATCATTCAAGCCATACATAGTTATTTTGAGCTATAGATATTTGATTATTGAGACAATAATGATGAACATAAAGAATCCAATAAGCACAACATTCTTTCAAAGCGATTCAAAAACAAAGATTATTGGGAGCATTTTGAATGTTTAACAAAGATGTTCGTTAAGTGTAATATCAATTAAATTAATTGGATTAAATTATGGAATTAATTGGTCTCTTGAATCGCGACAATAACACGATAATACGAGGGTGAAACAACTTTTGCACAATCTACCTGTAACAACAATCCTTATGTGTGAACTCGGTAAAATTTGAACAAGGCGAATGCATTGTTCCCGGTATTGTGTAGATTAAATGTTAATATTTACTTTGACGTATTAATCAGTAGGAATTTCACTTTGTCACTGGGATTCTAGAAAATATTTTGCGTACCTAATATCGAACTACACAAGCGCTTCCCTGAATTGCTACCTACCGGGAATGCGAGATTTGTATGATGCAAAAATTGATTTGCATTCGTTATTAGGCGATACCTTATTCAGCCGCGTCCTTGTTGCTAAAAAAGTTTAGTACCCGAAATGCCGTCATGAATTGGAATTGCAAATAGTACCCAGGATTAATTGAAACAACATATTTTTCGCAAAAATTTAAATATATATTATTGTTATATGTACTGTGTGTTTTAACCTTCGGATTAGCTGAATATCGTCTCCGTTATTAAGCCAGAAATAACGATAACGAATGGACGTGTGTTTGATACTAAGGCGTGAAAGTTGTTTACACAAAAAGAACGTAAAACATATACGTGATTTCAAAATTGGCCACGAAATGTGACGAAACGTAAATATGCAGTAAAATTAATAAAATATGTCCACATTAGATGAGCTCAGCCTTGACAACTTGTTGCGCACCTTATCTAATTTCGTTTAATTGACGAGTAGGTACCCAAATGGATTCGAAACGCTTCACCTTATCCGTACTTATTCGTTTCTGATAAGATAAACTCACCTATAGTGTTCCTCAAAATCGATCGAAATATCACCGAAAACGATACTACCAAAAAAACACAATGAACTTTTAACCAATAATGGATAAGAAATTTACCTGTACCACTTTACACACAGGTAGTACCCCCTCTATTCAGTGACGTCGTTGTCGAATTGCTCGCGAGAGGCAGCACTTTGCAATATTACGACGTTTTAATACACATTTCATGAACTATTTGACCTTTTTACGGAGGTTCGTTAATAGCCGGGTACCGCCCCAGTCGACTTGACTCGACTCGACCAACTGATACCCAATCGAGTCAATGGTAATAGAGATGGTGCAACATTTCCGTTCTGGGATAGGCCGGCAAATGCATATTGCATCCAGACCAGGTCATTTCTATGCACTTCTCGGTACTATGCTACAAAAGGAGAAAAAGTGTCCTATTTGAATTCAATTTTAGGTACTTATCTTAATACTAAATAGCCAGTATTGATATGTTAGATGAAGACTCAAATATCCCGTTTTAAGGCACTTTTGTTCATTAATATTTTACATTATTCACCATTGCATTTAATTGCCTGAATCGATGAAAAAAGGGATTTTTTGCATCCAAAAGGCATGTTTTTCTTTAGAAATAAGTAAAGGGCGCTCGCTGTTTCTTAAATAATGCCTGCATTGTAGCGGAAAGTTACAGTGAATGCGTGGGTGGTCTTTTCACGGAACAAATAATACTGAATGGTTCTGTTTTCACCACTTCTTCGATTGTTGGATGGGTACTTTTTGTATCCAAATACCCATCAAAAAGCCAAATTCCCGACGAAAAATAGTGCAAAGTTGCAGGGTGAATTCAAGAAGGATGCATAAACACTCGTTGAATTGTTTTAGTGTAATATATTAAAACATACTTTTTAATATTGATTTTCATTTTAAACTTAAACACTCCGTAACTTTTTTGTTTATACATAGGTAACTAAAAGGTTCAATAGTCATTTTTGATTTTGACCTCAGAATATTATGATACACTTTATGAAAATTATTACGGGACATCCTGTATTCTTAACCCAGTATTTCGTTCTTGTGTATTCCGGGTTGCTCGATTAGCAGGAATGGCGAATGTATGAAGTTCACCTTTCCCTCCTACTATTTTTAATTATTGATTTAACGCTAAATTTACTAGAAAATTCAAAATAAATCTAAATTCGTGAACTCTTAAAAATTTATTTATTATTACAATACACATATACATATTGTACAGATATTTTTATATGTATAACTGTGTAAACATCAAATTATAGCCATATAGCTTGTATTTTATTTAGTAAATAGGTACAATAAATTCGAGATAAGTTTAGAATCAACATTACAAGCTGTTAATATTTATAAAAAAATATTTTAGCATTTTAAAAAAATTTATTAATTTCTATGACACAACAAAATTTCGCTAACCTGTACACATAATAGACTAGAAATTACTAATTAAGTATGGCCAAAGAATTAAAAATTATTACAACTAATAAATTTACAAGTAACAAGCAATAAAATATGAAAAAAACCAATAATAAACAACTAGGTAAAAAATTATACGGAATTTCGTCATAATAGGAATTTTTCTGCAATATCTTAAGAACCCTTTAGAAATCTTTACACTGACGAATACAATAAATTGATTAGATTTCGTAAGAAGTTGCAAAATCACCCCTAATTGTAGCATAAGTGTAACATATTCTGCATCCGATGAACATTTAATCGGCCATTTGCAGGAGCGAATTGATAGTACTCTCCTTATTCGCTCTATTAGCTTCGAAAACCGTTTTAATCACATCTTTTTCGATATTCGGAAACATTTCTTCGATCTACAAACGACAAATACACATTCATTAGGGGTTCCAGGCGAGTTAAAATAAATAAATTAATCACCTGCTTCAATTCAGCTTCATTTATCACCGGGGGTTCCTGGTTAATGGCCGCTTCGGAGGCCGGATAGACGGCCATTGGTTTAACAGGGCCCCCTCCTGTCCTGGGCACCACCATCACAGGCTGGTTAACCGGGTAAACCGGATTAGTGTGCTGCAAAAGATTAGTTATAAAGCTTTGAGAACCCAAAGAGATATCAAACATCATCTTACGTTATAAGTCAATACAAGATTGATCATCCCTTCGACGCCTTCGCCTTGTTTCCCGTTCAACGGGTACCAATCCTCGTGCGTTTCCCCACTGAGAACCTGTTGCGGTACGCTGATCTGGGCCCAAGCGATCAGCTCGTCCATGGTAAACGATCGTTCATCGAATATCTCCACAGTGAGGCTGTTGATGCCGCTGGGCAGGTAACTAAAACGTAGCTTATTAGCCTAGTGTACTGATAGATTTTGCGTGCTTTTACCAATAGACGACCTTGTTCCACCTGGGGTTCTTGCTTCCGTTCGGGTCCGTTGGCGTTTCGTAGATGGAGTGTCCGACGCGGATTCTGCAGTACGGGTCCATCCGGGTCATGCCGTAGTTTTTGGCTAGTTTGGCTTGCACGACGGTGATGCTGAGTCGCCCGGCCGGGTTCAAGACGTAGGGGTACGAACTGCCTGCGTAGTGCTGTTGCAGTGCCAGGGCGGTTTGCCTGTCGGCGGCCTCTTGTTGTTCCTGCACGGACGTGTTGACGCGCAGGAAATCGTCCGGAAGAGGACCCAATAGGACCTAAGGGAGGATTAATGTTAGCGTTTGGTTCGGTTTGTTCGAACGCAGCTGTACTCACCCGGTTTCGTTTCTCTTTGATTTTTTCGGATACTGCGGCGGCCATTATTTTGTGTAGGTTCGTTAAAACGTTCATGCAAAATTGAGACAATTGTTTTTACCTAAAATAATACAATACAACATACAAGTGTTATTTATGTTGTTGATTAGTGCTGTTTGTCATCTGTCATAAAACGAATACAGAATTCGGTCACAGAACATAATTATAGAAGAATGCCAGGTGTCCCGTGTCGTAGTTTGGGAACCAGGGAGTATGATAGAAAAAGGCCACTGATGTGATAATGAAAATAATCATGATTTTACGGAATACAAATCTCAAATTGTGAGAATACGTTCATAGAAAATTAAATAGTAATGATATAATATGAATAATATGAATAATAATATTATTTTTGAACTATGCAAAATTATATGACGTACGACAAGATTGACAAGGTGTCAATTTAGGTTAAATTTATTTTTAATTTGTATATTGTCATCTGAATTTAAGATTGCAGCGCCATCGTGGCAAAAAACGGAACCTTCGTAACAGGCATTCATTCGTTTGTTGTTATTTGTTTTAACGTGCGAATTGTGAATTTGAAAGTGATTTTTTAGTGTTATAACTTAATTTCTTCCGAACAATTTTTATATTAAAAGACAATTTATTTCAGTTTAAGTAGTTTTTAAGTTGTTAAATTTACTGTCAATTCAAAATCTGGTAAGCAATCTGATTTGTATGTAAGATTGTATTATGTTTGGTTATATATTTTTTGTCGTTTCTTTCAATTAAATTATGAAATATGGTGTATTCAAATTACTCAATGACTTAAAAATTATACTTTTATTTATTCTATTTATTAATAATCTATTTTTTTAATTTATAATCTTTCATTTTTAGAAAAATGGCTCGATTAAGTATAATCGACTACATGGCGTACATTGAAGGGACAGTTTCTTCAAGATGTGTGGTAGAGGGCGAAGAAGTTTTAAATGCAGGACACATAATTTTATGTGGAAAATTTAATTTGGTGACTTATTAAAATCTTATTAAAATCTGTGCTTTGTGTCTACAAACTAGCGCACTTAATGGAGAACCTCATCAAATATCCGGAGAAAAAATGCTTCACATCGTTTGTTCCATTTAGTATTACTTAATGGTAATGTATTAATTCTATATAATATTACAACTAATTTTGATAAAATATTTTATTCAGATCGAGAGCTGTTACATTTTTTTTCTACCAGAAATTATTCTTCGGGTATCGACAAGGGATTTTCATAAAACGCTTCACATCGCTTGTTCTGTTTAGTATTACTCCAATAATGGTAAAGTATTAATTCTATATAATATTACAACTAATTTTGATAAATTATTTTTTTAGATCGAGAGCTGTTACATTTTTTTATCAGAAATTATTCTTCAAGTATCGCCATGTGGTTTTAGGGGTTTTTTGAGTTATTTTACATGAATCTAGTATCTGCTAATATGGGATTTGATAAATTAGTAATACTGCAAGCAATTATAAAAATATCTTGAATTTTGGACACCAAGGACCATTGCATTTTCCCACTTAAAATTTTAAATATTTTAATGCGTTGATTTGTCCTTTCAATGTGCACTCGGGCAGCTGCAATTTTTGAATTTAAAATGGCTTCTTCGGAAGATAATTGTTTTTTATTCCTTAAAAAAGGTGGTCTAATTAATTTAATTTTAAAGGATTCACAAATGTCATCAATTAAAAAACCTTTATCCACCATAATGGCGTCTTTGTTGCCTTCTAATTTCAGGATTATATCGCTTTGCTTAAAAATGGCCTTATCAGATGCGCTTCCACCGTACGCTTCGCTTACGTACGTTATTATTCCCACAGGAGATACACCGGTCATAAACTTAATTGTTGTACTCGACTTATGTGAATAAAATTTTATTCTACAGCAAAGGCATTTTGGCGTTTGGACATTTATTTCTGTACAATCCAGAATCACCCTTACATCCTCAAATTGATTAAAACATAGGGGCATGTTTCTTTTAATTTCCGAAGAATCGGGGAACCTTATACAGGGCTTTAAGACTGCACTTAATATAGGCAACATTTCAAAAATATATTTTTTACATAATTCGGGGGAAATAGCAAACAATACTGACAACGTTACATAAGAAAGATCACTCTTTAATTTTGTCATGACTAATACTATTCGTTCTTGAAAAAAACAGATTTATAAAAGCGACGAAACCGACAATAAAGACAAACACGAGAGAAAACAAAACAAAAACAGAACGAACGTAATGGATGCAAAACCAATACAATGGTGCAATACCTGTTAGAAGCGTTCTATTTTCTGCCACCAGAGGGCGTATCGCTTATATTGAATCGCCAATTGTTTTACAAAATGATTCGTTAATATTTGAAATTGAAGAGTAATATACAAACAATAAAGGCTTTCAGGGGTATATTATTTATAATATTAAATTTGTATTGCATAAGCCAGTACAAATTAAATGGCGGTGTAATATGCAAAGTTAATCCCTTTTTGGGTCCTTAATCCCTTACCGAAATTGCACCCTGACAAATAATTCCAAAAAACTCATAAATTAAATTAATTTCTAGAAACTGGGAGATGTGGAAGTGTTTATATTTAATAGTTATAGTTCTATCGCTAAGGATATGCCGGTTTCGGATTAAACCTTCATTGTTTACAGTATGGCGGTCTCCCTAAACTTTACCTTTTATAAGGGTAAAGGCCAACTGCTCAAAATTATTGTATAATCTGCATTAGTATTTTTATTAACGTAATCGTGTATTTCTATCATTTAAAAGCATGGTAGCGCTAATAAGAACCTTTATAATAACGAAGTAAATAAGATTTAAATCAAACTTTGTATCAATATTAATGCGAAGCCTTAGTGGAAAGAATTATATTAATGTGACATTTACCTAATGCAATTTACCCTCGCCCGTCGTAATACTGACGGTGTTTTTTGTTTCCAGTTGAAAATTTGCTAATCTGTAACCTGCATATCCTTAGTGAAAAATTATATAAAATAATTTTGTGCAGTTGGCCTTGACCCTTGCAGCTTGCAGCAGGTAAAAGTTTAGGGAGCGAGGCCGCCTTACTACAATCATTGAACTATTGAACGCATATCCAAAGCGAAAGAATAAACAACATAGTATCTACTTTTCCTTTTGCTGAATGTTTTTGTGATTTTCTTTAGTTCATTCGGAAATTATATAAAATAGCGTCATGGAGACTATGCTCAGTGAACGTGGAAAACTGATTTTAGTGTATAAAAACTACAAGTATTACGTGGGACGTGTGTTAAAACGAACAGGCGAGAATTCATGGCGTTGTTTTAAAAAGCGGTGCAAGGCACAAATTTACACCCTAGGAGGAAGGGAGGAACCGATTTTTTCCAGAACAAGCGGAACTCATAATCACGATAGCGACTCTGAGGCGGTCTTAAACCGGCAGAAAATATCCAATACAGTCAAAAGGAAAGCCACTGACGACACATCCGATAGGCCCTCGAAGATAATCAACCGCGAGGTCTCGGAAAACGTGCTGCGTAGCATAACAGTTAAAGACATCAAGTACATTAGAGACAATTTTAACCGAGAAAAGAAAATTAAAAAATGTGCTACAAATACCCCGTAATATTAAATCGGAAAACTTTTATACAATGACATAAAGACAAATGTTATAATATTTTCATGTAAAACTAATGTAACACACGATAAATTCGAGTGTTTTATGTGGAACGTGGATGGAACATTTATGTCAATTATTTACCATGCAGTGTTAGATTACTGATTGAAAAAAATCAGTATTTTTGGATACACTGGGGGTGCCAGAAGATTGTCAAGCTGATGTTGAAGTAGCAATCCACTCTGCAATGCAAGAGACTTTTCCAGACATAGATGTTAGGTTGTAGATTTCATCTAGCGCAGTCTTGGTACGTTATTTTTGGTAACTTAATTTACATTTATATTATATTAATCAATTACTTGCTTGTTTTCAGGTGGAGGAAAATTCAACAAGTTGGACAAGTTGGTAGAATACAAAAGTTGGACATCTGAAATCAGCTTTTGGTTGAGGCAGGCGTTTGGTATAATACTTTTACCAGAAAATATTGTCAATGATATTTAATGTTTTATCTGGTAAAAAATACATTGATTATGATTCGTTTTCACTTTATCCTAATATGTCTTCCTGAAAGCTTTGGAGGAGTTGCAAAAAGACCCTCATATAAAAATTAACAAGTAAAGAACTATTTCAAAAAGTATTCTTAAATATTCTTATTATATTAGAAATAATGAGTTTTTAAGGATAAATTAATTTATATAAACCCTTATTTTGTTTTAATTCAGGTACCTACATTATATTTAATAGGGAATTCCTGGCATATGGGCTTTAGTCCAGCATGCAAATAACAAAATTTTTGAAATGATTATGAAAAAAATGAAACAATATTTTCCGTAAGATACAAAGAAGGAAAGAGGAAAAAAATTCCATTGTCAAATATGCAATTCCTAGATATTGAATTGTTTCTCTGCTAATTCAGCAATAAAAAGCTCGAATTACTATAATACTGTACAAGTACAACCCTGTAAAATTATTGTTTTTAAATTTTGTAACGATAGCGCTTACTGCAACTCTACCAACAGGTGCAAAAAATGGCCTGTATGCGTGTGAGGTTGTACCTTATAGTTATGTGTGCACGATATACATATTCATAAAATAAATAATCCTTATTTCTAGCTCCTTGAGCTTCACGCTACTTAAACGTATGCAACCACCATTACTTAATATATCATTCGCAATATTTTTGATAACTGACGGTTGTCTGGCCTCTTTTCTCGGCTTCCGTTCTGTTCAGCCCTACAGCCAATATTCAATTAGATCCATTAACGATAGGACAAAAAAGAAGATTTATTCGCGCCAAACTAAACGAATGTTTTGACTGTTGATTTTACTCTGATTAAAGTTAGTAATGCGCGTAATGCGTTTGGAGAAATGGAAGAAAACGAAAATAAGCGAGTAAAAACAGACCGTGAAGTAGACATTTCTCACGACGAACAGTTTATTACAAAACCATTCAAAAAAACAGAAAGATGTTCGTTGTGCAAACAATTCCTGGACTCGGTTTCATTCTACGGGGGTCACCCGAATTACTCCAACGAAGAATACGTCGTGCTCACCGACGAAAAACTCAACATTTACACCGGCACAGAGACCAATATCAACGACGATGACGTCCCCACTCAGAAGGTTCGTAACCCTTTATTAACACCACGAATTAAACTTTAATTCGACTAAATTCCAGATCACCTACTTCTCAGTGTATGACAAAAACGGCCACTTGTGCCCCTTCGACACAGGCCTTATTGAAGGCAACATACACCTCTACTTCTCCGGCTACGTTAAACCTGTCTTCGACGACGATTCCAATCCGGATAATGGCGTCCCGGCGAAGGATTTGGGGCCCATTGATGAGTGGTTTCTATCAGGTTACGATGGGGGCGAAAAAATCCTCATTGGCTTCACCACGGCCTTCGCCCATTACTACCTAATGGACCCTTCGATGGAGTATCAGCCGATATACGAGCAGATGAAAGACAAAACTCGGCTCGTAAAGCTAGTCGTGGAGTACTTGTTAGATCACGCTTATGATAATCCTGTTTTAGAGGATTTAATCGAGCATTTGGAGGCCTGCGGGGAGGTTAAAGACGTTGCAGATAAGCTGGTACAACATGCTCAATTCATCTGCGATCAGGTTCTGTACGATTATCGAGTGTTAATCAATTACTAATCGATTGTTGTTTGTAGGTTGCTAGTATTGATTGTGTGGAAGAAGAGGAGCAACCACTGTATACCCTGCCTTGTATTAGGACTCTCATAGAAATGGCCAGAGTTTCGTTCAAAAAACACAAAAAAATCAAACCGTTTAAGGTAAACGAACCACATATGAATCTTCTTTATGTAATTGACTGTTGCGCAGGTATCGAGGAAGAAAAAGAGTAATATTATGACCAAAGCTGTAACGACTAAGCTAGTTAAAGACGTGTTCGAGTGCTTCTTTCCCGAGCAAATCGAATCGAAGGATCTGGCAGTGAAGAAAATGAGGTGCGGAGTGTGCGAGGCCTGTCAGTCGCCCGACTGTGGAAAGTGCTCCAATTGTCTGAATATGCGGAAGTTCGGGGGCTTGGGAAAATCCAAGCAAGCATGTAAATTAAGAAGGTACATCTTCAATAATCCACAATATCAGAATAATAATTGATTCAATCGAACAGATGCATGTACATGGCAATTAAAGAAGCTGAGTTATCTGATAACGAAGAAGAATCAGACTTGAAATCGAAGAAGAAAAAAGAAACTGCGTACGTATCGAAAAAAACTATTAACAAGGTTAAATGGCTCGAAGAATCGAGCACGAAGTACAAAACCTATCAATGCTATTCATCAGCCCAAATAGGTAAGCATTCGATGAAATCGCAGCAATCTAGTAAACTTAATTTAATTGAATATTCCAGGAAATTTCATAGTCAAAACTGGCGAATATGTGATGCTTAAACCGGAAAGCGATGAACATCCATTGTACATCGCTAAAATTATATACATGTACGATAAATTCCCGCAGAAATACGTTTTTCACGCTCACTTGTTCTGCAGAGGAATCGACTCGATTTTGGGCGAAACAGCCAATCCTAGGGAATTGTTTGTGGTGGACGATTGCGAGGAATTGCTCTTAGGGAGTATCGTACGAAAAGCTAAGGTATCTACGCTCTTTAATTTGAAGTAAAAAGATTAATTTAATGTAAAAATCTTAGGTGGAATATCGTAAAATACCGCCAAATTGGTTCGAATTAGGAGGCGAATTAAACCTAGGAGAAGAAGAAGAGGATGACGGGGAAACTTTCTTTTTCACTAAAAGACTCGAATCGAATAGATTTGTTGATTTGGATTTCAATCCTGAAGAAATTGACGATTTGACTTGTTATTCGTGCAGGTACTTCTATTGCATTATATGCTGTAATTACGGTATTAAATGGTGATTATTTTTAGGAGAAAAGAGCTCAACATAAAGTCTAATACCCCTGTTTTAAAACATGATTGTGTATATTGGAGAAATGAAGAGTATAAAGTGGGTAGTGGAGTATTTTTGGAACCGAGCGTATATAAATTCGAAGTTGAAACTTTAATACAAGAAAACGATGTAAGTGTAATTGATATAAACGAAGAAATAGTTATAATAAATTCCGTTTATTTCAGAAAGAAAATAGAGTAAATGAAGCCATATATCCTGAGTATTACAGAAAAAGATCTGATAACGTAAAAGGCTCCAATAATGACACTCCGAATCCATTCGTGATCGGTTTAATAGAATCTATCGATGGACAATCTAAAGATGTTCGTATTAAAGTCAAGGTGTTCTTCAGGCCCGAACACACTTTCAGATCACTATCTTCGACTATCAGCAAGGACTTGTGTCATTTGTACTACAGCGAAGAAGGTACGAAGAAGCGAGGAAATTCGAGTGGAAATTGACGATTTTTATGTTTTAGTTATCACAGTTTCGTTCGAGAGTGTAATGGGAAAATGTTATTTATCGTACGGTTACCAGCACGAAGATTCGAGCGAATGGGCTGAAAGAGGCCCATTTAGGTTCTATTTTACCGAAGCCTATGATCCGAAAACTCGGGAATTCGGGAATGTTCCTACTTGTGTCAAGGCGATTGGGACGCAAGGGATAGGGAAAGGAAAAGGTATTCCGTGCTTTTAAGTATATTTTACATAGGATGCGTACTGTTTAGTATTAATATTAATACAACTCGCATTTCTTCAGGCAGCGGCAAAGGCAAAAAATCCACCAAAGCGGAATCCTTCCACGAATGGGCTCCGGATTGGCAAACCCCACCGAAACCCCTCCGATGCATGGACGTCTTCGCAGGTTGTGGAGGCCTCTCCGAAGGATTGAAACAGAGCGGAATAGTCGAGTCCAAATGGGCCGTAAGTAATAAATCGTTAAAATTCGAGTTTTCGAATTGTTAGGCATTAAATATGTTAATTTATGTTTTAAGATCGAAGTGGAACCAGCAGCGGCCAATGCCTTCAAGCTCAACAACCCCTATTGCAAGGTCTTCACCGAGGACTGCAACCAGCTACTGAAATCGATTATTAACGACGAAGGGCCGGACATAGGCCTGCCGAGTAAAGGTGACGTGGAAATGCTGGTGGGAGGGCCGCCTTGCCAGGGATTTTCTGGAATGAACCGATTCAATTCGAGGAATTACTCTTCTTTCAAGAATTCTCTGGTCGTTTCTTATTTGAGCTACTGTGAATACTACAGGTATACATTACAGTAGAAACCTTTTCATTGTAATTCTAGAACAGTTCTCAACTGTCCAAGATTGTGATTAGGATTTCTTCGGAACAGTTCAAAGTGCTAATATATGCGTCTATTTCAGGCCTAAGTACTTTATTTTGGAGAACGTGAGAAATTTCGTGACCTTCAAGAAGAGCATGGTGTTGAAGCTGACTTTGAGGTGCCTGCTCGCGATGGGTTATCAAGTCACTTTCGGAGTGCTGCAGGCCGGGCAGTACGGGATTCCCCAGACTCGCAGGAGGCTGATCATAATGGCCGCCGCTCCGGGTTACGTTTTGCCGAAGTTTCCGGAGCCCCAGCATGTTTTTAGCAGGAAGGGAACCCACTTGGCATTTGTCGTAGATGGGTTCAACTACTCTAATGGTACGTTCTAATATACCTTCTAAAATATCGATACTTCTTTATAATATCGTTTAATTTTTTTTAATACAGAATGCCTTTGGACCGAATCAGCCCCTTACAGGACTATCACCGTCAGGGACGCCCTATGCGACCTGCCGCCCATCCCGAATGGCTCCCAAATACAGGAAGTTCCTTACGACACCGACCCTTTGACCCATTTCCAACGGAAAATTCGCGGGAACTCCTCGAACACGTCCGCATTTCTACGCGATCACATATGCAAGGAAATGTCCCAACTGGTAGCCGCCAGGATATCCCAAATCCCCACCTATCCGGGCGCCGATTGGCGGGATTTGCCCAACATCAAGCTCAGATTACCCGATGGGAATGTGACGCAAGAATTGAAATACACTCATTGGTAATACATCTCCAAAAAGGGATGAAATAAGGTATTAAACGGGCTTGTTTTAGGACCAAAAAGCAAAGTAGTGGGGAAAAGGCCAAAGGCGTCTGTTCCTGCGTTGAAACAGGAGTTTGTGACCCTGCTGATAAGCAATGTAATACCCTGATACCTTGGTGTTTGCCACATACTGGTGATAGGCATAACCATTGGGCCGGTTTGTACGGTAGATTGGAATGGGATGGTTATTTCGGTACGACTATTACCAACCCGGAACCGATGGGGAAACAAGGAAGAGGTAATAATTTCGTCCTGTACTGTTTTGAGTTATTTTCGAACTGTTTTTAACCGTTGTAAATTGTTCTGAACCGTTATAGTTTCTTCATAAAGAGTTCTGAATTGCTCAGATTGCGTTGTAAACTACTCTGAACCGTTTAGAGCATAGTTTCCGAACTATCCTAAAGTTCTTCATTGAAGTCTAAACCAATTTTCTTCTGTTTGCAGTTCTCCATCCGGAGCAGCACCGAGTAGTAGGCGTGAGAGAATGCGCCAGGTCGCAGGGATTCCCGGACAAATTCAAATTCTGCGGTAGTATTATGGACAAATATAGACAAGTCGGGAACGCCGTGCCGCCGCCCTTGGGCTGCGCTTTAGGAAGGGAATTCGTCAAGGCTCTGACAAAAAAATCCGAGTAAAAATTAAACTGTTCAAAATAGAGAGCGGGTGAAAGTGGGAGTGCTCGGAGTAGTACAAAGTTCAGGGTAGTTCGAAACAGTTCTAATCAATGTCTGAATAACTTTATTTAAATAGTAATTTTGAAGCTTTAAAACAGTTCAAGTCCACCCTTTTTTATTACTTGACTTTTACCTATAAACTTTTGGACTACATTTGTTTTAGCAAATTACTTTTACGTAAATTATATTAACTTTATATTTTGTACTAATTTTTAAATATACGTTGTTTTATGGGAGAATCGGATTTTTTTATTCATTTTAAGCGTTCAAATACATAGTTTTTCTCCAAATATTTTGCAGATCATCAATTTCCAAAACTCATTCGATTTTCATATCCAATGATAATTTCGAACTAAATGTCTTAAAAAATCGTATTATTGTGATAAACTACAAAAACAAATAGTATTTAATGCATTAATATCGTATTTAATAATAAATTATATCTTAATTTCGTCAGTAGCTTTCATCGATATTCTAAAATACTCGGATTCATTTTGACCCGCGTTATGTAATCCTCGGCCATGCAACAAGCCTGCTCGATTTCGTAATTACGAGAAACCAACGCCACCCATTTGGTTTCTAAGCTCCTCAATTGCTCGCCCCCTTTGGTCTGCAGCGACTTCCTTCGCCAGTTCACCTCCTGCAATTCCCGCCTCAGCTCGGCCAGCTTTTTCGAGGCAATTTTCTCCAAATCCCCCAACGTGCGCAAGTACCGTTGCCAAGCGGGACAGCAGTACTCCAACATGAGTTGCAAATTTAGAATCCTTACCGCCTGGTGCTCGAGCTGCGCCTGCGAATTCTCCACGCACTCGGTCCACGCGCCGAGCTCGTTCAGCTTGCCGCCGGGCGGCGGCGGCAGCTCGTACCGCTTCATGGACAGCGTCTCCATGGGCAGGCGGTGCTGCAGTCGCTCGAACTCCTCGTGCATGGCGGGCGTCTCGAACGCGGAGACGTTCAGAGGCGGCAGGTGCTCCAGGTAGTTCTTCGTCGGTCTGTACCTTCTGCACTCTTCTTCCACCATAGCCAACGCCTGGAAGGTTCAGAATAAAACACATGGAAGAAATTGCTGGGGTAGATTTTTACTCACCGCTTCCCGGACTCCCGGTTCGTCGTAACCTTGGTCGATGTACGGCAGAGCATCTACTGTCACTTCTCCGGCCATTTTGCTGTCGATTCGGATGATTTCAGTAATTTAAATGATTGTATTCTCTTTTTCAACCACTATTTTAAACTAAACATGTTTGAAAGCGTTCAACATAAACATTAGGAAAACATAACCTATAAATTGACTTAAATATGTCATCTTCTTCTTCTTTTTGGATTTCTTGATCTTTTGCGAAATGCCGCATAAGACCACTTCGCTTATTACATAAAATTAAAATTATATACATATATCAACGAACCATCGAAATATGGTTGCTCATGTTGAATTATTCGTTCTAGTTGTTGTATATTCACTTTTATATGGTAGAATAAAAGAATAAATATATGCTTTCTCAAAATGCTTGCAAATCTTCTAGGTTCTTTAAAACTGGGTCTTTTTCATCGAAAACATACAGTGCAATATCTAAATAGCCGAATATCTCTATTATTTCGGCAGCCGAAATTTCGAGATCTTCACGTGTCAAACGTCACTCAGTTGCCAGAAATCAAATATCGCCAATGAAAAGCTGCTATTTTGACAGTAAATTTTAATTTACTGTGGGTGGAATGGGATCACGAATCGTTAGTTTTGGTTTATCTCAAATGTGTGTCTGCGTCGAGTTTATTGATTTTCAAAAAGGATGGCGGCTTTACATATGTTCCGAATGAGATTGTGTTTTACCTTCTTATTCGTATTTGATTTGACATGCTGCGAAGTCAAAAAGTACCCATTATTAATGCCCGATGTTTACCCAAACAGAGTAAGTGAAACACTTCACCGTTATAAGTAATTTCCCAATGTAATCAAAGTTTGTAATTTCGGCGTTTACTTGTTTAAAAGTACGTAGAGTAAAATAAAAGTCTAAATACGAAACACCTTTATAATATCCTTATAAAAATAGTGTGGATGCGTAAATAGCTGGTGTCATTTCCATTTGCTTGTGACGATATATTTTTAACTTGATATAAAAGATGGTTAGGTAAGGTATAAGTGTTCCTGAATTAAATTCCATTATATAAAAGGTACAATCAATTAATTCACTCCTACGCTATTTGTCGATCAAAATGGAAATATCCTTTTCGTACGTAAACGATTAAAAATATATTTAGATCCACCGTTTAATAATAATCTTATCAATATCGTTAAATGCTCGCAAAAATATCTACCTTACGTATATTTCAACCTTTATTATTTTCTATATATTAGAAAATATGTTAATATATAGAAAATATATGTAAATATAGAAAATATGTAAATTAAATTTATACAAATAAGTGCAAATATGCAATGTGATCTATGCAACATATGTGACATTGCAACTTTCTCAATCTATCCAATGTTACTCTAATAATCGTTCATTGTTCAACTCATAGAGTTGACCATATTGCAAACAAACGTGCACCTATCTATATATTTATTTATTATTTAATTTAAATAATAAATAATAATAATTTAAATATTATTTAAAGGACGAACTTTACCTGTGCACACCGGTGAGAATCGTCAACGAGAAGAGTTTCTACATAGGTGAGACGCAAAACACTTTCATTGTTGGTCGTAAAGTCACTAAATTCGAATTAATTCCAGTCGGTTTTGAGCCCAATGCAACCATGAATGTAGCCCATCACATGTTGCTGTTCGGCTGCAACGTACCAGGCGCCACAGACGATATATGGGATTGCGGCGAGATGGCTGTGTCCGATTCCGGTGGCAATTTGAAGAAGGCCAGTCCCTGCAAAGATGTGAATCACGTAAGCCAGTTGAATTTGGTCCCTTCATCTTCTATTGCGATGTCTTCATTTCAGGTGATATACGCTTGGGCGAGGGACGCCAAGACTCTCGAGTTGCCTGAAGACGTTGGATTTCAAGTCGGACAAGGAACTGATATACATTATTTGGTTCTTCAAATTCACTATTCTAAAAAATTTGAAGGTATTATGATTTCTTAAGTGTTTGTTCCATACAAGAATGCACGGTAGAAAACATGCTATTATCTACTCACGTACAGCTCGAATGGAATTATCGACGGGAAGAATCGGAGAGAGAGTTTCGAGAGAAATGTCGTAAAAATGTGTTTTATTTTTAATTTTCCAATCAGAGGATCAGTCAATCAATGACGATTCCAGTTTCATAATTATAGGAATGTGCGATGAAGCGGACGCACAAACAGACGCAAGAACAAGACTTATTCTTGGATACAAAACGGAGTATTGATTACCTTTTAATTACTATTTATTTTTAGTCGGGCGCACGGATAATTCAGGATTATTTTTAATGTACACTGAAGAACCGTAAGTACCAGAATGTGATATGATCCGTTGGTGTTGTGGCTCTATATCGGCTTCTCTTCTTGCACCCTCCAATGGCACGCATACTCTAACATTTCGCAGCAACCTTTCATAACGTGAGCACTTTAATACTTTTTTTATTTTATTTCTAGTATTTTTTTTTTGGAGTTTTTTTAGCATCGGAATACTTTCCAATGAGACTATTCTGGAAGTTGTGTTTAGTACGCTTGCTTGTTAGTTAGAAGTCGAGTTTAGATAGTTATTCAGATGCTGGGATAGTACAAATTCTTTCTAAATATCAAGTTATTTTATTTTTTATAAATTATACATATGTTACTTGACGCGTATAAAAAACAGAGTAGTATACTATGTAATTATTATTTTAATGGGGTGTAGGTATTAAAAAACAAAGAATAATGAGTTAACAAAACGCTTTCTGATGTATTAAATATAAATATTTACACTGGGGGTGTTGAACGCTTTAGGTATTTTCTTAATTAATCGCAATCGGAGAGGAATAAACAGTCTTTACAAACGGTTGTTTTTGTGTGATTTACAGTCAAAATAAGCTAGCTGGTGTCTTGCTTTTGGGCGTCGGAGGATTAATTCCTCCCAAGAGCACGACCTATATGGAAACAGCGTGTCAGATCCTCGAAGAAAAGGTCATTCATCCATTCGCATATCGAACTCATACACATTCTTTAGGTAATAAAATTATATTTATTAATCCCTTGAAATAATATTAAAATGGTATGTTGTTTACAGGAAGGGTGGTTTCTGGATACAGCATTAGAAGAGACTCGAACGGTTTGGACCATTGGAGTTTAATAGGCAAAAGAGATCCTCTAACACCCCAGATGTTTTACCCAGTATTCGACAAGACTCCCATCACATACGGAGACCGGGTGGTAAGTTATTTTTCCGCTAATAAATAAATCGCATTCATAATTCGTTAATGTCTCAGGCTGCAAGGTGTACAATGGATAGTTCATCGAGAGACAGAATCACGAAAGTGGGGTAAGCTTTACGTTGTCATTTTATTGCCCATTCATTGTGTGATGATTCGTATTCAGCGCGACGAAAAACGATGAAATGTGTAACCTTTACATCATGTATTACGTGGAAAACGGTACGCCTTTGCAAATGAAATATTGCACGACTGAAGGTCCGCCCTATTATCATTGGAGCAATTCCTATAATGATTTGAATAATATACCTGACGTCGAAGCGTCAACGCTGGATTAAACTTAGATGAAACGACCAAGACTTCCCGCCTGCATATGTTTATGAGACGTACTTAATCTATTGTTGTTTATTAATATTTTTATAACCAGTTTTTTTTCACCACACATACACATACACTCTATTAAAATGCAACTAATATATTACATAATCGTATTCTATTCGGAATTAACATAAACGTCAATTCTAAACGTCTATTAGAGTTTTAATAACTTTTAAGAATGTAAGGTGAATATTCCGACAATAGCAAAAAGTACATTCACTTTATATTCATAGGTAAATCTTATAAATGTGACTTTTATTTTGTGCGGTGTTTGTGTTTGTGTGTGTGTATGCGTATTGATCAATCCATATTCTCTATATCTTTATAGGCTGTAGTTTATCAAGCGAATATGCCAGATTAGCGCACTTACTGATTTGCACGTAGTGTGTTAATTTTTAATCAGAACAATTCAATCAAATTGATTGCGAGCGATATTTTGTAATTGTCAATTAGCAAATTTTCTTTGCGTATCTCTCTGTTCGCGCTATTAGAACTTTTCGCGTTAAATTTGTCTGTTCGAATTGCACAAAATGGTGTCGATTCTGTTACCGTGAATACCCGATACTTGAACCAGAATTAACTGAACAGCTGATGCTAATTTTTAGCAAGAAATTCGGGTTTTACGGTAACAATGCTACCTCGCAACGATTACAATATTGTAAAGTAAATTTTACTATTCACTGTTCGCCGACTTGTGTAAGTGATGTCAATTATTTTGTTCAATTTCTCGTTGTATTTTCCCGGTGAAAATCGTTTGAGTGTAAATATTAAACGTATACAAGTTTATTTTCATCACAGTAAATGAGATTAAAAAGCGGTACATTGTGTAAATTTCTTACATAAGTACGTAGGTGTTATGTGTATTCACAAAATAAGAATTCTGTTTGATGGTTTATTAGAGATGTTTATTAATTAATGTAGTAATTTAATTGTTAGGGAACATTTGTTTTTAATTGTTTTTAATTCATATGCAAAAGCAGCTTTCTATTATCATTCAGGGAATTTAAAAATCATATCAGGAGCAAACTGTCTTGCGTTAACTTTCTATGCTGTGAAATGTTTTAGTCAATTTGTACTAATTTATATTTATAGAAGAGAGAATATAGATGAAATGATATGAAACAGTATTAAATATTATATTTTTGTTTAAAAGGAGCACTTAAATGATTGTATTGCACTATTTATGACAACCAAAGTGTATTTTAGATTTATAAACTATTTATAGTTTTTGTATCACTGAAATATTGGGAATACCCTGTATATCAACAATCACTAACGTACAGGATCAGTCAACAAAACGTTGATTTCTTTTTGTTATAAATCAATTATTTAAATTAGAAATTTTATTGTTCCTAAATTTTGGAAAAAGATTATAAGAATTTTTAATAATTTTGGAAAATGCCAATTCGTTGACTCACCCTGTATGCGCGTCATTAGTGAATGCGTCGCGTTTCCATGGCGATTCGTAGCCAAACAAAGAACCATCAACTTTGTAGGGTAATATGAATTTTAATGTGATTAATATTCGTTCATTTTACTTTGCCTTTTTATTCCACTTTTTGATCACAATACAAATTATTTTTAACATGTTTGTTGCAGGAAAACTATAAATAGCAAAGTAATTAAATCCTACAAGTTGTATTTACAACATCGCGACGGCTTATTAATTTATTTTCGCAATTACTTCAGTGATACATTCTAATCAAAAACAAAAACGTATATTAGAATTAGAAAAATTTATTGTACATAAGATTATATTATATTTTTAATTGGAATAATATTATTTTACGCCATTGTCGAGTGTTTTTTTACGAGAATCCACTTCCTAGACGATTATCTTTCAAGTTTAACGAAGCATTTATAACAATCTAATATACAATTTCATTACCGCACTAACTTCTATTGCATAAAGAATACAACGCGCTATAAATTCGAGTAATAAGAGCTAGTACAGACGCAATGCGCATTCAAATTATTTGTTCGAAGTTACCAGCTCATTTTCGCGGACAACGCTTCATATTTAGTTACATGCATATACAGGGTGGCCAAAAAATATAACATATTGATAATAATTCCTTACACCAACTTTATTTGCCTTAACAGCGCCTCTGTTTAGCGTTAGAGTAACTCTAAAGTCGCGTGTTTAACTTGACAGATTTACATTGTTGTTATGGAGTAACTAGGGACTCGAGACGCGACTTTAGAGTCACTCTAAAGTTAAACAGAGCCGCTGAATACGGGCCAATGGGTTTAAAGAAATATCCAGAATTATCCTTTATAATAGTGACTACACAACTAAACTTATTTAGTTTTTTTTTTCCTTTAAAATAATAAAGGAGTTATTTCATAATACTTTTGAGGTATTATTTGGTCTCCCTGTATGTATATACGTACCTTAACGACGCCGCCGGGAGTCCCGGCGCTCATGCGCCCGTTGGGGCAACGTGCTTTCCGATTTCCAACGGCAACGGAGTTCCCCCGAAGGCTCAAAGCGGCCCGAGTGCCGTCATGACGCTGTCGACGGCGGTCCTCTGAGAGACCATGAACCAATTCGCGGAGCTGAAGTCGCCCAATTCGGAAATAGTCCGGGCGAACTACAACAAGCTCTCCGAGCACATCAGGCGGCTGACGCCGCAGGGCATACAATGCAGCGTCTTCTGCGGCGGGGCCCACTGCAAGTACGAGAACCCGGACAGCTGGAAGCCGGACAGTCTGGCTATCCAAGGGATTTACTCGCACTGGTGAGCCCTTTTTTATTCGCATTCAAACGATTGGCGTATGTCGAGGAACTGCTCTTAATGTGAGCTTTATTGCCGATGTTAACATCGAAAATAATTTAAAGGTTTTACGCCTATTCGCCTATATATTCATTCGATGTGGTTGAACGAAGGCAAATTTTCTTCGGCACGCAACATTTTCAACAGGTGAATGGTTTTCGGGTAGCTTCGCTACTTCAATATTAATTTTTCTATTTAGGCGAGCCTAGTAAAAACATCAAAATCTTTTGGCGGCTTATTGTAGTTACTAATTGTTATTGCTGTAGCAAATAGTAATGAGTATTTTAATATTTATGTTTATTACAGCCTAATTTGTCTAAAAATAACATTCTATATTGAATGTCCGAGTATACAAAAATATACCGTTCGATTAATATTCGAGTTTATTATACGATTTCCCATTTTCTTCGTGATGCAAATTTCCTGGTTTTTTCTCTATTTTTAGAATCGAGGGGAAAAATTTACCACATTTTTTTTCTTACTTCACGCCACGTGTATAAATTAATATTCAATTATACATATTAAATAATTTATACTTACGAAGTAGTTGCTCAAATGATAGAAATTAACTTGTTGGAAACAGCGTAGAAAATACCAACAGTAATCGAAGATTGATTACATAGGAATTGATTATTAAATTCTACGTTATTTACGAACAATTAACTCAGCATTTTTGTGAAAATTGTTCCTCTTTCGATAGGATTACGGACGACATTCTGGCGATGGCCCGGCCCAGCACCATCGTGATTATCCAGAAGAACATCATTCAACAATTCCAAAGGTATTTATCGATTTCCGCCGCTATCGGTTCTTAATTAGATTGATAGTTTAGGAATCAAATCTATTATAAATTTGCAATCTCCACGGGAACACGCCAGCTGCGGCCGCCCTCTGGAAAGTTCCGGCTTCTCCTACGATCCCAATATCTTCATGGAACAAAGCAGTAAGTAAAAATATCGATTCGACACGAAATAAAAAATTAAAAAAAAAATTACCGCATACCAGCGAAATCGAAGTTAATTGTGGTTTATTATACAACCACAACGTCAATTTGACAAGAGGCGGCGTTCGATGTAGAGGTGGGAATGAATGATTAACCGTTGCGTATACAGTTACAGCACGAAAGAAAAATGCATTTAATGGACTTTGTGCCGCGTGTGTAGTGTGACTTATTGCAATTAACACGACACCCCGCGTAATTTGGCTGTTATTTCGCCGAATGCAATCCACTTACAGACTCTCCAGATAGCCGGTCGTGATAATAACGCAACTCCCCTTTGTAATGCTAATAATTTTCGAAAAAAAATGGCATAGCATGCACGCCCGTTCAAATTATTCCGTGGCATGAAATAAGATTTACCAACGTAAAACGCGCTTTATCTAATCGGTGATCGCGCTTTTTACAAAAATTAATACAGCCCATTAAATTACTAATGCGAAGCGTTCGAGTCCGACCTGGTTAAATTGTTTTATTCAAACCTTAGGGGAATTGCCTTTTCTTATTCTACTCGTAATTTCTCAATTTAATACATAGAACCTAGACCAGCATAACCTTCGTTGGTCAATAATCGGCCTGTCGGGTGCTTTATTATGTAATAATAAAATGGACTAACACAATTGCATGTCTCCTAATGATCCATCATTACAAAAAAAAAACATGTTTTCCTGAAAGCGACTTGACGTGACGAGCTAGTGAATTCACCGATGGGACAATTATACATACATTCTTGAGCATGTAGGAGATCGATTCTTTTATTCTTTATCCTTACACCCTGCATACGATTAACAATTTTCGCAATATTAATAACTTATACCGTAATCAATAGTCCATAAATAATCGAAGGTATTAATTTATTATTAACGACCTGACTGGCCTGATAAATTCTACCTAATAAAGTGCTAATTCATTAAGCATCGTTCGTAACACTTTATTTTTATCCATTTATATTTTTACACGCGAAACGCGAGGAAAAGCGTCTTGAAAAGAAGCGATTTATTCGTGGGAAGTATTTCTATGTTTGGATTTCATTTCGCTCTTTAGCTAAATCGAGGAAAATATAAAAAGCTAACAGAACGAATATAAATTATGGAGTGTTTTAATATTGATTTTTGTTAAACACATAAAGTTTAATACATACATATATTTAACCAATCGAAATGATACATTGGAAGTGTTGGGTGTATTTATGATTGATAATTTCGTTTCGATTATGCATAAAGTAAATGTTTTCATGTTTATATGCCGAACGAATGAAAATCTAATCGATCCTTACCGTGTTTATGTTATACCAAATTGTGTGTCAAAGTAGAATAATAGCTCTCCTTTATTATTAAGAATAGGGACAAAAAGTTTTGTGTAAAAGTTCAAGCTATTATCATGAAGGATATTTCAAATATATATGTTTTTGTTAAACAGGTTGACTTGTTACGGCATAATAAAATTTTTATTTTTTAAAATAGGTTACCCAATTTGCTACGTTTATGCAAAACTTTTTCCATTCCAAAAAATTATGGAACTATTTTGCAATGATTTGAATATTCTATTCAATAAAATCGGGTGGTGGGGTTTTGAGTAAAAATGCAATTTGTTTTTTTAGTATATTATTACAATTTTGCCTGGAAAGATTACGGAGATGCCACCTTATCCAGTCTTTTGAACATGGTGAAAGTCCTGGCGTTTGCCCTCACAGAAGGCAGAGTGGCCATTCATTGTCATGCAGGTATATTATAATCAATTACTACATAAAAAGGAGTTTAAAAAAATAAATGCACCGCATTATCAATCATAGTTGTACACAATTTTAAATTGTATTCAGTATGTTCCTGAGCTTGGAAATCTTACTTAAACTGGTGCAAACAATTTATATTATACTGGTACTTACCCTCATGCTGCTGTTAAAAACAGTTACTTTTAATTGCAGCTTTCAATCGGCGTGATAAATTAAAATGAAATCATTTCAGGTCTGGGAAGAACAGGCGTACTAATCGCTTGTTATCTAGTTTATTCGCTAAGGGTAACCGCCAACGATGCAATTAGATATGTAAGATTCAAAAGGCCGGGTTCCGTGCAAACGAGAGGTCAAATATTGTGCGTGAGACATTTCGCTCAATTCATTCTTCCTCAAACTGTAACTTATTTTATAAAGTGAGTGGGAATTTGAGTCACTCGAATCTCTTGAGAATATTTAACGTTTAATAATTCCTTAGGGATCTCGTAGGCAAGGACAAATACATGAACGAATTTACGCTGCGCAGGTTTCTAAAAAGGCAAAGGATAGTACTTCACGGGTACGACGAGAGGAATTTCAAATTCATTCCGAAGGTAACGTAAACTCGGCCATTGTTCGAGTGTTTGATCGATTCGTTTTCTCAGATCGTCCATTGCATTTGCGAAAGGATTTTAAAATTGTGTTCCTGTTGGGTAAGCGAGTTCTCGCCCTCCAGCATTCCCTTTACAGCCGACTTTTTAACGGCCAAAATCCACGGCAATTTGAACCGTCATTCCAGTACTTACAGCATCAATAGTTTATCCAGCACGAATTCCGATCGTAAGTATTTAAACTACGTGTACAAAATAATCAATGGATTACTCCTTATTCTCCAGCCATATTCCTCAACGCCGAGTTGGTCCAATCCCCGGGCGATGTGTCGTCCCCTTCCAGTCCTAACCCCTCCGAAATGGGCGACGTGATGGATTCGTTCTCCGAATTGAGCACCATCGACGGCGAAGAAATGAACGAGGAACTCCTGCTGGAGAACCGCTGCTTCCAGGAGCTCGAGTCCCAGAAGTCCTTCACCCGGGAACGGGCCGAGGCGGCCGAGGCGCCCGTCCAGGACGCCAGCGTGGCAGTCGACGCGCTAATAAGCGACGTGGAATCGTTGAATTTTGCCACCAGGAAGAAAATAAAGGATTACCAGCACCACATCAATTCGTCCCAATTGGGGTGGGCCAGGTTGAGCGTCGAGACGGATTTGTACGTGCTGGCTGCGTTGCTTTTCGAATGGATCGAGGGCTTGAAGGACCCCATTATTAAAATGGAGAACTTCGAAACAATCGTGGTGAATTATAAGGAGCCCGAATTGTGCATACAAAAGTTTCCTATAGTAAGTCATTTTGAAATGGAAGTTCTAGCCGTGGAGTGGAAATTACTTATCAATTTCAATCCATTTAGGAAGTTTGCTACTTGATCGAGTATTTGCTGAAATTCTTCATAAAAATTCAGCTCGTTTGCAAGGAAAATCAAGAGGATATGCTGAAGAGAATAATTGCTGCTCTGTCAAAGCACAGCGTATTGATCAACAACAATGTCGTACCGTCAGGTGGGTTATTAATTCGAAAAAAAACACATCTTTTTTATATTTTCCATTACCTAATTTCCATATCTAATAGAGAGAAAAATTTATTTCAGCTAAAGGGTTTAAGAAAATCGGCGACGGGACGCTAACGTGCACGTACCACTTGTTCCAATCGTTGGCCGAATTAATTGAAAATCACTCGAACGAAAAGCAAGAAATGATATATAATCACAACGAAGATAAGGTATGCGAAAATTCCGATATCGAAGAAGACTTCCATAGATAGCTGATTATTTGAAAGCTTTTTGTTTCCTGAATCAACTTTACATAGTTGCTTGTAGCTTACGTACTCGCATCTACGTCTTATATATTTTGTACAAATTGTAGTTTGAAATTGTGAAAAATAAAAGCGAATTTGAGTGGTATTTTATTATTCTAAATGATTTTATTTTCATTCATTTATTTGCATTTTGATATTAAATGCAATTCCTTATACTTTTCCTGTCTCGATCTTTCTAATAATGTGGAGCTGTACACTCAACATAGATAGAGTTCGTGAGAAAAAAAGTAGAACTGTTTTGAGTATTTTGACATTGACAGTTATGACTGATGGCATGTTTATAAAATGTAGTAACGAATTTCGTGTTTACAAATAAATTAATTTAAACAAATATAAATGTGCTCAAAGAGTTCGGAAGACTTTTGGAATACTAGTTCATCGTCTGCTTTTAATTTTGACGATGACGAAGATGTATGTAATTGCATTACCCTTTTGTTATCAATAAATTATGTTTGTAATTATTATTCTAGGATATATCGCAACAAGACTACGTCTTTTCCTCAATCCCAGAAGAAAATTGTGTGCTCTCTATTCATTCCATTATATCTAAAACTTGTTTGGATTTCCGTATGTAGTTTATTTTAAATTGTACGATTCTTTTCGAATACTTTTAGAACCTTAAAAATCCAGTAGGTTTTAATAGTCGTAGTATTTTTATAATGCTCGAATTGGGGATACATTCAAAGAATTGAAAATACGTTATTTACCAGTTTTAGATGACTTGAAGTCAACATACGAATATGTTGTGCCCCCTGTTGAGGAGGCTGTACGAAAAATGCTTACAGGTCAAAAATACCCTCTGGAAGTCTATAAGAACTTTTCGGATAAGTTAAAGCTGTTAGATTGTGCTTTAGAATCGATGGACGGAAACATAATAATTAACGTAATAACACATTTAATGCGACAAATTAGTTTCTACCTAATTATTTTCCAAAATCCAGGTTATACTCTTTCTAAAAGCGACTTTAAAGTCGAACATATTTTACCATCAGTTGGCTGAAAGGAAATCAGCAATCAAACATTATGCCAATCACTTAATTGTTAATAATCATTATTCCGAATTACCGGATTTATATATGTAAGTATTTTATGTACAGTAGACATATTAATATTTATCATATTTCATTTTTAGGTTTACAGGTCTTACTTTTAACATGGTAAATATATTTGTAATAAGCATGTATGAGTTAACGATATGTAAATATTGCAGAAGCAACTCTATTATTTAATCGGTCGTGATGTTAAAAATAAGGAGAGTCTATTGAAAAAATTGGACACGTTTACAGTAGAACATTTGCAAAAAATTAGCAGCAATGACAAGCAAGAAATTTCTGATAATTTGCTATTTTTACGTAAGCCATTTTTCCCATTAAACTACATGAATACGTGCTATTTTTTTGTAGAATGGCAAGCCGAACGGAAAGAAAATTGCAATTCCGTAATAGAACAATTAGCAGCCCTTTGTAAAAGCGAATGGGAAAGGGATAAGTCCTCAAACGAGGCCGTTTTCGCGTTCAAAAAGAAATTGAGAATCGACGATTTTGCTTTCGAATGGACCATAATGAACGTTTTAGCTTCTTTAAAATTGTGGACGCAATTGAATGAACAGTTTATGAAATCCGTACGTTAATAATTGTTAATCGGTTCACCTGATTAATCAGTATTCGTTCCAGACGTGGTTAACGAAGAAGAAAACTGTTATTCCAGCCGAGGTGTTCATTTATGGATTGAGCAGGCACGATCCACCAAAGGAAATCCTTGAATTGTACTTACCTTGGATATCCGATAACGAGCGCAGTCTGTCCTTGGCACAGAAGATGAATTGTCACAAGTTCGTTATTCAACATCATATTAAAGAAAGGGACAGGTTAGCTCTTATATTGTACAAATCGAAGATAACGCCTCAAAGTCAAGAGTTTTTTTTAATCGAAAGCGCCCTGCAATCTACTGTTAGTATTTCTGCATTTTTATTATTATTGAGATAATGTAGTTGTTTTTTTTAGGAGAAGAAATGGAAAAATTGAAAAACATTGCCTTACATTTTACCTCGAATATGCCTGTTATATCTACTCATTCTAACTCTAGTTAATAGAGTCTAGATAGAAACATTCTAGATAAATAAATAAACACATTTATTTCATTATTTAGTAGGAAAGAATAATACTGATAATTTTTACATGTATTGTCTGTAATAATATTACTAAGATCTATTTATACTACACTAGTAAAAAATAAATAATACAAAAAATTACACAAACTGTAGGTAAAAAGTCAATTATGTATACATATATTTTATCTATAAATTCAGGAACTAATTGTTTAAATTTTTATTTAATGCCATAGTTAATTTAATATATCTGTAAATGTACAACGTATTGATACAGCACATTTATCAAAATAATTCGTAACAACTATTTGAAAATATGTAAGAAATGCGGAGATTTTTAAATAAAATAAATAAAAAACAATTCAATTTATTCGTGTCTAATTTAATAATTCCTTACTTTCGCTATTTTTGAATAGCTGTTACAATACTAGGAGAATTTTATTATTTTTTTTATCACATGAAAACTAGTTGTCTAATATTTTCGACAAAAAATGAGCTCGATGAGATCTCCTATTTAGCAATTTTGCACTTATTTCTTGCACATCAAACTAAAAAGAGTACAAAAAATAAAAAAAGGTATTTTTTATATCGGTAACCTTCAGAAAGTTGTCGAATGTACAAGAACAGAAAATTTAAAACCCTAAAGATACTCATTATATACTAAAAATATATCCATTTTACTTTTATTATACAGGGTTGGTTTTTCAAACAGATATATCATTCATTACCCTGTTGTTCCTTTGTAGTACTTTTATATTATACAAAAAAAAAATATTTCGCACGAACACGTACCTATTCGATGCTCTGATGAGATCCTGCCTATATTTGTACTAGCCAAGTACGATTCACGTTTTGACCAAATGGACGGTACAGGAAAACTTCATTTTAACATTAAAAAAATTCGCTAATTTCATAAATAAATAAAAAAAATTCTAAGCCTTATTGCACTTAGATAAAAAAAATAAACCATTTACTAAGTATCACAAGGTTTAAGGTGTATCCCTATCGTCTGATCCGGACCTGGTGGGCCCGTGGTTCCTCTTCGGCGGCGGTTGAAGCGGAAACAACCTGTGCTCGGTGGGCCAGTAGATCTGCCTGTCGCCGCCGTCCTCCATGACATTCACAGCCGCCATCGACGGCACGTACTGCTCCGGCATCCAATCGAACGAGAACGCGCTGGTCTGCGTGCTCGGCGTCGCCGTCGGCGTCGGCGGCGCGCTGCCGATGTACGGGCTCAACTCCTGGTGGCAGAGATCGGGCACCTTCTGCAGCGTATCCGACCACGGCGGGCTCGGGTTCCACTGGTCCATCAGCTCGCTCGGATCGACCTTCAGCAGGGTTCGCGACCGTTCGGGCAGGTGCGACGCCACCAGCAGGCCGCTGGTGCCGCCGTCGTCGGCCACGTCGTGATCGGCGACCTCCAATTCCAGATTTTGCAGCTCCTTCTTGGGCTTCCGTTTGCTGTAGGAGTAGTCCACGGGCTCCGAGTCCGCCCGCCTGTTGTGGTGGTGGTGGTGCTGGTTGTGGTGCAGGTGCGTGGAGGTGCCGTGGTGCGTTAAATGGGGTTGCAGGGTGTTTGGCATGGCGGCGAGGTGGCCGTAACCGGCTGGTTCGTGGGAAGCCGTGAAATCGGGAGTTTGCGTGTGCTCGGGATAATAGAGGAGCCTAGAAGACGGCCCTACGTCGTAGGTGAGGCCGTATTGAAGTTTGTTCTGTACGGAATAGTAATGATAGAGCCAACTGTTCGTTCTCATGACTGCCGCCTCTGCTTCGCTTAGGACTTGATTCGTGCATACTATTACCGGCTGTTGATTGCTCTCCGAACTTTCTTTTACTTGCAGAACGCAGTGCATCCACAACCACTCGCCCGTTCTTCTTTGGAATTGCGCTAGTAGGATGCAGGATCGTTCTTGTTCCGATTGAGTTACTGCAAAAATACGCACGTTCCTGCATAAATCACTATTATTTTATCAATCTATGCTTCGATCGTATAAATACTAAGTAGGCAAAACGATCTTAGTTTTACAGAAGACGATGAACTGACATGTTTGATATAACCATTGATATAGATAAAAATTTCATGTAGTTTTTATTTTTAATTGCATTATATACGATTGAAGTCATCGATTTGCATTAAATTTCTAAAAGACTCGAAAAGAGCAAACAAAAAAAAACCTTAACCAGTCGATATTAAGGATGTCGATAAAATCAATTTCATAGACTTTTTCTTTTTTCCCTACCGTTTTTCCAATATATTATAATATGTATGTACAACGACGTCTACCCTGCGGTACTTACTGAGTCGATGTTTGGTTTGGGCCTCACGCGTGCATTCCCAATGCAGCAGCCGGTACCAGGACACCCCCTGCAGATCGGAGCGCGGAAAGCCCAGGTAGAATTCGCCGCTGCAACACAAGTGTAACAGTTGTCGTGATTTACGGCATTGGATGTCACCGGCTCTCCCGCGACCCCGTGACCCAACCCGCCCCGCCATCACGACCGGACTTTGATTTATGGCACGAGCGAACAAAGCTCCACCGTAGCACACACACATACAGATACACACGTACATATACAGCCGGTGCTGCTGCCTCATAGAGCACCAGGCCAGTGTCGCAACCGTTATCACTATATTCCTTCATTTTTTGGTTTCATTACAATTCCCGGATCCTCTTAGGAATTTAGTTATCTATAAGGTGATTTTTATGCGATGTTTTGAGCTTAAACAATAACAGATTTGAGATTGAAATTTTATATGCGGTTTTTTTTAATGGTTGCGACACTGGTTGTATAAAACAATAGATGAATAAGGCCATGTTGAGCCGAGATCGAACGATACGCTCGCTTATACTATATAGTAGATAAATGACTTACTTGGTATCGATATGGATAAACCTCATGTCCATGGAATGAATGGATGTAAAGACGTTGGTGGCACCCTGTACGATGCACTCCCTCGTTTCGGGCATCGCGACCGGGGTGCACGTCGCTAGGAACACCGGCTCGTTGCGACTGCATAGAGGAAGGAACGACAGGTATCTTCCCTGAACTAATACTACCTGTAACCCAAAAGTAATTGCAATGGTCGCGGTGCAATCGCAAATATCGAAGGGATGATGCGGCGCACATCCTGTACGATTCCTTTCCGCTCGTTTCCTATATCTCTCGGCCGACCGGTGGAATTTCAATGAGCGCGATTTCCATAACCTTGTCACAGCCGATTCTGCATTCCCGTTTCCCGATCTGCTGCCGTTCGGATTCCAGCAAGTAGGCGTCATAACATGCAGTACAAGAAGTGCTGGTAGCACGGCCGGGCCTTCGCGTACTTTACGCGCCGCATGTGCATATAGGTGCACAGGGACACACTCGCTGCTATTACGATTCGCGATATTTTATTACAAAAAAAACGATACTTCGAATTGATCCACTAAATACCGCCCGAAAGAACCGGTAGAGGCGTGTAAATCCTTTGGGTAAGTACCCTTAGAGCTGGCCGAGCGTACTGCTTATAGCATTTAAAGATAGCGTCGGAGACTATGGTTGGTAACTATTCAGATGCGTGGGTGGAGATAGGTACTACTGTGCCTAGTGCTGTTGTACTAGGTGGGCCAAATGGTATAAAACGATGAAGCTACACGGATCGGTGAAAGGTAGATTGGTAAATAATTACCAAGGTTCGTCGCTTATTCAAATACAGGGCAATTCGATGGTGTGTTAGAAATATATAGGATTTTCATCGAAGATCTTTCGATTGTGTTTCTGCTGTTTTTCCTAGATGGAGCTGAAAGTAAAATGAGCGGGATGAAATTAGTAGCTCACCTTTTGGTCACCAAACCTCATTTGGCGTCTAGCATTTCTGGATACGTTCATCCTACATAAAAATAATCGACTTTCTTCATTTGGATTGCTATTGGACCCCGCGTTTACTGGCCTGCCCAATTCGCATTGGATCGCTTGGTGGTCTTGCTTATCTATTATATCATACACGCTATCTCCATGGATCAAAAGGTCTTCCTATAAAAAAATCCATGTGGTTAGTTTTAGGGCGCTTCGCCTCGTGCTATTAAATATGGTCGCCGTGTTTGTTGTTGAGATGTAAACACGAAATGCGCGTGATTTAGACGTAGAAGCCGCACTAATAAGGCGCGAGGAAACGCCATGTCATCCTTGCTGATGACATGAATAAGTTGAAAATTCATAAAGTCGCAGATATAAATCCGTAACATCGGTTTATCAGTCAACATTTGCTGGTAATACACTCGAATAAGACATCTTTCTCCAGGGCATTTTCACAAAATAAATATTTATTATTCATTACTTAGAGACAACAAATACGATTAACCCTGTATATGCAGATATATCGGTCATTACTCGAGTGATTTATGAGGCGTTGATTTAGGTTTAGCTTGACGAAATGGAGACGAAAAGAAAAATGAACAAATTAAGCTCACTCTCGAGCTTAGAAGCTCAAAAAGTTCGCTCACCTGTATAACACTCACCATGGAATGGCCCAGGTACTCAGCAGCATTATCCGATATGTACAAAAGCTTCCCGTTTTGGGTCATCATCATTAGAAATCCGCTTAAAGCCTGAAACAAGATGAATATTAAAAAAATTAGCTATTTATAGTGCAATCAGCTAAAGGTAATGCTGATATTTATAAACTCAAACTTTAATTTCATCAAAATCTAAGCGAGAATAGATGGAAATGGTGGATAAAAATGCATAACTGTAAAATATGACTATAATCCCATTGGATATCCGAAGAAACGTTCGCATTAATAACATTTCAAGCCAGTCAGTTTGACTGTTCTTTTATATTTAAATTTCTTTATACCAGAAGATTACCCAGCGTATAATAAGGCAAGTGCGTCCGAGGAGATAAAATCACGAACAACAATGTAGGAAATAAGGCTATGTTGACACTTTATATTTCAGTCTGTTCAATTTGAAAACTAACAAACTGTACATAGGCGGAACTGAGTTATCCTAAAGATACCACTCGGATAACATCTAGATCTACATTAATAAAATAGATGTTAATCCAAACAATACGGATTTTTTAGTAGATATTATATTATTTCATTCGTCGATGATTAAGCATTTAATTGTGTGACCATTTCTTCACTTTTATTTTTGTTATCACAAACATTAATCCTGTTCTCTTGAGATTCCAATGAAGATAAAAAATCTGATCACACAAGATGAACACACTATAATAGTAGATATTAACTAATTTCTTTTATTTAAAAAAATTCTTACATTTTGTATTTTTGTATTAAAACAATTTACTTGTTGATATGAATAAACTGAAATGGGTATGTTCTGTGATAGTGCTAGACAATTGGTGATTTGTGTAAACAATAAATTTTACCATATTTCAACATTTACGGTAACGAAATAAATAAAATCAGTTGTAAAATTGAAATAATACAATGGAAATCGCCACCAGAATTTATTAGCTGTTACAGTTAAATTCCCTTTAATACCCAATAGATTATTTCACAAGTTCGAGTGCAATTTAGTTGCAAAACTATAAGAAATTCATTTAAAATGCGCGTTTGAATAATAAGAAGAGAAATAGTGGAATGCAATCGTGATTAGTTTCATAATGTAAGGTATCTCACGTTTTGTTGTTAGTCCCTATAATAATAATAATAATAATAAAGTTGTTGAATACGATTGATCGTTCTGAAAATCGACATTTCGAAGCCCGGAAAATTCAAGATTCTTCCGGTTCAAATTACTTTACATTTTAGAGAGTCTTTATTAAACAGATTTTCGAATGTAAATTGCAACCATTGCCTTATACAAAGTTAACCGTCTTAGATGAACGAGCATTATCAACAGATAATTTCTTCCGAAGATATTTAATCGACTTTATAGACATTTGGTATTCGTGGGAAATAGAACTGAATGAGTAACGATGAGAATGAATAGCGAGGTTAAAGGGTATTTTATGCGTACATTGTCAGAGAAGGTAAAACAAACGAGATACCAACTATCAATGATCAATAAATAATTAATCTTTCAATAAGTCCTCCAGCTAACGTATTGTTGATTTTAATCGATACCTTTAAAATCACATTAATGTCACGTTTTACAAAATATACCGAGTAAAAAGGGAAAGAAATTTCTCCTATCAACTAAACGAATGTGTTAAGTACAAAAAAAATAAAAATCGATCAGGATTTACTAGACTAATCAGGATAAGTACTAGACTAATAAATTAATATTTTGGCCGTTTGGCTGTTTCTTGACCAATGGTTTTTTATCAAACCTGTATTAAAAGTGATGAACTGTTTGAATTAATAGTATACGCCAATGGTATCGTATATCATAAATAAACCATGACACACGGCTACTCTTTTATCAATCGACAAGCTGATAAGTCCATTTTCTTAAACGAAAAAGAGATAGCGAAAGAGTGGCCTTTATTGATCATCGCTTAATTTTTATCACAACATTCAAAAACTCTATAACAAGATTGTAAATTGAGCGTATATCTACTACCTACAAGGCTTTTAACTGTAATTGCCTTAATTTACAGATAGATTATTAGTCTTATTATCGATTGGGAATGTATTATTAGCCGATCGAAATTTACATACCTACTCACAAATTTAATTAGAATATTACTAGTATCGTAGGATTGAATTTCTAAATTAAAAATTAGGTACATTTAAAAATGGAAAAAATCTCGACTAGTGTATGTGTAGTAGTTACATATGTAGGTATAGTATTTTTCTTCATGTATAAATATAAAATAAGGAATCAGTAACTTTAGGATATCAACTGATTTGTCTATTTCCAAAGGGCATAAAAGAGTTTGATAATTATTAGCAAATGTTATTTATGCGTTTTATGAAGATTGTTGGTAAAGATTGAGATATTGGAAAGGTTCCTTAAAGTAAGACATTATGCACATGGATTTATAGCGAATTGACGCCACAGTAAATAATGTTAATCTTCTTTTAGAAAATATTTCGCAAAACGTATGCAATCGAACAAACGAATCTAGTTTCTAGGTTAAAAGTCTGTTCTCCCATCCCGAGAATCGTGTGTTTGCTCTCATCGCGAATGCTCGCCGGCTTTTTGCTCACTTTTCGATATTTGATAAGCCACAGCTTACTTTATTGAACGGCCTTTTGTTCGTTTTAACATAATTCCCTTTTATTCCAATGAGAAAGTATTTTAGTTTTCGTTCTCGTTTGGGCTTGTGCAACACAATAGATTCCATCGAATCAATAAATTCGCCTCATCTTCGATCTGACTTTAATGCGTTTACAAGAATATTTAATGCTACCTACGGGAGCGAGAATTCCTCGCGCTCAATCCATATGCGCTTTGATTGCGCTTTCACTCGAATCAGAGCGCTTGGATATACAAAATATATGTTCAAATTCCGCATTCATCGATATACTAGTCAAATAGGATCATGTTTTTTCAAATTAAATAAAAAAAATTAGGTAGGTAACGGTTTGAAGATTTTAAGTTGTTTTTTTGTGTCCACTAGACTCTTTCGAATCGAAATTGAAATAAATTCGTTCCGGATAATTGATTCGCTAAAAATCATGCGAGAATGGAATTTTTCAAAGCGTTTATAATCTTTCGTGCATTTAGTGATCCTTCCGGATTCGGGCCGTTTTTAGAGCTGATTAGCTCTAATGTAATCGAAACATCGAGGAGAGCCAAAACCGGCCTGGATGAAATCTTTCCATTGCCCTTGACTACTCAAAATCGACACACCCCGTATACGCCCAATCCGACAGATTCATTTTTAAGCGAGCTTTTTAATTTATTATTTATCTTATAAAAAAATTAAAGGTTCTCTCCACTCTTTAGATCGCTGAGGCCGATAGAAGATCATTAAAGAATATATTACATGCTGAGAGCGTACTTTACAGCGAACGCGATGCTCGAGAAGTGTTTCACTATCATCCCAGAGGCGTACATTTTACCTCACAAATTTCTTTACCTATTCATTGTGCAAGTTTTAACGATCATCGGTACTCAACAGCTCATTCCTTGACGCTTCTAAGGGATGCTCTAATGTTATATAAAATTTAACAATACTTTTACTAATTGTTTAAAATATTGGAAGTTTATCTACGAAAAAAAAAATATTAGTTAAAAGGGGAAATTCCCGGGTTGACGTACGCCGCTGTGGTGCCGCACAGAATGAACTCCAAAGCAAACCGAGGCGAGTTCTTTCTTTCATAGCTAATACTAAATTAAGATTTCCAATCAGTTTTTGGAATTTTATATTGTGCTCATTTTGTACTTTATTGGTTCACGGGGATATTTATGTTGTTTTAAAAGACGCTTACAGTCCGCATTTCGCCTAACGCTTCATGAACTAAAGAGATAAGGAATATTATTTTACGCGATCTTCCTTGAGAATTAAAGTACGTGTACAATATGTTATTTTTAATTACCTGCGGGATAGATTCCGATGCGACAATGTGGAAGTGAATGCGACAAAGTGATAATTTATTTAACGAATTTCTTAATTCCTTCTCTGCGTTCGCCCGTAAACACCTACTCAATACCTCAACAGCTTGATTATTCGATACCTTCTGATGGTGTAATAATATATCCGGACAACAGGTATTTTGACGAACGACGACGTTATTGTCGCTTTAAACGATACATAAGTTGTATTTTATTGCGTTTTTATTCTTCATTTAATTAATTAATCGACGAATAAACTTCAATGATGCATGAGTATTATGTTTTCGCCGCTGTGCAGAAGAATCAGAAAGAACAACGGCTATTGGCTTGGATATTGCGTGAGAGAAGAGAATATACGCGGCCACGTAAGTCACTTAAATATGCAAAAGAAATGCTTAGTTTGTCCGATTCCTAAGATAAGTATACTTAAGCTGACTTTATCGAGATTCTCGCATGGTTTATGCGAACTTTATATCTCGGCTGATTAAATTAGGGTCGCATTTCGCTCGAATTAATAAGCCTTTATGTGAAAAACAAAAAAATATATATTAATGATTAACTCGAAATAATTCGATAAAACAGTAATAATAGGAATTAAAAACGGTTCGTCAAATCGGATAAGTATTACATAAGAAGGAATTTCGCCGTTCGAAACGCCAAATGCAAGAACACAGAACGCAATTATGTTAATTAGCCGTGTAAATCGCATCTCTGAGCCACTCCACGGAACGTTTAAAGTGAACTATAGAGGTCATTAATTGCATGATCTGGTCCGTTCGGTCGACCTTTTTGATATTATTATCGAAGAAACTCGGAGAAAGAAATCACCTACAGCAGATAGAAGAGGAACGCAAACGAACTTGCTCGTTTTTTTTATGTTTTAACATCGAGATATAAATTACTACAAATTCGAAGATAAAACATAGAGATGATTGATTTCAGTGCGCGAAGAATGTAATTAATTAATGGGATCGAATCGAATGCGACGCAAAAAAAATCCTTGTTTAATTTATACGGCTTTTATCGATTCCGATTTTAATTGAATTTCAAAAACATGTCGTCTTACGTGTACCTCACGTCCTATTTATAGTTTCATTGGTAATATTCATTCGATGATATTTATGATCGATAAGCG